TTGCCGGCGCGGTGCGATTTTAGTTCGATTTTGATTTTATAATAATTACACCCATATTGCGCGTTCGATATCTGGTTGGGTTTTTGTCTGGGTCTGTGTTCGCGCTGGCATCAAAGCCAATTTTGACAAACGTGCTCAGTTGTCGACTTTCGATTTGTGGGGTGTGGCAGCAGCGCTGTGCAGGCAACTGCAGCGCAGCCACAGTTACCTACAGCAGCGCGATGCCTGCAAATGCATACGATGTACGAGCTACGAGCTACGAGCTACGAGCTACATAGATGCCTGTCTCTGGCTCTGCCTCGGCCTACACTTTTCATGCTTGAATTCCATTCGGCTTTGTCAATTTGTCTTTTTTGATTATTTTCCAATCAGCGAATTCCTCTCGATAGATTTTACATGCATACATATATATATATAGATGGATACACACATATATATAAATCGGCTTATTGAGATGCTACGTGCACTACCTGACATCTCTATAGTTATTTAAATTGATGTGAAACTATCCCGTTCATAACCATTTGAAGTACATTTGCCAATTTCACATTTATGTAATTTCGAATTCCCAAGCTACAAAAACCGAAAAATAGTTATGAAAACTCATAATACACCTGATCCGTGAATAGTAATTTATTTGCATAGCGCTCAGCGGATGTGGCATTGCCTCATAACTGGATCCATTCAGAATTGACTGTACCAGCTATGTGTCTGTCTGTGTGTGTGTGAGTGTCTATAATGGACTCAGGTACTTGGATAACCAAATCGAAGTCAGTTAATTGCTATGCCACTAGGAGTAGCTGGACTATAATTGTTAACTTAAAAGTATGTGTGAAGAAATGTGAATTTGTGAGTGGATAAATGCTTCAAGAGGTGGGCAATTAAGGTACATATATTATACATGTCTGTATATTATTAATTCTTACATTTGAATTCCAAAACTCATTTCTTGGTTTGAATTTGATTTTGTTAAAGTTTAGTTTACTTCACTTTCAGCTTTTGTTATTTAAATGCATTTAGCTAAAAGAAATTAATGATTTATGTATATGTAGATTAGACATAACTTAATAGTATATAGATTAATTATAAGTTCCCATTTAAATTTGAACAAAAATATTAAATTAAATATAATAATAAAAATATATAATATAATTCATAGACAGGAAATTATTTGAATTAAATTTTTATGAAACCATTAGAAACACTGACGTCTGCAGCTCAAAGACAAACTCTTCTTTGCAAGTTAAAGAAGGAAAGTGCGATTACAGCAATGATTAACTATAACTAACTATTTTTAGATAACTTTCATAATAGTTAGTTGAGAATATAAAGCTCTAGTCAGTGGTAAATTAGAGCAGAGCAATGCAGAATATATTATATATTTTGGCTTATCATTTTTCATTATTTAATTAATTAATTTTTATTATTTATATCTATAAAAAAAGTTAACAAATATTTGCAAATTTGATTTATTTCTGTAAATAAACTTTAAGTTATTTTATAATTTGCACAAGGCGGAACTAATTACCTGCGAATGTTTGCTTTCTTGACGAGATTTTCATGTTGAGAGGATTCGTGTCACTAGCAATTATGCATTTGTGCAGAGATTTGTTTACAATCACATCTAGTTATATGAAGTTATATATAAATACGTATACATCATAGATATATATATGTATATATATACATGTTTATAAGTAGTTTGAACCCACAGTTGACTGGCAAAACACGGCCACTGACAGTTGCATTTATTTGCAGGCACAATGAAGCCAGTTCCCTCCCTCTCTTTCTCACTCTCTCTCTCTGTCTCCCTCTCTTTCTCTCTTCCTCTCTGCGAGACATGAATGTCAAGTTTAAATATCGAGATACATAGAGATAAAACCATTTAAACTGAAATGAATACGGATGTGTATTGCATTAATAGAGTAGTTCGATACTCTAAGGCTGTGAGACAGCTTAATTTCAGATTAAGCTTGATTCAGACTGCCTTGGAAAGCAGTGAATTAAGCTGTATTACTTAATATAAGTAACTAAAGTAAGTGACTGCTCTAAGATGTGCTAAGATATTAACTGAAATTGAAGACAAAGTTTACGAAATGATTTTATATAAATATATTAAAAATATATATATATATAAAATTAAATTTAAATAATATTTAAATTAAAATGAAGAAATATGTTTAGAAAATAAAAAATAAAACAAATAAATTTACAACAAAATTAAATTTAATTCAAATATTAAGTACAAATAAAAAAGAAGTTTTCGATTGTATTATTTCGTATAGATATAGGCAATATATATAGAGTAATAAAAATGTAATCATTGAGACTTTCTTTTGTTTTTATTAAGATTTTTTTTTTTATTTTTCGTTTTGTAATTAATGTTTTTCCCACTTTTTTATAGGCATCTTCTTGCTGCCACGTTTTGATTTCGCTCACTTTTCTTTCTTGTTTCCTCCGTTTTCTAGTGAACTTTGCCATTGGAAAGATATTTTAATTTCGAGCAATTTCGATGCCATTCAAATGATAAATGGAAAGTGACGGCTTAATAAAACAATACGTGCAATATATAAATCGTGTTATTGACACTTTGAGTGCTCAACAGATTTCAGAGAGCTTCAGAGACTTGGAGACTTTGCCAGACTTTGAGAGCTCGAGAGCTCGAGAGTGCGTGTGTTAGTTTGTTTGTCATTAATAACTTGTTATGCTTGTTGGATCGCTAGTGTTCGATATATAAGTGCATATACTACATGTATATAAGTGCATATATACAGCTGGGCATATCCACAGACATCCGTTTGCATATTAAGCATACGCCACGTTTGTTTTCCTTAGCTCACAAAAGAAAATGAAAGTGCTCCTCGCGACATGCACAAGGCCAAGGTAATTAATTTTAATTAAAAATTGCATTCATCTCGCTCCATCTCGCTCTCACTATTTCTATACACAGTTGATATATAAATCATACAAATTATAATTTTAAAAAAATTTCAAGGAAAATATTGAGCACGCATTAAGATTACTTTTAAGTTTAGTCCACCAAGTTCATTAACTTATGTTCAGTTTTTTAGGGACTTACCCTTAATTCGTTGCTTTGGCTGTGGAGCGCCGATGCGCACAGCCTGAGCTAGCGGTACATCCGAAAGTAATGCTATAACAGCTACGAGTCCGAGCAAGTGTTTTAATCCCATTGTGAAACTTTTAATATATCAATTAATTAATTTTATTTTTTATATATTCGTTTTTTATATATATATTTCACAGCGCACTAGGGAAACATAAATTGAAATCTATTTGGGGACTAGTTTTTCTTTTTGTTTGCCAAAAAACAACAGGATATCGTGTTGCGTGCGTGTGCCACAAAGAGCTCGACTTTTTGGATTGGTAAACGGTCAGCGAGATCTAGATGTGACCACTTGACGCAATTTCACAAATCGAGACGGAATTCCAAATGCTGTACAGCGTTTCGAGGCACGCGCACCGCGTCTAAGCACCAAACTGAAGCACTAGGCGGACCCGTATGACTATATAAAATCTTTCGAGCGCAGAAACAAGCCGCTGCAAGCTGTTGCGGTCGAGCTTGCGAACAGTCGGGGAATGGCTAAAAGTGAATCACGCGATGGCTTCAAGAGCGCAAGAAGTCGCTGCAGCGACTGCCCCGTTAACAACAACAACAGCAACAGCGCCGAGTTAGCCAAAGCCCCCTGGCGGGCAGCTCAAGCTCAGCTCGAAGCTCAAGCTCGAAAAGCTCGCGAAGCTCTCTGCAGAGCCAAGAGCGCCGCAGCAAAGAGAAATGCAAAGCATTAACAATACCGACTATATGTACATATTTTAACAGGAATATGTTAAGTTAAGTTAAATATTCATCGCTCCATGGGATTATTTGATTGCATTCAATAAAAATTTAATTGTTTTCGTTCGTTTCGATTCGAGTCTCGTGAACTTTTGTTTGTTCGCAAAAAAATGCATCTCCATATGGATTAGCTGCTCGAATATCGTATACGATATAAGCGGCCTAAGCTAAGCCAATGATCGCCAGAGTAAGTTTTCTTTGTTTTTCATATGCATATAAAAGCGTACAAGAGTATGTATGTATGTATGCACATGTATGTATGCAGATGTATGTATTCGAAAGTATTTATTTGACTTCTTTCATTTTCTTAATTGAGAGTTGAAATGGGGAAAATTATTCTGTTTGCACACATCGATGTGTGTGTGTGTATGTATGTATATGTGATCATATGTGTGCATGTATGTACACAAGTATTATGTTGTTGCGGGTATGTATGTGTGGGTGTCTAAGCTTATCAACTTATCTATTATGCAAACATAACAAACCAAGTCGAAGTGCTGCACACTTCACATATATCGTATTTTTGATGCTGCTCTCCTCCTCGATTCTCAAGAATTCAAGTAAGGCTTTGAGGTTTGCGTGCCTGATGTGTTGTGTGCGTTGTTAATCTGTATTTGTGCATTTGTGTATGTGTGTTCAATGATGTAAGTATGTATACTATGTATTTATGTATATATGTATATATGTATATATGTATATATGTATATATGTATATATGTATATATGTATATATGTATATATGTATATATGTATATATGTATATATGTATATATGTATATATGTATATATGTATATATGTATATATGTGTATATGTATATATGTATATATGTATATATGTATATATGTATATATGTATATATGTATATATGTATATATGTATATATGTATATATGTATATAGTAAATATATTTAAGTTATTGAAAATGCACTTGAATTTAAAATTTAAAAAAATTGAGCAAAATTTATCAATCGCTCGCTAGCTGGCCAAAAGAAAATAAACAAGTAGCGATATTTGCTGAAGGCCTTACATAACAAACTATGTACATGGATATGCATACAGAGTATGTATGTACACAGAGGAAGATTTGCATTTTCATCCCAGCCACTTAATCGGTAATTCACCTGTTGTCAGTCAGCTGGGAAATGTGGTCTTTGGATTGCATTTGCCCGGGGAGCAGGTAACGTCTAGGTGTTGTCTGCAATGCTTGCTTGAGTCTGTGGCCGAAACGGTAGAGTGGCCAAGGTTGGACAAGGTCGATGTCGGACTAAAAGCTGAATGGGGAAATTTATTCATCTCAGTTTCATTTGCTACAAAGCATTGTTTTAGGGCTACTTCATATGATCCAGCGCATACAGGTATTGCGCTTCATGCACTCGCCCGCAGTTGAGCCCATTCGCACCCAGCCTTTTGGACACACACAGCCACGAAGACATTTCGAAAAATCGCACTTCCTTTGAACGTAAATACCGGAACAGATCTTCTGGCAGCTCGGCACACAGTCCACCATCACTTCATCATACATGCAAACTGTTTAAGCAAAACAATATATAACTGTTAAATAGGTATATATGTGCAGACTGCATCAGTCTTCATTGTTAAGCTTACCGCCAAGAAATGCATGCGGATGAGCTGCCGCAACTCCACAAACTGCCAACAGCAAAGCCACTTTCCAGAGCACGCACCTGTTTGCCACTGCGAGTCTCATTCTCGATTAATGCCATATTTGCCAGAAGCCTTCTCTATATATTTCCACTATTTAAGCATAAACACAAGCTCACAGCTGGCCAAAATATAAATAAACATCTATACGAGGGCTTATTCATAAATATGCCAGAAGCATACTTTTCTCTGTCAGCTTGTATAAAAATATAAAATAAATAATATCGTTTCATATTTCTGCATTTTTCTAAATATTCTTCCCTCAATATAAAGGGTGTTTTTGTAGAGGCTTACAACATTGAGTTAGCAACACTAATTTACTGAACAATTAATTTAAAAGATAATAGTTGTCTTTTCTACAGTCTGATTTGACATTTTATTATGAAGAGGCTTATACTAAATTTTGCAAATTGTTGACATTTTTATAAAAAAAAAGGATGAAGTCCATTTGTAAGCATTCGGAATATCCTCATGCTTTTGTCAAAACAATTTAACATTCACATAAAATATCTGCAACGCAACAGACATGCAGCAACCTGGCCAAAATTATATTGAAACATAAATATCATAAATTGTTCAATTTAATTAATTCAATTTTTTGTCATCCACAATTTATTTCTTTATTTTGTTATAATTTAAAACTGTCTAACTCTAAAATACAGTTGCTTTTTATTCTTTTAAACTGTCGTTTATTTATTAATAAAATTAAACTACTGTAATATAAGTATATACAATATTACTACTACTATTACAACTACTACTACTTCTTCATACGCCTACTACTATTACTACTAATACTACTACTACTACTCGACCTACTACTACTACTCGTCCTACTACTAATACTACTACTACTCGTCCTACTACTAATACTACTACTACTCGTCCTACTACTAATACTACTACTACTCGTCCTACTACTAATACTACTACTACTCGTCCTACTACTAATACTACTACTACTCGTCCTACTACTACTACTACTACTACTCATCCTAATACTACTACTATTACTACTCGACCTACTACTACTACTACTACTACTCGTCCTACTACTACTACTACACTACTACTCGTCCTACTACTATTACTACTACTCGTCCTACTACTACTACTTCTACATACGCCTACTAATATTACTACTAATATTACTACTACTACTCGACCTACTACTACTACTACTACTACTACTACTACTACTACTTAAAGGGACAAAGCAATAGACCAACCTAGCTTCATTGTTGAAAAACCAAATCATGTTAATTAAGAATGCATTATAAAAGCATAGATATTGAATGTCTTTATTTCGAATACCTTCACTTGCTTGTAAAATGTTTTTATTGCTTTTCTCATTAATAATTATAAAAACCTTTTAATTTCATTCAATATCCGTTTTCTATATACCTGCTGGCTACAAATAGGAGTTATACATATGCATGTATATAGACACACGGAGTTACGAACATAGTGAAAAACCTGCCCACAATTAAAATACCTTCACTTTCGGTTTCATTATGCTTGCCAAATAAAAGATTTGTATCTGCGTAAAGTAGAAACTGGAATAAATAAGAGAATTTGTTGCTTTTTTGTTTCTTTATTTTATTATTATTTTTTTGTTTTTGCGGCCAAACACCTCCGCCCAAATGTGGCCTGAGAAAACAAAAGACTTTTGGAGCTTTATTGGCTTTGTTCATTTCATAGGTTGCGAAAAATAAACACAAAAACAACAGCAACAGCAACAACAACAAACAAAACTCTCGAAGTAAACTGTGAATCACGATTTTGGTGCAGAGCTCAATGCTATTTAAATTTGCTCTTACTGCAGGCACAATTGCTCAAGCTAGAAACAAAAAGCGTTGACTAAATTAGCTACATTAACTAAGTCTTCCAAGTCTGATTTGCATGCAAATTATGAATCTGTGCTCTTAACCCAATATTGTAACAGCTTTAAGAAGCTGCAAGAGGGCATTGCTTTCAGCTCGATCTGAACACAAATTTACTGATCATCAATTAGACAGTTATGTAGCAGCTCATTTAACTCTAATCCACAAATCTCAGCTGAAGAGCTTTTTATTATATATATTTGTTATATCTTTAACTGAGCTGTTGACTTGGTAAATTGTAACTAATTCATTTGATAAGCCTGCGTAACACTAGCTTATTGTCTATTAGTGCTATAATTAACAACGAGCTAGCCAAGGACGCAGAAAACAACTCAATAACTAAAGCATAAACGAGCAAGCCAGCAAGTTAAGGTAAATCGACCAAACCCAAACAAAACTGATCCAAATCGATTTTAAATTGCTTTGCTTTGCTTTGCCTGCTGTCAATTGGTATGCGAATTGCAAAATGTGGAAGTGCTTTTTGTCGCCGCGAGAGTCGCGTTAATTGAAGCCAGCTAAGAACAGCCAGCTTCCGGCAAATCCGGATATATGCGAGATATATATAAACATATCTGATTTCTTCATCAAAACTCAACAATCACCAGCTAAGTTCCAAGAGGGAAACTTTATGACAGCTTTGCTTTAACTTATCCAAAATTCAAGAACCAAGCCATTTAGGGCAGGGCTTAATACTCGCTGGCTGAGATATATTCATATATAAAATATATTCATCTGATGATCAAATTTCATGGGAAAAAGTTAAGTCTGGTCGAACAAAGGTTAATGCTTCAGGCAATCAGTTTTCAATTTGATTTTCAGCTACTTTGGGAAAGCCAAACAAAAGTCGTTAAGCGTGCGGAAAATCTGCTTATAATTATTTTGCTTATCAATCAAACGACTTCACACTTAATTTCAAAGCATTCAATTATAAAAGATTTAATAGCTGTTTTTTTGATAATTTGAGAAAGTCCTCTTGACGCGTAACGCTTAACGCTTAACTCTTTTATTATCAACTCAATTAGAGAAAAACAAGTTTTTTAGCTGGGAGACTGCGGAAAATTCATGCTCGAAAGTAGAACCAGAAAATTTATAGAAATAAAAAGTAGAGCTAGACTAAACATATACATCAAATTTAATTAGTGAAGTTAAATATTTGAAAGTCAAATCGTTTAATAAATAAAATCATTTTCCATGCTGCACAGTGTTGGCCAGAAATATTATAGTTTGGCACTGAACTAATGAAGCTGAAATCGGTTATTCCTTTTTTTATAATATATAGTTTAAAGTAAAATAAATATAATTGACGTTGTAGTTTAAATAAATAAAAATAGTTAGAGTTTTATTTATGAATAAAACGATAAAAATTTCAGATAAATTGATTTCAACAATTATAAATTTGTAAATTTTTGTAATTTAACGTTGACTTGACTTGTGGATATACTTAACAGGAAGTTAGCCTTGCTTGTATGTAGTAAAGCTGCTTTTCACTACTCATATTCAATTCAATTGAAGCACTTTGAGTTAAAGTTCAATAAATCTAGATTATTACCTTGGCCTCTGCATTGATCATTCTCAAGTCATCAGTTGCTGAAAAGTAATTTTTTGCCTAATATAATTTTGGAATTTATATATGTATATATATATATTTTTTTAATATTTTCTTTTTTTAACAAAGAATCAATTTTTTATGTTCAACTGTGGATCAAAAGATTCGATTAGAAATTTGAATCATTGTCAAGCAATGCCCAATGTACGTGATTCATCCGTTCATGTTGTCAGCCAAGGTTTAAAGTTAGTCTTAAGTATTTGGTAATCCAAAAGTTTATCCTAAAATTAAATAAGTCAAAGAGTTAATATAAGAAATGCTCTTTAGACAGATAATGGAAAACTGATTGGGTTTCTTATTGGGTTTCTCGTTCTTATTAGACCAGGGAAAGGCAAAGAAAGTAGAATCAGAGTAAATATGGAGTGTTATAATATATATATATATATATCATTCATGAATCTGTTTCCAAAAAAAACGTACTTCTATTTTGACTTAGTCAAAGATTAGTATACTTATTTTGAGATATATCTTATTCTGATCATATATATATATATATATATATATATATATATATATATATATATATATATATATATATATATATATATGAAATTGAGCTCTCTCTAAGTACACATTCCTTCATTCAATACAATTAAAATAGAGTTGAAAATAATATCTGTCAAGCTTGAAGAGCTGCCTTGAATATTTGCCAATTTTAATGCAAATTTGTTTAGAATCTTTAAAAATTTTTAGACGCATCTTTTTTATGTTAATAAATAAAAGATGCTGCAGCACAGGGCCGCTGTCTAATGCCCAGAATAAAGTCTATATGCAGGTCCATACATATATAGCTCAAATTTATTGCCGCAAATGCGCCTTACCATAAATTCTCTGCCACCTTATGAAATAGAATTTAAAGAGTATATTTGCACTAGTTCAGGTGAGCAGGAAGCATGCAAAACACACGTGAAATTGATAAATAAAATATTATTTTACCTGTCATCACCTGCATGAACTCTGCAATTAGTTGATAAATAAAATTGATTTTAGTTGTAAATTTAAGTAAATCATTTCCGTTGGCTCACCATCGAAATCAACAGTTCCGGAGCCATCGGCGTCGATCTCCTCAATGATCGAGTCCAAGTCTTGGCTAGAGATTTTGTCGTCCAGCTCGTGCAGAATGCCGCGCAAGGTGGCAACCGTCAGATAGCCTTTGCCCTCTTTGTCGTATACACGGAATGCCTCTTTCAGCTCGGCCTGCAGGGCGCCGACATCCTCCTCGACCTCGATGAAGCGAGCGGCGAGCTTGCAGAACTGGGCGAAATTCAGTTTGCCCGTGGAGCCCTTGTCCACCTCCTTGATCAGTGCTTTCACAGCTGGTGGTTCGAGTTTTTGGCCCAGAATTTCGAGTATACTTGAGACATCGGCGTGATCGATCGATCCGGAGCCTTCGAGATCGAAAGCTTTGAAGGCATTACGCAGAACTGCCAAGAGATACCAAATTATTAGAGCATATTTCTGCCTCTCTCTCTCTCTCTCTCTCTCTCTGTCTCTCTACATACTTCTCAATTGATCTTTGTCGTACTCCCCCTCGGCCTGCAAATGAAAATTAATTAGAAGATAAATCCCATTGCTCACACGCTTAATTAGGCGCACAAATGTCAATTCACATGTTCTTTAAATAGGATTTGCTGTAGCTCTAATTAATGTTAATAAATCGTAAAAAGCAATCGCATTTTAGTTATCTGTATCTGCTTGCCGTGGTATGCAAATGAAAGTGTAAAAAGGTGTGGATAGAAACGGGCGCAGGTGCAGCACAGGTGCCCTACAAATGTCCTCTGCCGTGTTAAACAATTTTCAATCACAATCAAGGCCAAACACTTGTCGAAAGCAACAATTTCATTGATTTATTTGCGGAACACAATCGTGCACTTGATGCGTTTTCAGTTCTAGATTCGTATTTCAATTACATAACTCACCATTTTGATTTTTTATTTAATTTCTATATCAAAATATATCTATAAAATTAAATATTTATAAGCTTCAGAGGTTCACTAAACAAATTGAGTTTGAGGTTTACCAATTTACTCTCGATCGGATCGAGTTAGCGCCAGCGTCTAAACAGCTCTATGTCTGTGCGCCGTATATAAGCGGGCGCGACAAATGTCAACACGGGGCGGGATATCAGCGACGAGTCGTGCTGCAACTTGTGAAACAAATGCCAAATTGTCGTCGTCAGCACCAATCGATGCCGAGCAGATATTGCATACAGCCCACAAAATAGAACCTGCAACACGCATGCCTCACGCACACAATGCACCTTCAGCCGCATGAAGCAGCCGATCACAGATCGCCGATCGTCGATCGTCGATCGTGCAGTTATCAATATTTGATCTTATATTGAGATCGATTCATAGTGAAATTGAAAAAGGACTTGCGTTTCCGAGTGTAGCTAAGATAAGAAGTCACAAATGTTACGAAAGAGAAGCGTTACTGAAGGATATAGACAGAGTGAGAAATAGACGGCTATGCAGAGAGAGTAGAAGACAGACAGGGAGATTAGGGGGAGAGAAAAGCTGAGAGGGAGGCAGTTAAACAGATAGAGAGAGCGAGAAAGTAAGTAGACTAAGCAAGTAAGACTGAGAGAGAAAGAGAGAAGGAGACAGACTTATAAATAAGGAGACATAGACAGGGGGAAAGAGAGAGAGAAGGAGACACAGAGAGAAGCAGATAGGAAGATAGTCCAACAGACAGAGAGAGTGAGAAAGTAAGCAAAATACTGAGAGAGAGAGACAGGCAGAGAAATAAGGAGACACATAGAGAGTGACAGACAGAGAGAGACTCAACAAATGCAAATATCTCAATGACGAAAACCTGACGTGATATTGTTATTCTGCTTGCATATTCGCATTAAGTAGACGAAAAACATGCTGAAAAGGAAAAGTCTAGTTCTTGCTTATTAAATTTCATAAGAATTGGCTAATTTTATTTCAACAAGTTTTACATAAATGTGATTGGCTTGCCCAACTGATTGATTGATGCTCAACGTTTTCAAATAGCAAATTTATGTGACATATAAATATTTAAACTAAATAAATACCTTTGGATATTGCATAATAGTTGATCGTTACACATCTTATAAAGGATGTGTACTTCACAGCTTTCAAGATAGAGCTGTTTGCTTAATTGTGAAAATATTTTGAATTGTTTTTGTTATCTTTGGTCTTTGGGTCAAATTTGTTTAATATCTGTGTGCAAAAACAAAATTCGCGGTGTCGAACATGTTTTGGAGTTAACCTTAATTAATAAGCTAATGAGATTATCTGATAACCAATAAATCAAACTTCGTGACTTCGAATCAAAACACACAAAAGTATGAAGTATTCGTAGAAGATATTCGCTTTGTTTCCCAGCTACTGCGGGGCGGGTCGCTTGCAAATGAATATATATATGTATTTATATATATATGTATATATATAGTTATATATATATTTTATTTTTAAAATACTTAACACATTGCAGCATCACAATATACTCTTTGTTTGGCTTTATTGTCTTTGAACCAAGTCTAATTATTAATTAATAAAGATATTAAAAATATTAAATATGGCAGCAGATATCAATAAAACTGTTTATCAACAGCATGCAAAAGATTCTGGTTATTGTCAAGGAATCACACAGTTTACATCATTGCCACATGCTACCAGAAATTTCCATTTCAATTTTGCTTTTTATTGACAAGGAGATATCATATATTTATATATAATATCAAAGCTTTCTAAAGAGTTGACTTTAAAGGTAAATTAAGTTAAATATTTGAGACTCGTCTGTAGTGGAAAGAAGAAACACAATTGCTGTTTGAATTTGCTTTTGCGTTTATATATGCACAGATATAGAAATATTATAATAATCGAGCTGAATCAGGATATCAGGAGAAATCCTAGGCATTGCCATACAAGCAGAGCAAACTCAATTGAGTTGCTTCAACTGCTTCAATTATATATTTACTTATTAAATTTAAAAAAAATTGAAGCAGTAAGACAGCTGTGAAAAAGTGCATTATAGTGAAAGGCAGCATCTCTTAGTCTTGGATCATCCTAGAAAACAGCTGTAAAACAACTTAAAACAATATTCTATATCCAGTTTTTTCAGCCTAAATTGCAGCTATAAATTGTTGCTTATTCGATTTTTGATCAAATGATGAATATAAATACATATACACATGTATCATCAGCTTTGCCATTTCTAAGTTAAAAAATAATAATAATAATAGTAACAAATGATACTGACAAATGTCAGACATGTAGGAAATCCGCCCACAGGCAGTGTCATCATTAGAGAACCATGAACCATATTGAGCATCAATAGGAATTCTTCTCGATTGAGAAAGCATGTAGCTCAATCAAAAGAGGCCATTGATTTATTTGTGCTGGATACTGCTTCAAGTCGATTGTATTCATACGGATTGACAGGCATTGATGCTGCCATCAAATAATTTAACGATTAACTGAGTTGATCAGGCAGTCGGCAGTCACCTGTGATTGATCGTGTGTAAGTACATTAACATAAATAGCTATGCCTCGACATGAGATATGAGCTAAGGTAGACAATAGATAAGCTAAATTCTATATGCCCGAGATCATATCTTATACCCAACTTTGCCCTTGTCAATGCTCTCGGCCGAAGACAGTCAATGGATGGAATAGTTATTCTCTGAATGATATAAAATTATTCTTGGTCTAATAATAACTTATAAAATTACTCAAATCTGTGAGTTCAGTGAGTTCTCTAGCCAATTAACACTAGAGCACTAACTGATCTCTAAAATGTTGTTCAACTGCTCGTAGCTAATCTGAATCATTCCGGCTGCTTTGCGCTTAACGATTTCTACTCCTTTAAATCTACATAAATTCGGATTGGATTCGTTACTGTAATTAGCGACGTCTATGCTGAGTAGATAGGAAATAGTTAAACAATAGATTACAGTCTAAATGATAAAGAAACCGAGACTCAAACGAAGAACGGAATGAGATAACAAGATTGACCCGACCGACTGCAAATGTTTATTATCTACTTGGACTTTTAATTGGATTTCTGATGACTCGAGTGTTTTGATCTTGACTGAAACGCACTTTATGTTATATATAGTATTACAAGTTTGCATTTTTATTACTAAATTCGACTTAATTTCAGCCGAAGACTGAAATTAGGCCAAAAGTGAAGCTAATTCGACGTTTTTATAAAAATAATACTAATTTGTGTAGCCCTACGAGAACTTAGACTAGAATATTTCTATGTTTTTATTTCCGCTTTTTCACTTCTATTTTTACTTTTAATTTAATTTAATTAATTATCGAGCATTAGACATCATGATTTAATTTTTATTTTTTACATTTACACACAAATAATAATTTTTTTATTCGAATTTTGATAGACGTTAGACTGTGCCGATGCAACTAATTAGAAACATATAATAATACAAAATTGATTTGAGGCATCCGCGAGTAGTTGGTAGTTGGTAGTTGGTAGTTGGCCTAATCATCGCCGCCTGTCATAACTTCCATGAATTCTGGTAAGAAAACAAATAGAATTTTAGACAGTTTAAGTCTCGCAAGCTCTTCAGCTGCTTACCATCAAAGTCCACAGTGCCGGAGCCATCAGAGTCAATTTCTTCGATCATCATGTCCAGGTCATCGTTTGTCAGTTTGTCGTCCAACTCGCGCAGAATCTCGCGCAGAACTCCGGTGGTTATGTAGCCGTTGCCCTCCTTGTCGTACAGTCGGAAGGCCTCCTTCAGCTCGGCCATCATTGCCTCGGCATCTTCCTCGACGAGGAAACGCGCTGCCAGAGTCGTGAACTCCTCGAACTCAATCTGGCCGGAGCCATCCTCGTCGACCTCGGCAATGATTTCGGCTAACGTGGCATCGTCCAGCTGATGGCCCAACATGCTCAGAATGGTGCCAACCATCGTCGTGTTGATGTATCCATTCTTCTCGGGATCAAATGCATTGAAAGCATTGCGCAGCACTGATCACCGGAAAAAGAAGAAAATCCCATTAAATCACAGCGGGACAGGCGCTTGGCAAACAGTCGACTTACGTGCGATTTGCTCCTTTGTTAGTTCGTCCTGCAACGAAATGGAATAAGAATAGAGTTACGGCAATTACTCATATTGCCTTATTCTAGATTGAATATGATATTTTCTTGATTTACACATAAGTCTAATAATAGATCGACCCATTCAGTACAATTTACCTTTCGGTTTATCAACTATTATATAATAAGCTTATTGGATAAAGAGCAGATGCCAAATGTCCAATTCGTATGAGTGTGTGCCCGACTAGCAGATACCCTACACGCTGCTTGTAGCTGCTGTTTCAAATAGTTTAAGTGCCTTGTAGCAATCAGCTCAAGTTATAGATGTTAAATATTTTGTGTATTTGATCTATTTGACTTTGATCAATATTCGCATCCATCTATCAGCTCTACTGTCTCATAATATATGTACATACATAAGCATTCTAATGATACTATCTGCCTATTACATTCATTGTCATTTTTGCCAAATATGGGCAGATTATACCAAAAACTATTTGGCAGAGCAAAAAATCATTTGCTTCTGATATTTTTTGCTTTCGAAAACGATTTAACTATACCAAAACAGTATCAATCTTTGATCAGTATCCAATCTTTCATTGATCGAAACATGCTCCGACATATTTATATAATCACAAATATTTCTCTTTATTTTGAAGTATCTCTCAAGCATTTTATCTAAAGAAAACTTATACATATTTATATATGTATATATATGTCTGCACAAGTATATATATATATATGTTAATTCTTTTGATTGAACTGAATGAATGAATGAATTTCTACAAACGGGCAAAAAGATATTAAAGAAAGCTATTAAAAACAGTTGAGAACACAAAATTGATTTGAAATCTGTTTTGTTATGTAAATTTGTGTAAATAATTCAGATACCCTAATTTATAATGCATTAAAAACATCTGTTGAAATCTTGTAAATATAAAAGCAGAAAATAAAGAATTGAAAGTTCCTAAAACAAGATTTGTAACAGGAAAATATTAGGAAATAATCTTACTTGAAGTTGATAAGCTCGAAGTCTTTATAAGGATTAGAAATTCATGGGAAATTAGTTTTATATCTACATTATAATATAATTATTATTATTTGCTGTAGACTCTTGCTGTTATCAGTTATGCACTATATAGTGAAAGATCGAAGTCAATGGGTTATATTGAAGGTTTCTTTGATGCCTTCTTAAGACATTTTTAAAACACATTTATCCACTTTTAAGTACTAAACTGATCAATTGAATGATGTTCGACTTGAGAACTGTGAACTGTGACTGTGAAAGTGACTGTGAAAGTGACTGTGACTGCGACTGTCACTGTTTTCCACTAATTTTAAACAGGAATAAAACCAAAACTCTGCCACTTCGCACAATTTTAATAATTCATGTTTAAAGTAAGTCAAGCAGAACAGTTCTGTATATAGCCAACATCATTCTCGACCTTTTCTCTATAACTTGAGTTTAAGTTTTAGGAGTTTCTATAGCTGCGTTGCACACACGATTGTCATTGATCGACTTACACTCATGATGTCTGATTTATAGCTATTTGAGGTTGGCGATCTCCAGTGAAAATGTCGTTAGTCGCAGAGTTAAATTCACAGACGCGCGCACACAAACCAACTGAAGGATCCGCAATGCACAGGAAATAGAAAATGAGAATAATTAGAGAAGATGCTGTTAGGACTTCCTGGTGCACAGCCACTGCCAGCGAGACAAGCGGCAAAATATGGATATTGAGGAAAGCCAACACGTGCCTTGAAGTCGCTGCAGCTAAACTGTCACTGCCTCAGACAACAAAACCTCCTGCTGTTTCTGCTTGGATGTGAGTGAAGGAATAATTTTGGCCAAAGCGCAAACGCGAAAAGTCATTTTCGCAAAGGTGGCAGCCCCGCGGCAGATGGCGAGATCAAGAGATGGCCGCGCCGACAGGGCAGGTGATGCGAGGCAGCAGGCACAAGTTCTAGTCGATTTACCTGAATGAATAGAAACACGAACACAACACACTATATGAGTTGAATCAAAAACTTTTCATATTTGTTTGTCGCGCTGTTCTGCTGCTTGCCGCATTTCAGGAATTTCGCATTGAAGGTGCTTGTCTGTATCGCTCTCCCTCTGGCCCACCTCTGTCTCTGTCCTACCATTTATTTATAACTGAAAGAAAATGCATGTTGCTGCATTTTGTGAATGCATGTGTATATGTGTTCATCATAAATAAATGGCTAATACGCTGACGGGTATGCCGAGGAGCCAATATCAGTTTAGCTCTCAAGAAATGGGCTAAGGGAACAAAGCAGTCAGATGATGCCTAGGCATGGAACTGCTGTGGATATAATATTAATTTCTTTACAATATCTATGCCTTGGCAAGGATTGCAAGTAATTAAAATTGAAATTGCCTTGCAAACTAATATGCCCGTTTCGACTGTGTGACTTAGTATAGAAATCATTTTATTGTTAGTTGCGCCCCTTCATAGAGATATAAAATTAAATAGCTGGCATATCATAGAGAAGAAACCGCAATACTATTAGGCCAGAAGTAATCAAAGAGAAGTGCTCTAGTCAGCAATGATTAGCTAGCAGATACCCTGTAAAAAGTCGCCAGGTGCAGACAGCAATGCATGATTCTAAGCCAAAATTGAGAAGCAAAAGCTCAGCAGCCTAGGCAGCTGTTGAGCAGTAAGTGATCGTGACAGAAGGTATATCTATATACATGTAGTTGTATATATATAGTTGTATATATATATATTGAGTGATTAGTGTATATAGCTAGTATCTGAATTTTATAGATTTTTTTATGAGCTTGGCTGGGTAAAATGACTTTGCAGATTGCACAGCCAATCAAACAAGATGTTGTGTGTTCATCTCTAATCTCTTAATATCTGAATTGTGTTGCCTTGGATTTTGTCAGCATCAAATTGTTGCTCATAGACACTGACTTATCAAAGAGCCCTTTTATCTCTATCACATTTTCCATCAACTGACTTACATTTACGTTGCACTATATATAAAATAGACAACTTTTAGCTTAAGTTATTTTAAGTTATATATTTTAAAATAAACTAAAACCTATATTTTAGTTTGGACAGAAATCTAATTCAATATAATTATATATATTCCAGATAACGATTCTATATGCACTACAATAAAGTTTAGAATTCATGCCAAAATTGTCATGTCAGCAGATTGCATTGGAAATACATTTAAACACTATTTTAAAAACGGATTCATAATTCATGGATTCATAATCAAAGACTGAAATCGAGATCTTCATTAGCTGCAACTTATTTCCAATTTATCTGTGAAAACTAGACGAGGTCTGAAACAGCCCAGGTGAGAACTAACTCATATATGGTTACCCCTTTCAGGGAACAACTTTATTTTAGTAATAGTTTTACCCAATTCAATCAATAGTTTTTCAAAAATCACATTTCAACTTGTATTTTCAGCGGGCATTTCAATAATTCTTTTAATATTTACTAACCATCGTTGTGTTGCCCATGCTTAAGTCGGTTTATTGCTATTCGGGATGCACAAATGGCTGAAGCGATGTTATCTTGGCAAAATAATAATTCGGAACGCGGAAATTTTTGGTGTTTGATCTAAATGACAGAACTGAACTAACTGGACCAAGTCAAACCGATGATGGAGGCACACGAACGGAAACATTCATAAATCGGACTCACACGTAGCGACACATGCACGTCAACATTCACATTCGCATGTCTGACATCTGTATATGTGTATGGATATTTATGGATATGTACACACACACGCACACACACACACCCACATTGATACATGGGCACACGTATTCATAAGTAAGTAGAACCGAATTGATTTCGCCGCGAGCAAAATGGCGTGAAAGCGTTTTCTGTGACGTCGACGATGAGAAACCACTATAAATCGTCACGGCAAAGAAATGATCGTAAGCGACTGCAACGGAAAGCAAGTAAGCGTGCTATGGTAGAGCATATCTGACGATCAGCTACCCTACCTGGCTCACATCAATCGATTCTGCATGAACTGTAAAGCCCTCAAATGGCTAATATGCAGTTTTACAATACATAAAACCAAATTTTACGCAATGAATTTACTCTATTAAATCTCTTAAGCTTTTAGCAGAATCTTATACCAACTTTGTTAAGCGAAACTTTAGAAAAACTTAGAATTTAGGCACTATTAAATATTCAAGTTCGATTTCAAATGTCAGCAAAAGACAATTAAAGAAACAGCCAAGCAGATCGATAAGACAAGGTCAACATATACTAATTTTTTACTATATGCATATAACTTCAGAGATTTCTACTTCTTCCTGTAAAATATACTTTCAGAAGACTTGAGTCATTTGACTTTAGTTGACATTTCAAACAGCATAAAATAGGTTTATTCAAGGCAAAGGCAAACTTTTATTTCTCAATTTTCTAGATATCATTTTTAAACTTTTTTTGACATATTATTAAATAATTGTTGCTAACTCAATTGATCCGTTTGTACGAGCGCCTTTAAGCAATATTCGATTCCTCACTTACATAATTCAAGTTTATTTCACATCAAGAATCAATTTTTCCATTGCCTTAAATCAAATTTCAGTTAACTCAACAATTGCCTTATTAATTTTAATTTTTAATTTTTACATTTTGAACTTTATATAGTTTATCGTTTATAGTCTTTCTCGATTTATCCGTCAGCAAACTTAGCAATTTTAATACATTGTCAAATATTCTAGAGTTCGACTATATAAAGAATAAATCACATATTCGACATTCAAAAATAGTCAAATTTATTAAGATTACTTCACTGTAACAAATAAGAAATATCATCCCTTATGACAATTAATCAACAGACGAGCAGACAAAACTAATATACCCTCTTGGCTACACAACGAGTTTAAAGGCTGTATAACAAATAGGCTAAAAGGGCGCTACAACCTCTGCAATTTATTTAGAAAACATAAAAAAGCGAAAATTAACAACTGCGTAAATGTGTGAAAATATAAATTAAAAATTAAAAACTATTTAAATACGCTAAATGCTTGGAGAATGATTGATCTAAGCAGAGCTGATGCTGCCATACACTATATATGTATATATATATATGAATATATATGAATTCATTGAAGAGAAACAACTATAAATCCATTTAATTAGTGGATGTACACACAGACAGTACTTTGTGGTCAAGAGCAAGCCACTAGACTAATTCTATTTAAATTGTAGTCTTTCTCTCTGGCAACTGTGACCCAGCTATGTCCACTTTATGAATGTGCGAATCGCTTGAATTTCTGCCACAAGCGGCTATAAGGCAGCAATTCGAATCTCTTAGTACTGCTATTGTACTACAGCTTAATAGATCTACAGCTATAAAAAACTTTAAAACATTTTAATTATCTTAAAAAAGGAACTACGAAACGGAACAGAAAGAAATCTATAATAAACAAATGAGTGGACTTTTATTATGTTGCACACGAAATAAAAATATAATTTCATGCCAGCCTATGTACATTCGCTTTGACAAAACATCATAAAACAATTATAATATCACATATAAGGGGTTCGAATAGTTCGACGCTGTACGATTTGGCGGCGTTTGCTAAGTATTTTTAGTTGTATTTAAAAATAAATACAATTGCAATCATTCTGTTTGGGTAGAACACGTTTCCACTCACGTGCTGTGGGGCAATAATCTAGCGGATTTCGTAGCAATGTGGGCCTCATACCGAAAGATTGCCAAATTCTATAAATGTACGCGCTCATCTAGCTAATCCAATTAGCAATGAATATTTGTCTATTTATTCAATGCTTTCAAACAGACAACAACAAAAAACAAATAAGACTTTGTCTTCAATAATAAAAATATTGTCAAGTAGACAACAACGTTTGAACTTTGAATAAATTTATAAGTTATGTCAGCTAAAAAGTTTTATTTTGTTTTCAAATTTCGCGGGCAACGTATATGTTAGCATCGATTTCTTTAATAGTTTCAAATGCATTAATCAAACACTACATTCTGCTTATTAGCAATGCATAATGTGTTTTAGGGTAAATTACTTAGTGTACCGTATGCTGTTACTACATATCGCCAAATATTCATACTCTTTTATGTTTGCTTAAATCAAACATAAACGAATTTTATTGTCCACTGTTAGTGTGACCATATTGTTTTAAGTTAAAAATATAATTTTAGCTCGTTTGAGTTACACAGCTTTTAGCTTTTGCGCCTGTCAAATTGTGGCACTTATATTCTAGATCTTATACAAAAAATACTATACACATATACATATAAAATACTAAAATACTTTTATTTAGGTATAGAAAATTCGATTTGAAAGATTTCGATGGATAGAGTAAACTGTTTAATATGCTCATTTTAAGAAAATCTTTTAATTCCTTAGTAAAGGTTTTACTTTTATTATATTTGTATAAAGCGGTGTATTTTATTAAATTATGCCAAACATGGCTTTTTATAAAAGTATGTGTGATAATATCTAATGATAAATTCAGACTGAATTGTTTTTTTTGTTTTGGTATAGGTAAAGATATATGTATAGTTAGTGTTAATTCATACAAAAATTCGATTAGGCTACCAGTTACTTAGGAAATCAAATCCTTTAGGCATTTGCACTTTTTCTGGCAATAGTTTACAATTTTCGGAGTGCTGGTCTTTGGTGTCATTTTCGGAATCATTTGAATCAGTTGATACGCTTAATAGAGTGTTCTTTGATCCAAAATTTGATAATAGATTACACTTCTCGACGTCAATCAAATTGGTCGACTCCGTACATCGATTTATGTTCCTTTTCTTAGTCTCCTCCTGCTCCTTGTCTAATGATGGCGATTTTATTTGAGTTTGATGAACTACTGATCGTACTGGTTCCGGTTCTGGCTCAGTTTCAGGTGCTCGTTGAGGTTCAGGTTCGAGAACAGTTTTTGTTTGAAACGGTGGGATCTTTTTGGGTGTACTAGCAATTGGAATATTTTTGCATATTCCAATTTCGGTTAGATTCATTTGGGATTTAGTTTTATAACTAAATGGAAATGAATGCTCATCCCGATAGTCTCCAATATTTTCGTCATGGAGTATCTTTAAGCCAACGCTTTGTGGAATAAATGTATATATGTTCAATCTATCGAATCCATATATTAAATTATTCTTCTGGCCTGTCGTTAGTTTCTTCTTGTTCAATCGAGGCTCTGATTCTGTGCGAGAGTGCGTACTCGACGTTGAGCTTAAAGCGTTATTATAATATCTTATAGTTATTTCAGGTTTTATAATAGTATCGTTCAGTATATTATCTTGCTCAGTTGGAGTTAAGGTTAGCCAAACGTGATCATAGGCCGATATCACTTCGCTCATATCAAAAGCTATCTTCTCGGCCAGTGGATTTAGTTTCGAAAAATAGCCATGTAACCATTGATTTGTAGGCATTTTAACTCTGCAATGGATGAATAATAAGAATTTAAAAATAATTAATTTCAATTTGAACTTAAAAATAACAATAGGTAACATGAGGTGCCGGCCTGAACTTCTGCCTTTATATCTATTTCATTAAAAGTATTTGTTATAAATTAAATATTTTCATAAAAAAACTATTTTCATTTTGGATTTCTTGACATCTTGTCTAGTCTTATTCAGTTCATATTTAATTGAGTATCTAAAATATTCTACAATTTTTACATATACATTACCCTAATTGTAATAAAACGCATTACCTTCAAGTCTGTCTGTGTGTGTTAGCCGAGCATATGTTTATTGAATATAGATTCTTCCCGATGTCTATTGCAGCTTACAATATAATTGAATTATAATCAATTACTTCGTTTTTCGGTATGTTTGGCTTCCCTATTGTTTGTTTTTATTTTTTATTTCTGGCAATAATGTAGACAATAGTAGGGATGAGAGAACAAAGAAAACATCGGTGATGGTTTCTTATTACACATGCCAATGCATAACAATCGATATATACGAGAACATCGGCACAGTTGCCGGAAAAATAAATATTTAAAATATAAAGCAACAGTTTAACAAGCGCTGCAGTATTTCTGAAAAAATATTCTTAAGTTCCAATGTAAGTTTTCTAGGATAAATGGTTAATTTAACTAAAACGTGCGGATAACGGTTGTAAACTATCGTAGAAATGCCAAGCCGGGCAAATAATAGTATCGATTCAACTTTATACTTGATTTATCGAATAGATCTACCTTCAAATCAGGTTTCCGTTCAATTTAAGTTTCAATTTGTTCAATTTTAACAGACGTATATCTGTTGGGCATTAATTTTAAGTTTTGAGTTTATGAAGTTCCGTGCATTTACATATGAAAACGTTTTCGATTGTATTCAACAATAGTTCAAAAATCGATAAGGGTACTGAAAAACGTATGCATCTCAATGTGAATTCGTGAATTAAGATAGACTGATTGAATCTAATGGTATTTCCATTCTTTAATTATGCTCAGCCTTATTTTTATATACTATATAATATACATATATATATATGTGTTTGTGTATTATATACTTCCCAGCGATTATGTTATCTAATCAATTTGATTTGAATAATAATAATTATAACGCATAATAAGGCTAATCACTGATAATGGGCATGACTGATTTGATAAATTAACCATTCAATTGTGAATCTTGTTTAGTGTCATGAGAACAAGTTGAAAGGTTGACGGCTATCGACATCGCTTTCAAAAAGTATTATGTTTAAGACCAAATCGTTCGATCTAAAAAATGATGAAGCTGGGAAGAAACGCGAACATCTCTATCAGCCACGGAAAGCCCAATGGCTGAAGTACATAATGCAGCCGGCTACAATTGCCTTTGTTATTATTTTAATAGTCTGCAATATTGATTTCTCGGATGAACCCGATGAGGAAAGCCCGTCGTCCATATCAAAGGCATCAGTGCCGTTCTACGATCAAAATTTAATTCAGTTAAATTTCGAGCATAGCATGAACAAAACGGATTGCCGTGAACATCTTTCACTGCTCTTTGAAAACTACCATTTTCCAAATGGAGCTATTCAGCGCAATATCTTCTATGGTGAATACACATTGCAGAGCCTAGTCCTAAGCAATTGTCAACTGAAGCACATTGCCGACGGAACCTTCGATCAGAAAAGCTTGCGCAATATACAAAATCTGGAGTTAATTAACACTAAACTGAGGAAACTAACGAATGAAACATTTCGCGGCCTTAATAAACTCTCTAACTTTACACTGATCAACAGAAGAAGATCGTTGAGCTGCAAAGGATTTCTGTTGCCAGTGGCACACAGTCTACGTGCCGCAAAAATAAGTCTGCAATACACGAACTATAAAGTCTATAAGCCTGCATACTTTTTTGGTCAAGCAGTTTATAAACAACTAAAAGTTTTAGATCTTAGCGGAAATAACATCGGAGAAACTGTGGAAATTAATAGTTTCGGGAACATGCCAGCCTTGGAGTCTCTCAACTTGGCCAACTGTCGATTGATAAGTTTTAATTTTGATTTCCCTAAGGAATTTCGATACTTGGACTTGAGCGGCAACAAACTAACTGAGCTCAGTGCTCAGCTTGTATTAATTGCAAGGGAAAGAGATATAAAGCTTAAGCTTGCGGCTAACAATTGGGATTGTAGCTATGCCAACTTGGATTTGTTTAAGTCCTTGAACATAAAGCCTTGCCTTGAGTCTGTAAGAAAAACACGAGACTTAATTATTGATACTAATCCAACCGCTGCTTCAGATGACTCTGAAGCAATAGACGCAACTACAACAACAACAACAATCGCGAACACAACACGGGCTACAAGTAATCGAGATAATCAAGCTCCTGCTAAGACAACTAAAGCGCCAAGCACAACAACAACTACCACGCCTATATCCACTGTCTGGACAAGACCTATACCAACTGACTGGACAACAACTATACCAACCACCTGGACAACAGACGATACACCAAGTGACTTGACTACTGCGTGGGATATACCAACGACAACTGATTTAGCAAACGACGATTCCCTCCTATATGACGATATCATATGTGTTAATGCCGAAAGAGAGACTCTTAGTACCACATCCATAGCCTACAATGCACAAATCACAATTGTAGAAGATTCCCAGGGAAAAGTTAATGTTGTTTTGTCCCAATTGAAAGCTGATGTCTGGAGCATTGTCTACTTTTCGAATGCCAATGATAAAAATGAAATTGAAAATGGCCATTCAGTTGATGGCTTAGATAATAAAATGATAGAAATTAAATATTTAAGCTGCGCAACTTCGTACGTTTTTTGTCTGGTAGACAAAAATGTGACATCTCCATTCAATTGTCGTTCGCATCGCACAAAGTCTTGTCTCCGAGAGCTGTTGTGGTTCGAGGCGCACAGCGTTCCGATAATAACTTCTGCAATCGTTGGGATGCTACTCTGCGTAACTCTGGGTCTATTTGCTATATACGGCATCCTCTGGTTACGACCAACCTGGCTTTGGGGTAGTAAACGATTGCTACGTCCCACATCGCAATCAAATACAATGCTGCTATTGCCAAGAGACTACGAAAAGGAGGCTTACGACACCATACGGCAAGTTGTTGAGAATCAGCCCCAAAAAGTATGCTACATTAATAACTTTTTTGTTCTTTCCTATATAAATAGCTATCCTGACTCTAAGGGCAACATTAATGAATACGCATCCTACTATCGGCACTTAGAAGCCCAGCTCTATCGAGGAGAGTCGAATAAGTACAACGTACCGCCCATAGAACGTGCTCCCTCCATACCACCATCCTTGAGTAAAAGCACAATATCCACAAATCCTAATACATATACTTACGAATGCTTTGAGTTATATGAAGAACTTTATTAAACGAAGCACATTAAACAGATGTTACAAAAGACATTATATATATACTATATATTTCTAGTGGCCAAGTCTTTTTCTTGGGAACAGGCTTTCCAGACTATTATAGGCCAACATTGTCAATGCTACCTAAATTCATAAGCTTCTTATATTATATCGTATACTTAGAATAACTGTAACCATTTTAGGAATAAAAGTAAACATAAATAAAAGTAAACATAAAAGTCAATTTACCATTCAATCAATTTATTGAAATTTTTATATATTTTTTTCATGTTTATTTTTCACATTTCTTGTTCTTCTCTAGCTTCGATTGCCTTTGATGTGGAAACTTAGCATTGTAGTTAAAGAGTCCAAATTTGATTGAAAACTTTTAAAAGCTACGTCATTTTGTTTTAGTTTGAAACCAAACTCTCAATATTCTAAAAATTTCGTTGGGAATAGATTTAGGCATCTATGTATACTCAGGAAAGTTCCTTTTAAAATCCAACTTTGCTTTAGTAGCAAAGCTCTTACTATACAAGATCATTCCACTTCAATATTTTCATCTATTATAAATTAGATTTGATATTAACTGATTGGTTAGATTGTTTTTTTTTTTAACACAACTCGCAAGCTGTAAGAGCTTAAGTTCCCAAATTAAAAATTAAAATTAAATTAACAAATTTAATTAATTATTATTATATTATATTATAAATATTTTATTTGATGTATAATTTATATGCAGAGTATAGTCTATTTGACGAGACGGAACTTTGACTTTGAAGTTTCTAGATCTAATTTGGGTTAAAAATAAACCAACACAAACAGACACAACAAAGTATTTGCTATATCTGCAACATAATAAGTCAATCAGTGACAATCAGTAATGCTTGAACATACTGAATGTATATACAATATATATATATTTATATATACTACTATATATATATATGTATATATGCTAATTGTAGTTATCAGAACAATAATATTATTGATTGGTCATATGAATAAGTATTATCAGCATATACCTATACCTATACCTATACATATATATATCTAATGTGAACGATAAGCCAAAACCCAAATGCAAATGCTTCGTTGTCAATACTGTATTAATCAGTTTGGGTTTTGCTTGACAGCTGCGTTAAAGCTCTTTAGCTCTCTTGCCAAAATGCAATTGGCACTCAATTCTATGGAGAATAAAAACAGCAGCACAGATTGCGATGCATTGCGGTAATTCTTTAATAACTATATATATATATTTATCTTGAGATAGCTCATTATAAGAATGCCACTCAATGGTTTCATGTTTCCCTTTCGCTTTAAACTTTCAGCTCAAGAAAATCAAAAGGCAAAAATGTGGAACACTTAACAACGAAAATCTTGTCTCGACTCTTGTTGAGCTTATGCACCGGATTATTAATTATATCACTAATTGTATATATTATATTTCGGATAAAAAGCGATTGTATTCCGCTTGAAGACGCCCACAGCAATGCTGCCTTTATCCGTGTGATGGATGACAGTGAGGAGCTAGATTCATCAGCTGAGCTTTTCGGGTGAAACTGAACACTAAAGAGTATATAAAATATATAGATATCTTAATCCTATCCAACGTTTACAGAATAATTACAGATGCAGCAAATAGCCAAGGCTGTTACGAGCTGACCTGTCGCATTGAGTGCATACGAAATGAAGATCTTTATGCGGAGGCAGCTGCCGCGATGAATGCTACAGATTGTGACTTGATTACCTCGTTGATCATCTCAAATCAAAATCAAACATATATAGACAACTATTGGATCGATGTGAATACTACAGTGCTAAGAATTGCGCTGATCAAAAGTAATTTGACGAAGATCAAAAGCGGAGCCTTTAATGCGCCAATGTTTTCAAAGGTTTTGCACATGATTTGGCTGGACCTGAAACTGAATGAAGTTAGCAATGGAGCCCTGTTAGGGCTCTACTCGTTAAAGAAGTTCGAAATCGATTTCAAAGTGCCCACCATACAGTTGACTCTGCTGCAGCCCGTCCAGATGACCCTGACCAACTTGAGATTGAATTGTGGCATCACTTTCAAGAGCGATTCCAATATTTTCGAAAACATCTACTTGGGCAAGCTGGTGCACCTGGACTTGAGCCACAACACCTTCAAAGGCCCACTGACCAAGCACCTTTTCAGTGCCACGCCAAACGTTACTTATCTATATCTGAAATACTGTTATATAACTGCAATCGAAGATTCGGCCTTTGAGAACATAGCAGAAAAACTGATTTTAGTCGACCTGAAGAACAATTTGTTAACGCATTTCAATGCCGACTCGCTGGGCCTTGGCAAAAATCTACGACTATTCGATGTTGAGCCAAATAACTGGAATTGTAATTGCCAACTGCGATCGATGATCGAGTTCTACAAGAAAATGAAAAGTTCCTTTATAAGTGCCCCATATTGCCGCATGCCACTGCGACTATATGGTAAGAGCTTTGACGAACTCAGTGACAAAGAGCTGGAATGTGATAAGGCAGATGACATGGATCAGATAACAAAGGCTGACGATAATCCAGAGCCAAAGCCCACAGTTCCCTACGGTCCCATACTGCAATTCAGTTGCACGCAAGCTATCGCTATAACAGAAGTCGATAAAACTATTGATCGCCAAAAGCGATATTTAAATAACGATAATCAGAATTACGCCGCGTTCAACTCGGGCAACTTTGTTTTCGAACCACCCAGCTATGATCTGGATTTGCAAATACTACAAAATTACAGTGTGCGCGCCTTGATAGAGGAATATGATGCATCCGACAGACTGAACATTGTTTGGTTTACAGAAAATGAATACACTGAGTCGAATTTCGAGACCACATCATCGCCAAAGGACTACAATTGCATGCTGTACGAAGAGCCCTATTTACTGACTGATCCGCTGCAACAAAATCATACCTACACCTTTTGCATGATGTCTGAGAGCCAGGTGGTTGTGTCTCCATTATCGTGCCAGCCTCTGCATATACCACTGGATGAGGTTCACAATGAGACGGATGAGGTCATTGTAATTGAGAGGGATAAACAGTTTACCATCGGAATGCTTTGCCTGATATTTTTCATATCGATTGTGTTCGGAGCTATATTTGCGTATCTAGGCCTCAAATCCTTTCCTAATCTGTTGGAAGGCTCCAAAAATGTTGTCGTTATCAAGGAATCGGATAAGACGTGTTTCGTCTCAACCATAGCCGAATCAAAATATGTGAAAAGCCCGTTCAACAATGGCAAAAACTCAATTCGTATTGGCGACGAAGAGTGAGTCCGCTACATGCATGCCTAGTAGATATATAAGTAATCCAAATTATGTTTTCAACCAGGTCATCGGAAGTATTCACTGTGGCCAGCGACATTAAGGTGCCCAACTCGGCTAGCTTGAGGTCATCGTCCACATGTTTTGAAGATTGCTTCTCTAGTGCTACTGATGTACAGGCCATGGAATACGAGATGCCCATCAAATTGAATGAAAGCCGCAAACTTAGTGAGGGTGTCGACCGACCCAACTCTCCACCACCATTGCCCAAGCGCAATTCCAAAAATTCATTGACTATGGATCTGCAACCCTTATCGTGTGAAAAGTTCCCAAAACCAACTTGAGTGCGGTACAGTTAGCAGTGATTTCAGATACATACACGTATACATATTATGACAGTCATTATATATATATATACAAATTTACAAAAATATGTAAAACATTATTTATGAAGTCAGACTAATGTTAAAAAGTTCTTTTCGCTTTCTTACTTGTCACTACTATTTTTATGAACAACTACAGTTTGTTCAGTTTTCTTTCTCAAGCTCTGAAGTGCATAAGTTTTTCAGATTGTAATAAAGAGCAGCTAAATTAAAGAAAAAATATCTTAATATTCGACTTAAATTGTTTTTAACATATTGTGTTTATCATTCAATTTTATTGTCTAACACTTAGTGCTCGCAGCACTACTATTTTTATGAACAAAGCTGAATATCTATAAAAATTTTTTAATATTATGCATGTAGTAAATTATGTAAAATTTTTTGTTTTATTTTATAAAGAAATTCTTAAATAGAAACAACTTAATTAGGTAATATTTATTTATCATCTTAAAAGCAAACACCAATAGACTTATACGTACTATATAACTATACGTACTTTATATAACTGGATAAATGTGAATTGTAAGACCTTAGAGATACAGAAATACGGTTAGCAAGCCTTCCAAGAATCTAAAGATATATAATTTAGGAATTGGAAAAAATGTCTCTTATGAGATTTTTCGTTACTTTGACCCCCTTGTGACTGCGGCATCAGTCTCTATTACTCAGATCGCTCCAAAAAGCATTAATTTAGAGCAGCTATAAGCAAGCAATGAACGACTTCTAAGCTCTTAAACACACCTATACTAAATAGCTGCGCAGTGTACTATGTATCCATGTTAGTTGTTTTCCATTTTTCTTTATAAACCCAGACGAGTGATTTTGCTATCAATTTGGCTGTCATATTAATGGATCAGAAAATCAATACACCTGTAGCTGCTATCTCATAGTCGAGTACACGAACTACTTAAATACCTGATATGAATATTGTTATGGCTAGTATAATCTACTATTCAGTGTTCAGTATTCAGCTAAACATTCAGTAAACCATTGGCGCTCGGGACATAAACTAGTTCGAATAGCTTGCCCATGAAACACTATACTCATAAAACGTATACCTTTCTGTTTGATCTACCTTATAGCCCTTATAAGTGGCTCAATATTGCTGGATACCATTTGAATTAGAAACATCAAATTCTCTGTTATGCTCGGGCTTTGGTCAATAATTCAATCGCACTCCTTGACCATTTTCTACCTATTTCATGTCTGGGCTAATTTCTCAACACTCGCCCAACAGCTACCGCAAGCCGACAATGGCAATTTGTATATACATCGGACAATCGAAAAGTACAAGGAAGCTATACAAAATATCAGGTACTGTATCTAATAATATCACAAAAATCTCTATAGCTCGAAATATTGATTGCTGAGGCTATTGGAAAGGAATGAGTAGGCTAAACTAGCTTCAGTTCGACTTCTGTAGGTTTCTAAGACTTGGTGTGCAGAGATCATATGGATATAGTATCTTAGTTCATAAAGAGCCTAAGGCTATACAACTGAATGCGAACTACATTTGAAACCTTTCAATATTCTCAAGAGAACGAAATGCTTCATAATAGTCAATAATAGAGACAGCTAAGCCCTCGTTCCAGGGTATTTGCTAGTCACACACACCCGCAATGCGGCTACCCTTACTGCTTCGCATGTGCCCTAATCTGCATATATGATAAAATGATAAATGATTTTATGATGTGGCATGCATCGTGCACACATAACTAGATTTATTTTGATAACACTTTATTGTATTTTGTTTTTATTCTGTTTCGAAATGCGCAAAATTGGAAGCAATCGGCTTTTTGCAACATTTATCAGCGCAGCGGAAACCCAGTGAAAGTGCGTAATTGAGCTGTGATAGATGTGTTATAGCACAAGGCATAATCGATCTTAAATTAACGATACACGAACTGAGCCGATGCATTTCAATTGGTCTATCGATCACACAAGTTAATTAAGCCCCTGCCTAAGGCAACGTAACAAAAACTATGAAATTAATTAGCCTACCTCAGCCTAGCCTCTTCAAAAGCAATCTCATTCATTTTTTAAATTTTTATAAGCCTAATATCCAATATTCTATATCTATATATTGTTTTGCCTACCAGTATTTTTCTGGATGAGGTGGATAACATCGATTTAATTCCGCCAAAGTGCATAAAAGTTCAGTGCCGAATCATTTGCTCCAATGGGCGACAGGAGGAGATTGCGAATGATATATCACTTACATTGGGGCATTCAAACAGCGTAAGTCAACCTCATCAATCAGCGTTCATGCAATGGCAATTCAAGCAAAATAAAATGAAAGTTTTTGTTTGTTTTCTAGAGCCATTTTTGTGATATCATAGACGAGCTGTATCTATACAACTACAAGTTTCCCGATGATATGTTACCAGTCGGATTCTTATCCACATACGTCAATAGGACCAAGATAATATATTTGGGTATCTCAAATATAAGAAGCATTCAGAGTGGAGCCTTTGGTGGTGGCATATTCAGGCATATTATTCTCGAGGATCTTCAGATTAAGCAATTGGATAAACACGTTTTTGCCAATATATCAGCAGATCTGAAGGAAGTTTCAATTGTGCAACATAACACGCCTGTGGAAAGTATATACCCAGATTTATTGGATAATGTGGTATTCCAAATTGAAAGCTTAAGACTTGAAGTTGGCATCGACTGTATACACAATGTGACTGGCACTGGATCCATTCTAGGTGCTCTCGTCCACGCCGACTTCAGTAATAACGACTTTGCTGACAAACTGCTTGAAGGCACGTTCAAAAAATTAACTATGGTCGAGCGACTTATTCTGTCCTACTCGAATATTATGTACTTACCCAGCTATATTTTTCAAGGTAATTTGAGCTCTCTGTTTTATTTGACTCATAAGCAAAACTTTTTCAATTAAAACTCATTTCAGGCATGAAATACTTGGAACTATTGGACATATCGAACAATAAGCTGATCACAATATCTCAGACAATATTTGGTATACAAAGGATTTCAAGTAACTTAAAAATCTACGCCGGCTCCAATAATTGGCACTGCGATTGCCTACTGCAAAGGGAATTGAACGAGATCTTTGCTTATCACAATTCGAAATTGGATATGTTTTGCGCATCGCCGGAGGAGTACAAAAACTGGATGGTATTCGATGAGCGTATATGTTCAGACGATGGCGCTGCGCAACCACCATCAATGGAAGCCACAACGACGACCACAAAAGCAACCACCACCACATTTAGGACTACCACTTCTACTACTAGGCCAACTACTAGCGCTACTATTAGGACTACCACTTCAGTCACAACACCCGATATAAATTTTCTACCATCAATCTCAACCGCTAGCACGGTTAACCCCGATGAGATCGTGCCCCTCGAGTGTTTGTCCGCAAATAATTATGCAGTCGGCAACTTCAATAGCCAGCGACAGAGTGTCAGATGGCCGCAAATAAACTTCATTCCCACATATTTTGGCGGGGTCACAGTGAAAATTAGCGTCGAGCAAAACGATGGCCAAAGCTCTCTTGGCGTCTTCTGGTTCTCGAAGACAACAAAGGAATATTATATGATGGAACTGCTGCCGGATGAGTTCGGTCTCGGCTGCTATTTCACCGTGCCACTCCATACAATTGTCACCAACCTCATACCAAATGCGGCCTACACCTTTTGCCTGGTCGACGATGGGCACAACAGCGTTTCGCCTTTCAGCTGCAAGTCCGTACAGGTTGGCGGCAATTTGAATACGTCTTACAATTCCTGGTCATCAAGCAAGATGTTAGCTAGTGTGAGTATACTGCAAGTGGCAGGGTTATGACAACTGAGGTATCTGTACAGCTGAGCATTCCCAATAGATATCTGTTTTTAATAAGTATGTAACCCATCGATCTTTTACATTTGATTGCAGGGTATTTCTTTAATGGTGCTCGGCGTCGTTGTCTTCATGTTAATTGGCATTATGATCATGTATTTGGTTTTGAAGAAGAAACCAAGTTTGTTAAAGGGCAGCAAACGCGTCGTCAAACCAAAACATAGCTCTGGCGAAATTGTCGTCTTGCCACGTTCAAAAGCAGCTCAGAAATTCCATTATAAAGAGAAGACAGTAAGACAACAATGCACCCACCATAGGTAAGTAAATGATAAGTGGAAAACAGAAAATTAAAAAGAAAATAAGCAAAGTGGGCAAGAGTGTCTCGTAGTTAATGCTTGTTTTGCTCTTCTTCGATTCTAAAACAATATAACTTATATTTCATTTACAGGTTCTGTTCCTTTTTGCCTAGACGCAGCTCCATGGAGAGCATGGCCAGCAGCGACAGTTATATAAACCAAAATGTTTACGAAGTTATTCCGACTTATATAACATTCGATAAAATACCACAAATAGATGCACCCGCACAGCCAGAACCTCAAATATTCAACAATTATGAGTGTCGATCCTCTTTTCCCCATAGAGAGAGTGTGAGATATGCGCAGATTACGCCGCGAACCAAACGCATTTCCAGTGATCCATTGCCATCGCTTCCAACTGACTTATAATTGGCCAACAAGAGATTTCATTGCTCGGTATTTAACACAAATAGTAAAAGCCTTTGTGACAATATTATACTTATTACGTATAGATCAAAAATAAACTCTAACTATAGAGGATTTATAATATATGAAAACCTTTGTAACAAATTTCGTAATTTCGTAATTAAAGTCTTTATGCAAAAGATTTATGCAAAGGAAACTTCTTCAACAAACTATATTATGTCTAAGTAATATGCTGAGCAGATAGTTCTATCCTTATAGGTCTGCGACTCCATTCACTCAGAACAGCTCTGTATACATACCATTGTTTCAAGATATAAATACACTGGCTACAAATTCTTCGGAAATTATATATATATAATAAAAATATAATCTCAAATGTTAGTCTACATACATATGTACATATAGAGATCCAAAAATAAGCCACAATAAAGGATACATCATTTAAAAATAAAATCAGTTCCTGAAATTTTTCCAATTTAATATTTTTATAATCATAAAAATTTTGAATTGTTTACCTTTCTAATTTGTTTAATCTATAGTTTTTTTGTGTATACAGTACAACATATATACGCTAATCGAACCTTATGGTATAACCTTGATTATAAATTGAGTGGCTAAGAAAAAAATCCATTAGGCAACAGACATGTTACTTATATAATTTAATAAATAATATTCTAAATCGATATATATATATAAATATGTTTAAATTTATGTTTTATGTGAATCGTGATCATATGGACATTTTCTGTGCTGCCTATAGAATAACCTATTTACAAGTGTGCTCCTCGAGTACTTTTGTACATACATCGCATTTAACCTGGCAGCACCAGTGGAATTTGCAGTTGCAGCGCTCACGAACAATAATATTTTTGGTGTTGTACCCTCGGCCACAGCAAAGTATACCGCAACCATCAAGTCCCGATGACGATTTGTTACAGACGCGGCCGTGCGTGCCTTAAAAAATAGGAAAAACATCCATTAGATATGCATATCTATATATAAATATGCGTGATGAACATTTGCTTACCTGACCATTGCAAGAGACGATTAGTTCGACACCAGTCGGGGCTTTCATCTAAATAAATTAAATCATGTGCAGTGGGAACCTTAAATTCGCTGTTTTTAACCTGAAGACGTCCGCGTTTATTCAGCTTGACTTCTGTAGCCTCTTCATATTTTTCACGCAAATAATCACCTATAAAATTACAAAAATATATTACCTATTTAGTATCTTATATTATTATATGAAACTTTTTAATGGCCACAGTGATGCCTGCTAAGGTGTGTCTCACATAGCTCTCATACAGCATAAACTTACCAATTTCTCTTATGGAAGATAATTGCTGCCAACACGTTATCAAACTGCAAGAGCCTGAGACTCCATGGCATTTGCAAGTTATGCGTGTTTTTTTAATCACCGCCTAAATTAATGAAATAAATATGTTAGTACAAAATTTGGCAATATTTAGATAAGTTGATTAACTATTGATTATTATTGTTAGAGGGGCTTATTCTTACCCTTCGGCCAGCTTCATTGTTGTGTAAATTCATTAGACTTCGAGCCTTATTGTTAATGTTGGGGAGAAAAGGTGCATCTCCACTGACAGCCCGTTGATTTTTACGCTTGCGCTTACGCCTCTTGCTATTGGACTCCCCGAGGAAAAGCTTTGAGTTTAGGATTTCACGATTTATTTTTTCCTGTCATAAAATAGTTTAATATTTTAATTAATATTACAAATTATTAACAATCCTTTTCTTTACCTGTAATTCAAGCATTTCTGTTTCCTTTAATTTCGAATTGAGAATTTCTTTTGTAATTCGTTCCTGAAGCTCCAATAAATCGTCCGGGTTTATACGTGGCTCTGCCCCATCTCCATCTCCGGCTTCATACTCTTGTTTGGGCGGTGCAAGCGACGACGACGACGATGGTGGACGTATTGTTGGTATTTTATCCAAAGGCTGATCTTTCATTTTACTGTTGGCCTTCGGCTGCACCTCATACAGAACAGATGCCGTTGAATTGCTCTCTGTGACGGCTCCATTCACCAAATGCAATTTTTTAGTAGTTTTCGGAGTCGTCACATTTAAATCGGACTTCCCAGCATCCTTTGTACCATTCGTTTCAATTTGCTTGCGCTTTTGTTGCGATTGATGCGTGCCACGACGCTCGGGGCTGCCTGCACCGCGAGTGCCGCGCCGTGTTTCCTTCTCACGTACATCAATAAAATCTGTTGCAAATCTAACGATATAAGAAGATGAAATATTCTATAGTCAATGTATATTTTATGTGGCTATATCGATTCTTATTCATATTGAGTTTTTGAGATACATATTTGACGAGAGACAGCCGTAAGGGCAGGCGGACGTGGCTAGCTTGACTCAGATAATTATCCAAATCAATAACATATACTTTATGATATGAGACACCTACTTCTGCCTCTTGCATACATTTGCACAAAAACTAACTAGGATATAATAACCATTCACATTATCCATACTAACTTGTATGGTTATAATCCGGTCTAGATGGAATTTCGATTGAGATCTATGTAGTATAATTAGAAGTGCATAATTGAAATTTGTACTCACTTGTATGCATACTCGAGATTGTCACCGCAGCCACCCCAAGTCCAGTCATCGTGCAACTGCTTGGGTCGTGAGCCACGCGAACAGCCGCACGAAGTCAACTGACCATCGCGACAGGCGCGAGCTATAAAACTGGTCACTGTAGCTGCAGCTAGCGCATGTATGAAGGCCATTTCTGGTGATCCTGAAATGGTAAGATATGAGATGAAGACAATATAAATTTAAAGGTTAAGCTAATTGGTTTTATAACATTCAAATATGCATATTCATAAGCTACAGACAGCATATCTAAGTTTTCTCTCAAAGCTAAGTAGATTTATAGATGCTGCAGCCTCAAGGCACTGTGTTTTACCTAAACCAGACATGGGTCCAAACACGGAGACATCGTCTGTGGTGCTGCAATTCCAACGTCGATTTTTGAATTGAAATTGGCATTCCTAAAAAAAGTAAGTACAGTTAAATATATTTCTCAATATTGCCTCTGTGGTTGACTTAATTACCTGTATAGCTGCCCGCGCTCCTCGACTTATCGCCGGCATAACGCTCGTGTGCAAGGCACACAGCTTCTTCTGTCCATATGTAAGGCCATCAACTGTGTAACAGTTATCAGGATTTAAGTCTATAGTTTCTGAATATGCCATTGGGGCTGGCGTTGTTTCATTATCTTGATCTTTAGGCACCATCATGCCGAACTGATGCATATTAGCGAGCATAAACTCGCGATCGTTGGTAACACCTGCAGATGTCATTATAATGTCATGAGCAAAGTAATTGGCAGCAGGCGCAGGTTTCTCAATTGAGACTGGTGCTTGATCTGCTTGGGTGCCACTGGCGTAGCGCCGTTTGTGCTGTGAGCGTGTGACACGCGATAGAATTTGAAGTTCTGGAGCATCGTCTGTTTGAGACGAGGCAGAATGAACTTTAAATGAATCGGGTATTTCAATGGACACTGCGAAACGTTTAGTGTTATTTATCGTTTGTACGATAGGCTCAAAGCGTGGCCGCATAAATTCCGCCTGACCGCGAAACCATTCGTCGCGCTCACGCTGTCTCTGCTGCTCCTCACGCTGACGTTGGCGCACGCACTTGGGAGAGTCTGGATTTCGCAAGCAAACGGGACGCTTCGTAGTTCGCTTCGATGTTGTGTCTAACACAGTGGGCGTGGTAGTTGTAGGTGTGCTTTTTGCTGTTGTCGTCTGCTCCTCACTCAGCAGATGCACTTGGGGAACTGTATCGAAACTGCCACGTTCCTTACTACGATCCATTGTGCCAACATCACCGCCAATCGTCTGAAAGAAACTGTTTGTCTCCTCTTCATTGTGATAATAGCCACCAAATGGCTTCTGTCCCGGTGTGTGAGCTCCCTGAGGTACTTTGCGTGTGGGCGGAGCTATTGGAGCAGCATATTGCAGTATTGGTCTTTGGGGCCGCTTAGCACTCGGAACCGATCCCGTTGACTGCTTGGTCTTTTCCTTCTGTAGGCTAGGGAACTTCACAAACTTAGACTCAAAGTTGTTGTCACTCTTTGTCATGTTGTGCAGAAACAGTATGTGTTTCTTAAGATCGTCAATATTCGATGTCGGATCAGGTGTTGTTGTTGTGCTCGTTTGCGTTGTTGTGCTTCGACGGCGCGATGCCATAGCCATAGCAGAACGTGTTGGCATTGTGCTAGCAGAAACGGGCGTTCTGCTCGAGACGGACCAGCGCTCGGGCGATGCATTCTTCAGTGCCATGGGCACAATAAACTTGCGATCCTCATCGGTTAGACTGGCTGGAAGACCATTTTCATCGGTATCCTCATCGAGCAGAATTATCTGCTTCTGATCCATTTCCTCCTGAATGGGATGTATGCGCCGAGCCTGAGCGCTTGGCGTTTCCAGTCTTTTGGTAAGATCGGCCTTAACATAGCCTGTCTCCGAATCACGCAGATCCACAGGCTTTATGAACGTACCCAACTTGCGCAAACCCTCCTGGTGCATGTAGGCCTGTTCATCTTTGGTGATATTAAGTGGTATGCTCGTATTTGCCAGCATCTCTTCATGTGGACCAAACTCAATAAACGGCGACCTTAAACCCAGACAGCTGCAAAATAAAAGCAATTTGAAACGTTTATTTTGTATTTTATAACATTCATTTATATGAACTGAAGAACAATATTTCCTACTCTACAAAACCATCGACGAAGTCCTTACGAATTTCAGACTTTGTTCCTTGATAAATTTTGCCAAACAAAACTTGACTTCAAGCCTCTGAAAGCGACTTCTCAGGCTGAAATCAGTGGTGGCTTCAAACTGAATATCGATCCTAAGTAACCTATTATAAAGGCTGAAAGAGTTTTCTCGCTTCCATTCAAAATTCAGAGACTGACTAATAAACGATAAGCATTGAATATATGCCTATATATTTAAGCTAGTTTTCTTCCCTATAAATAGATGTATTCATTTCAGTTATAATCACTCAGTTATTGAAAAGATATGTCCAAAATTAAAAAAAAAATAAATAAAACCAACATAAGCAAAATAACTAAATGTAACTAAGAAATTTAACAATAATATTATCCTTATATATATAACCAACTCCAGTTACAGTCGTTCGTTTCTTTGATATAATTGACTAGAACACAAAGAGTTTGATAAAACATCCAAGTAGATTCATGTAAACAGATACATTTATCATCCTAAGAGTGTTTTCAGTTAGAAATTTTATAGCATAACATAATAGGCTTGCTGTAAATAGTTTTTCTTAAATCTTAATAAAGGATCCTTAGTAATCAATAATACAAATTCTTTTTCATACAATACATTAACTGCACAGTTCTATTGACTATTTTAAACTTACTTATTTTATTAGATTTTACTATTGGATCGCCAATGAACATTAAATTGTGTTAGGGAAAAGCACTTTCGTTTTCAGAGACTATTTTCAGTTAACGGTTTTTCCAATTTCTGTAATTCCGAAAGGTCAAATTGAGACGAGAAAAATTCGTAGATTCAAATCTATATAATTTTGATTGTTATTTGACTTTGTAATCTAGTATTGTTGGTGTTTGCTTAAAATGGAGCGAAAACAAATGAATTTTCCCCCAGAAACATAGTTTTCGTTTTAATAAACGGGTTTTTCAAGTTATTTTATGTTGTTGAGACATCAGCCGAAGAACAGTTACAGCTGTTTCAACATATTGGGGAGTCATGTAATCTATAGGCTCTGTATGTTTGTTATCTATGGATGCCAATGCCTTCGCAGGTGCTGTCAAAGTTTAATTATCAAACTAGGCCAAGTGCTTGCAGCGATTTCTCGCTCGAAAGTCATCGTATAAAAGTGAGAGACAGTCTCCGATGAAGCATCAGTTCAATTCGTACTTTAAAGCCAAATACAATGAAGATCAGTCTTGCGTTCATACTCGTCGTATGCACCTGCGTCTGCATGACCCATGCATTAGGCGGCGGCAGCAGCGAAGGATTCGACTACATCTGGGGTGCCAGGGTGGCTGCCAGCACACTGATCGCACGCGAGGTAGTTTATCGAAGCAAGACTCTGCTGCAGACAACAACAAAGTCGTATACGCTGACCCAGGATCCAACCGCGCCAAAAACTATCCAGTACATCGCCATCACCAATCTGAAGCGGATGCGAGGCGCCACAGCTGAAATTACTTCCGGCGGTGTGGGTGCAACCACGGTCACTATCAAATTTACCTCGTCCCGAGGCGGCGCTATCAAGTCCCAGGTCGAAATCTGGGGTGCATAAGATTGTCTTAAAATATACCTAAGCTTGTCTCCTAATGTATCTAGTATTTATCTGTGTTTTATCTTCAATAGAATTTATAACTTGTCAACTTGCTTTGCGCTCGATTGTGAGTGTTATATAAAATATATCACGCTTTTTCAACTATTTACTTTACAATTGACAACTGTGTGAGTATTCCCATAACATTATTCAAATAATTCTTAATACATCTTTTTGTTTTTCGTTTATATATAATAAAATGGTTAATTAATATTTATTTTCCATAAATTTCAACACGAAATATTAAGCCATAATTATACTGCGATTGTAGTTTGATGTTCACAAAGTTAAAACCAGGGCCTCCAGAATAAATCGTAGCATGGCCTCCCGTGTTGTTTGTCACCTGGTCGAACGCTCGTATGCCCGTTATGATGCGCCCATTACCAATTCCCTAAAGTGTGTGGGAAACCGAAATATTTATTTTTTCCTTCTCAATTTTTCATTTTAGCTTATTTTTTTACAAGCGTTTTTGAGTGCAATTATTTACAGGTATTACGTGCGTGAATACGATCAAAACACAACGAGCTGTAAGATTAGTTTCTGGATATGTACAATGGGAAATGTATAGAATAGAACATGGGCCATTTGTAATGTAAGGAAATAGTCTAAGAATTTACATCATTTCATTATGCATCAGTTTGTCTTTACTTTCTATATTTACAAATAATTCAGTTTTTATTTATTTTACATTGGAATTCTCACATTTTTATGGCTCTGCACTATTTCCAGGATTAGTTTCTGATTGAATTTTTAAGAAATGATTTAATATTTGTTATTTGTTTTTGTTTTCTCTGACAACTATTATAAATAATTGAATGATTATTATGAATGTTTGATTATTGATTATTAAATACAATTAGCATGATAAAAGCTTCATGAATCAATGATTTAAGTTAGTCACATAAATAAGGTGGATTGCTAAAGCTAAAAACTAATTTAAAAATATCTTTACAGTTTTATTAACACTCTCGATAAAAGTTTGTGAGGAACACGACAAATTGAAGCTTGCGTGGGCGTTATTTGAAGCATTTTCCTTTGATCTTTTATCATGATTAATTGAATTTACACATTTGATTGGCAGCTTCAAACTTGTAGCCAATATGTGGGACGCAAGCTAATAAATACCTATTCAATTATTAGACAGTTACGATCCCACCTGGCAAATTTACATTTTAAGATGAAATTATTCAGTTTAGAAACGATTAATCAATTAAGCAAATAATATTTTTGAATAGTTTGAAGAAGTCTTAAGATCTTGATATGCAAGATAATAAAATATTTAATCCACCCTTCAATATCAATTTTTAATTTTTAATAAAAACTTTTAAATATAGCTTAAATATATATAAAAATATATCTGCTTTAATCTTAATATAAATAAAATAATAGAAACAAGTTTATAACAATTGCCACAGGGCACAAGGCAGTGCTCGACTAGCAAATACCCATGCCACTACGCTTCTTCTCATTCATAGATGATGAAACTATTAATGCACACACACACACAAAAACACACGCAAACTACACTGCTTACTGCGCACTTTAAGCAGCGACTGCGCGAGAAAGGCATTTGTTATTTAATAACTTTTATGCTTTGCCAATCCACAAATCTCTACTAATTGAAATGTAGAATACATTAGAGGGCATTTCAATTTAGGCAGGCAGTTGACATCATTATTGAAATTGTAACAAATGAAGTCTTTAACAAAATCAAACTTAGACTTTATCGATGGCAACATCACATCAAGCGTAAATTAACACTCATCCATTTGATAAGTTTAGTCAAATCAAACTATCAGTCAAAAGTCAAGCCCAATTAAAATTGAATTACTATAAGCAACTAGCATGTATGGAGCTTTCATTAGAACATTTAATCTATAACTATTCATGTTTATAATGGACTGTTTGAATTTGCCAAAACAGAGAATGCAAACTCAAATCGCGCTTATCAACATATGTTCAAAATTCGCACAGCTTAGAGACCCGACATGTGGCATGTGTCGCTACACTTGGAGAACTTGAGTTGTTTTGTGTTAAAAATTGACATCGATATTTGATCAAGCGGGAAAGTGTATGGAATGCGAATGACATGCGAGTCGAGCTTAATTAACACTGGTAAATTCTTGAAATACTTCATCACCGATAAAACACTGCTCACATTTGTTGGATATTTGATTTCATGTTCGACATATTTTTCTGGCGACGACGTGTAGACGACGTTCTCGGCGTGCAGCAATTGCGCCGAATTGGAAATATTGCCCCATGTGCTGGATACGGAACGCACAGGTGCCATGCAATATAACAACATCAAGAGGAAACACGGAACAACAACATTGGCAAACATTTCCAGTTCAAGGTTGTGTTATCTATATATATGTATGGTTATAAATATATATATATATATTTGATAAGTGATCTGGGATCGAATTGAAAGTGATGCTCGATGCTCGTTGCTCGTTGTTCGTTGCTGTTAACTAAATTTAATTAGTTAAGCTTCTAGTTGTTTCGAGTGTTATCAGCTAGAATAGTTGTTGTTGTTGTTGTTGTAGGTGCATATATATTATATAAATAGAGCTTTCGATTTTGTTATATGCTTAGTCTGTGGGAACAACCGCTCTCGATAAGTATATATTTTCAACTAATTCATGGCTCTGAAACGAGAGTTTTTTCCCCCAAATGATGGCACTCGAAAATAGCGACAGCCTTACAGATTATATATATATATATTAAAATATACTCAACATGGTGAGTCAAAGATTGAGGCAGTTATACTTAAAATGCTTATCAATACGACGAGTGTGTCAGCGATCCGGAATAAAAAAAAAAAACAATAAAATATGCTAGAAAATCGGTCTATGGCATACCGGAAATGGAACACCCTTGAGAACGCAGTAAACCTATTGCAACTACTCTATAAACTGCTCATTGAATTCTATGAAGCTATAGACCTTTCCCGTATACCATCCAACTAACCCCGTATACACGTGTAGGGAAAAAGTATTCCATTTACCGATTAACGAACCTGTATAAAGTATATAGATTGTTAGAATCAATAGCAACGTTCTCTCTCTCTCTATTTTACAGTCGCTTAATTTTTAAAGCTCTTGTATAATCTTTTAAATAATATATCCATTGTTATATATATATATATTTATATAACTATTTACACTAACTAACGATCTTCTACGATTTGAAACCGGAATTCCTAGTTATTCGTAGTGACCATATGCCATCGCTAAGGAGAGATTTTTTATGTTTAAGACATGCGCTTGACTTGGTGATAGTCAAATGCGAATTCGCACAGGAAACCTTGAACAGACTTAATACAACAAAAATGCTTCGCAGTCACTATTTATGATTTCAAAAAAAAAAACAGCAAACTGTGCGAATTTATAAAACAACAAATCAGACGAGATAACGCGACGCTATAACATACATATAAGTTTAGACATTTCTTGAATGAAGTATTCAAGTATTATATGTCGCAATCGTATTCGATATGGGCTTATTCAAGCAGATATGGTTACGCATATGTTCCATAATAGTATTATGTTTGTATGCAATGATCCTAATTTGATATATTTATAGGTATATATGATATAGTTAATTGTTATAACACTAATTTTTAATGCAAAACCTTAATAAAGCCACAATTGAACTGTCATTTGCCTAACTCCTGATCCACATTTAGTTAGAGCACAATTTTCCAGCCTGGCCTTTTTATTTAAAACAACATTTACACCGTTTGATGACTGCAATATTCAGCTGCATATACACGTATGTATGTATGTATGTATGATATATGTACATTTATTATGTTCATATTATGTATAAATGTTATTCAATACTTACATCCATGTTGGAGCGCCTTGCAAGCCAGAAACGGCTTCTAGACCTGCCACAGAGAGCAGCACAAAAGTCATGATAATTGTCCACAGGAGAAATTGTTTCCTCTCTATAACTGACATTTTTTGTGTGGCAATGCAATATACTGTTAATTAAATTACAACAATTGTTGACTTTTCTTCTTGGTTGTCCGAGATGCTGGGCGTCAATATTATTGAAATTATATGGCGAATTCCTGTATTACAGATATCAGTGAGTGATCATTGATATTGGCTTTAAACATTTTCAGATGTCTTTTTCTAGTTGTTTTAAGACGTTTTTATTTTTCATTTCTTCTTCCTGATGATTGGGCAACAATCGCAGGTCTTCTTTTCCATTAATGCTTCTCGTTAATCAGTTTGCGACACTCACAATCGAAGGCATCTACAAGATGAAAGAGAGAAAGAATATTAGATTTTTTAAATATTCATTTTTTATACACATATTTTTGTTTCCTTTTTTAATAAGAGTACTATCTTTTAGATGCGATGTTTCAAATATCAAAGCAAGCGTTCCAACTTATCCTTATTAGACATGAGTTTAAACTCGATTGCCTCAAGCATGCCTCTTTGAGCGATCTATGCATATAGATTATATATAAGATTCAACTTCAAATATATTTAACGTTTATTGTCGATAGAAACCTTATAACTTAAGTATAATCGTCCTTGTTAATGCTAGATAGCCGGCAATCTCAATGGCTTATTCAGGCCATGAGAAAGCGACTACTAAAAATCTCTTTAAGCAGAGCAACTTTATCTATAGTCAGTTAGAATTTGCTTTCTAATCTATTCTTTCTGTTTTTAGTTCAGATTTCCCTGAGCAAAAAACAAAGATATCATAAGTCGAAGTTAGTTGCTCTACATTGGCATTGGAGGTCAGAGATATGCGTTCATCTTTTTGTTACATTATCACTTATGCACAGACTTATATATAAATACGGATTCTACATTTAAAATTGAATGTGTAATTCACTCAACGGATCTATTTGAACTGTCTGAAAGTTGAACGACTTAAGTCGTTATAGTAAGTGCTTAAATTGGCAGTGGGCCGTAAGACACACTATTTGGAGCGCATTTTATGAGATGGAATGTGGATAAATACTAAGGCAGATGCAATTCAATTCAATTGCATCTTAAAAATAAGAAGAATGTAGTATATTATAATACAAGTAATAATCAAAACAACTATACAAGTATTAAATAAATATTAAATATAAATATTTTAAAATTATAAATATTAAACATAATATTTAAAATTAATAATAAACAATCTTATTTATTTCAAAGGAAACAAATCGATTAAATTGAAAAGGAAGTCGATAATTGGAAATAAGCTAAAATGACTTATGTTCTATAATTCCTTAAGTTTTATGGTGCCTAAGATTAATGTCTACATGTATATGTGCACAGGGACAGGTAGAGATGTAGCCTAAGACCGCACAGATGCTTCCGTCTACCTGTGACTTACATTCGCACATAATCAAAAGATTCCTTTTGTAACACTAATTTTCAATTAGTACCGGTAAAGACATATCTAAAGTAAATTGCCTGCTCTTTGCTACGCTTGCGACCAGGTGGATAGGTAGGATCCAAATTATATACTATATATGTATGTACAACGTACATTAAATCCCGGTGGCTATTTCACACACACACGCACGCAGAGACTACAAAAACACAGAGACATGCGTATATGTGCATGCATCTAATCAATTTTCCACAAATACATATATATTTTTTTGTTATATTACCATAAATCTGGTCAAACTGCCATGTATGTATGTCTGAAGTTAGCTATTTGTATGTAAATTTTATGATAAAATCCTTTCATTTTCAGATCGATGTGGTCACGGTTATTTTCATAATTAAATGCAATGGAAACACACACCCTTCGTTAAAAAACAGACGAACACACACAAACACGCACACATACACACGTACATACATACATATAAACACGCATGCATACATTCATTGTGGTAACAAATTGTACGCATGTATGTCTAACTGTATGTCTGCCTGTCTGTCTGTATGTCTGTATGTATACATTTTGTTACCATAATTTGTAATTGGTCGCTGCAAGCATCAACTGCTGCTGTATGATTTGCTTGACACACATGCCTGACATACAAATGTATATACTCTTATATTTTAAGTATGTTTGAGTGCTAAACACTCTCTGATGGCGCTGCTCCAGATATCTGAAGAAATTACGCACACATATACACATGTGTACGTGGCTGTGTGTGTGTGGTAGTGTGTATATTAACTAACAGTGCGACTTGTTTACGGTAGGAAAAGATGCGTGCTTGTTCATGTATACATATATACGCACAAGTAAATTTAAATGTATATGTATGGATGTATGTATGTATATAAATAAAACCGTTCTTGAGCTGTCTGAGAAAGTGGTAAACATACAAATGTATCTATGTGTGTACGCATGTTTCAGTATACATGTACACACTTACCATACATACGCATGTACCTTTTGTAGCATAAAATTTGCTTTGTTTATACATGCATATGTATGTATGTATGCAACTACCAAAAAAAATCCAGCTCACTTAGCATTTTACAATGATTCGTTTTGTTTGTATGCCCACTTTGTTTATATGCACCAACATACATATATATTGTTTATGTGACATCTCTATGTATGTATGTACCTTACGATTTGTTTATATGTATAGTTGCATACGACACTGGTGGCACAATAGTATCAATTAATTACGCACAAACTTATATGTATGCATACGCATCTAAAAATGCATGAATGTATCTAATTTAAGTGACACAAATTCATCAAATTTGTTGCGCTAATATGTATGTAAAACTCACGAAACGTACAGAAACGCGTCCAAAAGAAATAAAGAAGCGCGCTGAGTTTTACTATGAACGGAAAATTGTAAATAACTGCAGAACTTGTTTGCCATTGAAGTCTTTCGTGGTGAGTTGTAAATAACTGAATAATAACATGCGTATCGATTGCCCGATATGTTTGAGCGATAACTAATGCGACGAAGTGGCAACACCAAATGTTGCCCATGTTAAAAGTTGGGAAACATTTTGTATATTATACATTTTCACTCTTATATTATTATATGAGTCAGGCATCATGTTGCTATGTCGCAATTAATTACAAATTTAAATAAACCTTTATAATACCCTAGTTTAAATTATCTTTTAAAAATATATATTTTTAATTATTAAATATAATCCATTAAAGCATTAAAGCATTTGTAATACATAGTTAAAATGTAAAATTAATATTCTAGTATAGTGTCGGTGAGGTATAGTGTTGTCCGATATTTTTTGTCATAAATTAACTTCGATAACTATCGGTAAGTACGCTTTGAGTTTTTACGGAGTAAAGAAGAGTATAAGAGCACTTTATCTACAGTAAGGCCTCAATACATCGTATTGCTATAAATTCAATTCGATACATAGTAAATAAAACATTAATAATTTGTAAGAATAATACGTTCCTGCCCCCTTTATAAATTTATTCGAAAGGAATAACTGCTTAGCTTATTTATTCATAGCTTCTGTCAATAAATTTTTAAGTTAGGCAATTCATTTTCTTAGCATTGATAAAGTGGAAACGCATCAAACAAAAAAATCCATTTAACTTATGTATTGCAAATGCTTCAGCAGGAAAACGAAGTGAGCTGTACATTCAACCAATTCTAAAAATTATTCCGAAGTTAGTTTAGTGCATTTAATCAGTTTGCTTCGTTAACACGATTGCGAAGTGTGTTGGCACTTCGATTACGAAGTAAGAGTTTCGATAACTGCTCAGTGAAGTCGTAATGAAAACGTTTATGTATTTAAATATAAATTGTAATACAATAGTTTAAATTTTGTTGCTTAAATACTATATTTTTTATATATAAATGTTTGAATTGTTAGTTTGTTATTAGTAAGCAACCGATAAATCGAGTTTTCGACATTTTGTCATCGTAGATTAATGTGCTAAAGTGATTTTGACAATTTTGTCGGTATCAAATCGTGCTTACATGCATGCAAGCCTGTTGCTCACGCTTCAACTCAAACCTGATCTTGTCAAACTCATACATATGCACATATACACTTGCATACGTTCGCATGCATACACTTACTATTCATATACAATCATTAATTTTTATATTGTGAGAGAGGGAGACGCATATGTGTGAAGTTGAAGTTGTTCGTTCTTAAGTATATCAGTTCATTTTCGATTTTCGGTTTGAAATGTTGTCTGAATACGGATTCTAATAACATACATACTTGTTTACATTTATATGTACGTACACAATTATAATATTCATTACACACATACATACAACTATTTACAGATGCATGTATACACACATACACACATACATATATTTATTCTCAAACACAAAAATATTTACGTACCTAAAAGTACTTCAATTTGTACGCTCAAATATACATAATTAAATACACATACGTATTTGAGTATATGAAATTGTTATTGCTAGAAAAAAAAACAAGTGCATCAACTTACGTACATAGGAAGTGAAAGAAAAGTTATACATATAATTAAACGAATGTGATGATTTCCCTTTTTTGCATAAACATATATGAATGTATATACATATGTACATAGATAAATATATGCAACTCCATAGCTGAAACTGATATTTTTAAAAACACTTAGTGCTATTTTATAAACATTTGGGCGTATTGTCTGTAAGTATAGATATATAAAGTTATGTATTTAATTACTCATACTTAAATATGTAGGTAAATATATATAAATATTTCACTCTCTCCACTGCGTCAATATGTATGTATGTGTGTGAATAGACATACACATACATATGCACAATATGAATATGGCCATTTTTATATATGTATGTACGTATATGCATATGTGTATATAAATATATATATATAAATGAAGTATATTGCAGACTATGTATGTTTATATCAATGTCCGCATTTCAATTATATATATATGTGTATATATGCATACATATTAATAATACATAATACATATGCTTAAAGATATGAACTCGACATGTATGTATATAAATATTTTTAACCCATTGAGCAAACAAATTTATCGCTTAACACACTTAAATGAATGCGTATTGTTATGCATATGTATGTATGCATGTATATGTGTGTGCTGATATATGTAGATAACTTTTTTAAGCAACTCCTTAGTCGTAGGTATGTAAGTATGTGTGACTAAGTACATGAACATATTTGATGGTGCATTAGTTGCTATGTCTCTATATAAATACGTTAAAAGTAATATCGATCAAATATGATTACGGTTAAATTCGTTATGGATATGTATATATGTACATATGTATGTCTGTATGTCTGTATGTCAGCCTTTGTTAAATCTTTTTAAGAGTTCAAGTCTTCCGTAATCTTTGTTTTTCTTTGACACCAGGAAAAATTTGACTCTGCTGTTAAAAAGCGCTACAAATATAAAGCTTCTTTAATTTTTTTAAAATTTTAAATCAATTTGATAAAAAGAAGCCAATAAGAAATAGTTTTCTAATAAGATAAAAATTCAAATTTCAAAAAATTAATTCCAATGTTAATTGAACGAGACTAAGGAATGCCAATCAAGAAATGCGTCTTAGCAGCTTAGAATGGATGAAGCTTATGTATGCCTCTCTGTATTGTGGTGCCAGCAACAATTGCTTCCCACATATAGACTTGGTATTTGCATAAATGATCGAAAACCAAATTCCGTACTATAAATGCGTAGCACATACCCTACCTACGACTTAACAATTATATTTTATAATTGTTTTGATCAGCTACCAAGCTAGAAGAAAACTAGAAATTCGAGGCGTCTTACTTTGGAATGAGCCACGGGTATTATGACGTTTTAAAGTTTTTTGAAAACAGCACTTTTCCTTGGGTAGATTACTGATTATCTTACTACGAATCTCCAACGATCTAAATCTCTATCTCACTTGTCTTAGACTATTCGATTCCGCATCTTTTAAATCTGGACCCATTAGACTCGACACATTATTAGTATTCTATGTAAGAAGGCAATATCTGAACTATTGGACAAACAAAATAATATTAGTCGGGGGTGTCTGTATACCATACCGTAACCTACCCTACCCTACATTACCCGGTTGTTTATGGCAATCTAGTTTTCTTTAATTAATTCAACTGCGCACTTAATGCAGCTGCTGTGCTTGTTCTTCTCATAGTCGCCCCCTATTTGTTGCATAACTGATATTCTAAATGTACTACTTATAAGACATATTCAGGGCAGAAATATAGCCATGAATTTATAGTTTAATAAATTTTTGAAAATTAGAGGTATCTAATATCTAAAATAATGTAGGTACGAGGATGTACAGTACAACTTAGTCTATCGTCTTTAAGTAAAGCTCTTAAAAAAATGATTTAAAATTAAATGAAATGAGCTGAGCCAGAAAAAACGGAATAACTTTTCCTTAACAGAAACATAATACAAACGGCAACGCCTCAAGAGCAAAATAAACATTTCTTCAAGTTACACTTCAAAAGATATTGTTTAAGACTAACTTTTTATGCATTAACTGATAACAAAATAAAGAAGACTCCACGAACATTATAAACTATTGCGCAGTTAGTTTCAAGCGACTGCAATGATTTTTCTAATCTAGATAGTATCTATATGGGTTAAAGCTTATCCATTAGTCTTCTAGATAAACTGACAGATACATAAATCAGCAATCCAAATCAAATATGTATTTATATAAATTTATATTATTTAGTTTAATAAGATATGTCTTTAGATATGTGATAGGATGATATAAAACTTGTAGGAGTAACTTTAATGTTCCAATCTTTAAACTTATTCATATTTTTCGTTAAGAAATCTAAAATCTTGAAACAAAGAAGCGCATTTGGCTCTTTTTATATAAAGAAAACTTTTATCAACAACGGATTTATAGTTGTTTTTTTTTTGTTTGACACTACTCTTACTGTTTTCTTATCTGACTGTTATTATATATAAAATATTTGTTCTATATGTTTTCAGTGATAGCAAGCAGAAGTTTATATATTTATGTATATATATAGCTTGTAATGCGGCAATCCGTTCTTTCCGTGCTTTGTGATTAGTTAAACAGTATGCCATATTATCAAAATATATAAGATATCAAAATGAACAACAACAACAACAACAACAACAATATTAACTCTATGGACAACACATGCGATCAAGATTATACGGAATTTCTCAATGAATATCTGTTGCACACAAATTTAACATGCAACGAACCGGAAATACATTATGAAGGTAAGCCAACAATATGTTTGATATTGTAATCCTGTTTATTTATATATATATATATATACGATATGTTATGTAGATGGAGAAATGGAAGCAGAGTGGCTAATTTCAGCTGGATATCCAGAATTGACACGGCCTTTTGAACAGGTAAACGAAAAACACAGAATTTAAAAAACAAACACATTGCTTAAAAAACAAAGCAGGTATTTTCTCATTAGATTAAAAGTTAATAAAAAAAACTGATGTTTTTCTAATCTCTTCTGAAAGTAAATTTAAAATCAGAAAGTCTTAAATATATGTACAAATCAAATAAATATATTCACCTGTTTGTCTATCTTTTGCTAATAGCTAGAAATATCAAGAAATAACTTTCGAATTTATAAAGAATGTATTTCCCACTATTGATCCTGATCTGTCCATGAAGATTTTATATAACTCTTGCAACGCCGATCGACACTAAGATATGCGTCACTTCCTCCAACCTTGTGACTTCCACGAAAATCTGAAAAAAACACATTTGCAGAAGAACTTCCTAATAGCCTAAGTTTCATTAATTTCTAGGTTCATACCGTCACAAAAAACTTTTGCCAAGTTTGAGTTTCATTTGAATGTGTCGAATCTGTACCTTGTATAATATGACTTAAATTTAACATCTTCTGTTGTATTCCAGGGTATTGAGCTACGCTCGACAGATCTTGAGCCTGTGTTAGCCACACTTTCAAAACCACATGCTGAGGCGATTAAGCAACGTGTGCGAGCATTGAATCATACTGTTAGAGGACGCAGTAAAAACCGATCAAAACGTAAACCTGACATACGTGATGTCTTTCGCGATTTTGACGTAAGTCCTGAGTGATTAAGCTCATTGGCGAAATAAATGACTATAAATATAAATGTTATTTACAGGAGTCCAGTACCGGAACTCGATCCCGAAGTGCCACACCAGACTCTTTAGATTCCGTACACGGAGACGATGTTTGGGGCAATGCCTCAATGTAAGTTGTCATCGTTTTTGAATAGAAGTTCAGTTTATTTCATAAATTTGCTCTTTATAGTCCAAGTTTTGCAAGCATTTCTGACCACAGTACTACAAACTATAATGCCAGTGGATTTCCTTCGGTGAACAAGCACTTAAAGCAGAAAATTCGGAGAACTCCAAGTGCTCCATTAAAATGTTCCACGTCGACGGACTTATTTCGCGGTTCGCAAGTACGTTGCGATATACCTATGTACACATCAGAAGGTATTGAGTTGCTGGGATTTTCGCGTATTGGCACGCTACATATACCACGTAATCGTTCTGGTTCGGATCCATCGTGTTCTATTGGGTAAGTATTCAATTAATAGACTGAAGTTTGATATATCATTTAAATGTTTTCACAATTTAGACGAGTTTGTGGACAAAACATACCGGATTCACTGAGTGAAAACAATACTTCATCTGGTGATTCCAGCGACGAGTTTCTTCCAAGCACGGCGCCTATGTCGTCGACGTTGTCGCCACCTGAGAAGATACTAACCAAAATTAACCTGGATTCTACTCAGCAGAAATTGCAAAACTCTCCGTCACCAAGAGACGGCATCAGCTTTGAAAATATGTGCCGAGAAAGTTCTAGTCAGGATGGTATTGACACCGTAGACAGCAACAGCGTAATCTTACAAGAATACACCTCCGACATTAGTACAATCAATGAAACGGAGCTGAAACGTTTGCAGCCAATATTTTGGCTGGAACTAGCCACAGTCTTTGATCGCAATCAGGTTTCGCTAGACAAACGAAAACCCTTCAAAAGACGTCGCAAGGAGGAGGGCAGCCTGTTTGGTGTTTCGTTAAATGCACTTATACGGCGTGACCAGCAAATATCCGGTATGGACTCAACATTAGTGCCCCAATTTCTAGAGGGTCTACTTGAAGAGCTGATAAAACGAGGGGCAAGAGAGGAGGGTATTTTGCGTGTGGCTGGACAAAAACATAAGGTGATTAAAATAATTCTTACAACGAGTTTATTTAATACTAATTTTGTATGATTACAGACTGAATTAATTTACAATGAATTAGAATCAAGTTTTTATCAAAAGCCAGAAAAATTCGCACAGTTGCTTAGCAGTGCAAGCGTACATGAACTAAGTGCATTGCTTAAGCGTTGGTTACGCGAACTACCCCAGCCATTGCTTACTAGCGAACTTATACAACTTTTCTATCAATGTCACACATTACCCCCAACGGACCAAATACGTGCATTGTCTATTTTATGCCAGATGCTTCCACACGAAAACCGCAACACTCTCCGTTCCATTTTACGCTTTCTCAACATAATTATTGATTTGAAAGATATCAATAAGATGAATTTACATAATGTATCCACGATAATTGCGCCATCATTTTTTCCTCCACGTTATATACATCCGATGGATAAGAATTGCATTGAAGAGCAAGTTAAAATGGCCGCATTATGCTGTCGCTTAACGAACGTTCTGATTACACGGGGCGAGAGCTTATTTCAGGTTTCTGATAATCTCATTGCGGAGTCACGTAACCAAAAAGTTCGACAGGTATGCGCTTTTTATAAGCTACATGTGTTTTTATCATTTATAACCTAAATTATTTTTTTCTTTAGGGTAAACGTGGACATCGGCGGGCAGTTAAGACTCCCTTAGCCCACGCGAGAGCGACGCCAGGTCCAACTACTGAAATTGATATTTCTAGAAATAGTACGAGCGAGGGTCACCGCCCAACCTTTAATCCAAGTCATGTTCATCGTTTCGTGGTCTAAGCTGGATAGGTCACCGCGTGCTACGTCTGTTTCAAGTTTTTTTCTACATTTAATTTTGAATATACTAATGGAAGTATGTTAGCTTACATTAGTTCTAATACACAAATTTCTTCAGAAAGGACAATTTTATTTTGAATACCACAAGAATTTTCAGTATCTATGAATTGAATACTAAAATTATTACTTTTTTAAGTTTGACTCAGAATTAATTAATCTTCTATCCTTAATATAACGTGTCACGAAAATAATTCATTAATTATGTTCAAATAATTATGGTTATGTTGTTATGAGAATTGTATTATTTTTTCTAAAACTGTTAAAAGGGTTGGGAAGCAATAAAAAACATTTACTTTGATTTATTAAAATCAATAAAATATATGTATATATTTGACAAATATCATGTTAAATTATGTAAGTAATCCTAATTTTCAGAAAAATTACCTAAGAAAGGAAAGTAATATATAAATTAGGGTATATCTTTTCATTGCTCTTTGATTATTCCCTGAGGCGTTTCATTCTATAACACAGCCATAACATGGCTTTAAAATCGATAAATAATTTTGGTACTTGATGTACGTATCCAAAAAAAATCATGAAACGACGCATTAGACACAATACCAAATGAATTGGTATCGTTAAGACCAACCATCGATAACATCGATTATTTCTATATGATATTTTTACAACTAAAATGCCATCAACATTCCTATTTTGCTTTCGTCAACAAATTGCTTGAATATTCCATAAGGAAAAAGATTTTTAACATAGTATTGGAATGGATAAAAGCTAATTGATATATTAATAACAATTCTAAACAATTGTAAATGAAATGGACGTGGACGACAGTTTTTATGGTAAGTTTGCGTCAGTTTTTGATAAATGCACATTCAAAAAATGCAGCACACTGACACCATTCACCTGTAATAAATACAAATTGTATTTAATCAAGTAAGCGTGGAAAACATGAATCAATGTGTTAAACATATACATGTATATAAGCCAAATGTGTATACTACAATTTCGTTGTTCTACATTTACGCGTCGCATACAAGACATTTTTTTGTTGAAATAGTGTCAATGGTTTAAATTTGCTATTATTGATAACTTATAATTAAAGATAGCGTTCTAATATAATAGCATTCTAAAACCTTGGTAAAGTGTTATCGCAGCATGTGTAAACGCGATGACAAATACAACTCGTGTATCATGAAACACACACACCTACAAATGTGCATGCATACATACATATATTACTGTTAAATACATACGTGCATTAATATGCATGTTAATTGATAAACAAAAATATCGGCACGAATCTAATTGCAATTATCGGTCGAGCTGAACAGCTTATTGCAAATAATGTATAAATCCAATTAGAGAATAGAATGAAACGAAGAAATTATTTAGACATAAATATCGATTTTCTTGATTTGCCATAAGCCGGTGGGCGTAGTTTGAATATATGAATATACCCCAAGTACAATAATTGAGTTCATGTGGGCAGACTGACAGACGGACGAGAATTTCCATATAATCCCATTTGTAATAGGCTCAGTCAACAAACACGGCTTACATTCCTACTTGTATATTGATAATCAATGTAATAAATTTATTAATTTTAGACGAACTGTCGTCCTTTATGTCATCGCCAACTGACTATGACATAAACCATCATGATTTTGACGAAATCATAAGCTCAACAGTCTCGCAGCTGGATTCTTCTCTGGACCTTAATACGTTTCTGCCGCAGGATCATGGAACTTCGTTAAACAGCGATAATTTGTTCTCTGAATTGTTTCAGCCAACAACAACAGATAGCCATAATGATTTGGAACTTAATTTTGATAACTTATCAACAGTTTCAACGCATAGTTGGAATGTTGATCGAACTTCATCATCATCAATGGATGCTTCCAGCAATTTGATCAATATTTGTGAAGATAATGCCGAAATTGAAAAACTAACTAGCGGCAATCTGTTGGAGCACATGCAGGATCGAGATACACCCTCGCCAACGGATAGTTGTGGCAGCTTTAGTGGTAGTTCAACAAGTGGCGTCCACAGCGACACCTCAGATGCATGGCAGAACAGACAGCGAGATCAAAGTCATAAGGCGCCTGCCTTATTTAATGTGTCGCAATTTCCAATGCCATTTGCTCAAAACTTTACCAATCGAAATGAAGACAGTATTCAAAAAAGTTTACAACATCCACAGCTTGCAGCGTCAGTTCTTAATACTAAGGAGATTATTGGGAAATCAGCGAGCAACTCGCCAGTAGTTTTGCAAACACCTGTGGGTCTAAAAACTGTACCAGCCACAGTTCACATTCCTATCAATGTGAATGCGAGCTCAACTACCAAGGCTCAAAAGCCAGCTCGAGAAAAAATGTCAAGTGAGTCAGCAACAGAAAACGTTGGTAAAACTAAAACCATATTCCTTTCCACAAACGACTACAAGGCGCTCATGGATAAGATTAATTTGAATGGCTCCAAAGGTGCGAAGATTAATGGTAGTGTCAAAACGCATATTCCGAAAATTGTAATGAAGACAGGAAATGCGAAACTAAAAGGCCATCAAAATGTTGTTGAGGCACCGGGTCCAACTGTCACACATAACCCGTCCAACATGGTTAAGCATCAGAATCAACCATCACACTCCAGTTTTAAACGTGAAACCTCCATGGAGTCGGAATCTTCGAATTACCATTTCAGAAACACAATAGACGAGAAGATGTACAAGAAACAGCAACGAATGATTAAAAATCGGCAGTCGGCGTCAATGTCGCGTAAAAAGAAAAAAGAATATGTCGTCTCATTGGAAACTCGTTTGCACAATCTGGAGAAGGAAAATCATACTCTCAAAGGGGTAAGTAAGCACGCTCTCTCTCTATCTAATACTTTTACTTAACAAAACTTTTTCTTATAGGAAAATTTGTCGTTGAGAAACCAACTTGTTGCTTTGGCTAAAACATGTAAGTGCCGTAAGGGCAGTGTATGTGAGTTCGTGTTGCATTCGTTAAACTCCAATTCGCGATCTGATCAACATGTTAAGATCGCTCCAAGGCCAACTTCCAAAAGTTTTAAACAGCACATGAATGCAGCGACAGTTAAGAAAAATATTGCCGTGCTGTTTGCTATGGCTTTCATGGTCACATTGAATGCAGGCAACTTTCAATCATATTTAAGCAATCAAAATCTGGACGCGGAAAATACCGCCGCCGTCGCGTCCGACTCGAATGCGAATGAACCCATTCCCATAAGTCGCCGTTTGCTTTGGGTCGATACTGAAGAGGAGTACAACGAAAAGCTAAACCAAAGCAATCGTCAAGCTGAGGAGCTGGTAATGCCACCATTACATTTTCTGCGGCCAATCAGTCGTGGCCCCAATGTTACGAAAAATGATCATTGGAATTCTACAGAGCCTTCTAGGTTTAATAGAGCAAATGATCCGCCACCTTTGACATACCCATCTTCAGCTAAATGTAATGGTTCTTGTGCTTCGTCAAACTCTAGTGTCAACCAGTCAGAATACTCGCGGCTGGCGTTTAATTTAGAAAAACTGATTAATACGAGCGGATACCATAAATTGGGCATGAATTCAAAATATAATATTGACCGGGATAACACACATGGCTTTAAGTTTTCGACAGACTATTTGGAACTACCTGATATGGAAAGAGAGGCTTCGACACTTGGCAAACGTAAAAGCTTTTTGGGCTTTAAGGAGACCTTACCGGACATGAAGCAACGGAAAATGGATTTACATAATAAAAACACTCTTAACACAAGCGAACCAATTCATCTTTTCAAAGCAATCAAACGACAAGAGGATACATTTTATGTACTCTCATTAAATACAGATCACATACTTCTATCGCCATCTACATACAACAAGAGTTCTCGTCCCAAAATGTCGTTGTTGCTACCCACTGCTGAACCATCGCCAAATGGCGACATAATGATGATGCAAGTCGACTGTGAGGTCTTCAATACAAAGGAGATAGAGCTTAAATCTCACATGATACCGGCTAATTTGCGGCCGAACATAACGAAGTGGCAACTTAAAGCAAAGCCCTCCATGAATGCCAACAACAGAACACTGGGCAGTAGTAAGTTTCTCGACAAATCAATAAAACACGACAAGCCGCGTGTTCGAACTTACTTTATGGTTGGACCCAAAAATCAAGCAGCTGCAGCAGTCTCACAGGAGAAGCCACGATTAGTGGAGCTCAATAAGAGTATGGTTAATAATAATAGTAAGGTACTCACAGCTGAGTTCGATTCACGTTTGCACGACTAATCTATGTATTTATCCTGGATTAGCTCTTGATTTATATTTAATATTTCAAATGTTTAATGTAATTTTATATGTGTGCAAGTTAAACAAATAAATATGGAAAAGTCTAGGGACGAATTGTAAGCAATTTTACTTATGTTGTGGCCGGGTGCAACTATCTACACTAGATAATAATGATGTTAATACTAAGCCTTTTCTATTTAAGCCAGTACTAGGACGAAATATTTCTCTTCATAGGTCGCCTGGAAGATAGTAAAGTCCAGGAGCTGGATTACATGTGGAACTCCCTCTTTCTTGATTGGGGAGAGACACACATTAACAATCGATCAACTTATAATGATATGTACTTTATCAGCGTTCTTCGATAACTCCAAATAAAGATATAGCAATTACTGAGCTCATGGACATCCTACCAAGCAGAACAGACTTTAAAATTTTATTTACATTCTTAAAGCAGCTGTTCGATTTTCTTATGCTTGAAAGCAGAAAGCACATAGACTTTGATTTTCGCAAGCTCCCTCTTAGTACGAATGGAACTGGAACAGAAGCAAAGAATTAACAATATTATCGATATCCAATAATTTGCTCGCCAAAATAGATGCGCAATGCAGCAAGGCAATTATTTTTAACAATATAAATATATACCTGAATACCGTAACTATATATTCTATACTTACGTCAGTGAAACAAATATACAAATACAATGCAAATAGCCACCATGTATTGTAAAAAAATTATAAAGTAGGCATAAAAACCTTGAATGCTTATTTGAATCTTTGTGAATAATAATTTCTCGTTTAAATATGGAGTACATCGGCTTCGTTTCCGTTATTTACAAAAGTCTTTAGTATGCCTTTCATATACATAATTAAGTACATACATAATACATACGTACACACAAACATCGATAAGTACCTACACATATTTATTTATTCAAGATCTGAATAACATCAAATAAATTTTGCTGCCTATCGATAATCAAGCACTAAACGCAGCTAGTGGGAACACAAATCGAATCAACACTGTGAAAACAAACTCGTTCCATTTCAATTAACTAGTTCGGTTTGTTGTGACAAAACTCAAAATGATAATTTAATTTTATCTTATCACTTAATTTAAAAGAAACTAAAAGCTTGTTGTCGAATACTATTGACTTGTGAGTGAATAAATGTAAGTGTGATAATTAATTCGTAATATTCCATATATTCAATGGCTGCACACCTTACATCCATGCTGGGACACACACACACACAAATGTACACTTACGTACATACATATGGATTTGTGTATGCGTGTATTACTTAAAAATCTACCAAAATAATTATTGTATGCACGCCGCCGTTCATACATTTTTTTTGGCGGATTTATTTATTGCAAACATGCGAAGAAATGCTAAGATGTGCTATTATAATATGATATCTTTGATTTGCTATACGTATAAGTCGGCATTTACATCTGTTTGATAGTTTGATAGCAATTAAATCGTGTCCCCACAGAGCTCTCGCCACAAGAAAGTTTATGGAGGATATAACTTCAAAGGATCCTCAATGCAATGTTTATAGTTTGCGTAACTATATTTGCCATCTTGTATGTCATTCGGCACGTATATTAGCACAATGAGACCATATCAATTTTTGGTGTATATCGATGGATCCAAGTCTGTAATTTGCCTTTCTTAGTCATAAAGCGGTATTTTAGCTTATCTATTCTTTTAAATATGATACGATCCAGACATATTAGTTGTTTAGTATATATTATGCAAGCCTGATTGCCTTATTGCCTAATATTTTTGATGAGCGAGGCAAACATTTGTAGGGAATAGATTATTGCTCCTGAAAAAATGATATATTAGAGTACATATATTAAATTATAGAGCAATATATATAGGAAATGTATATATAGATTAGTATAGGCATATGGCTAATTCGATGCTATTGTCTGAAGTACCATCTCTAATGACTTGTCGTATATCAATTTTGGATGAATTTTGTAGAAATGCTTAGCCAATGTTATAACTGAATAACATACATACTTTATATAGGTTGTACTTTTATAATAAATGATATAAGCTATAGGTTATAAGAAATATAATTTGTTTTACAATAGTTAAATATACTTTAAATCTCTATTTTGTTTTAGAATTGTTAAAATGTCGGTACATTATAAATTTAAAAGTACCCTTAACTTTGATACAATAACGTTTGATGGACTTCACATTTCGGTTGCTGATTTGAAACGAGAAATCATATTGCAGAAAAGACTCGGTAAAATTATCGATTTTGATCTGCAAATTACCAACGCCCAAACTAAAGAAGGTAAAAGATTTGCACTTTTTTATATTTAATTATTTGAAATATTTTCTAATATACATTTTTCGCTTGTTTTAGAATACAAGGATGACAATTTTTTAATACCAAAAAATACTACGCTAATTATTGCGCGAATACCGATAGCCCATCCCGTTAAAAAAGGTTGGGACCCGCCACCTGACAATGCTATTCCAAATGTGTCCTCAAACAAACCAGATAACCTAAATATGGATCTATTTAAGATGCAAGGAAGCGAAGAAGAGAAAATACAAGCAATGATGATGCAAAGTACAGCAGATTATGATCCTAAAACGTAAGTATTTTATCAAAAGAAAATAAAAATATCAAAAATAGCAAAATGTATTAATTATAAATATACTTATTTATTCAGGTATCACAGAATTAAGGGACAATCTCAAATTGGCGAAGTTCCAGCCTCATATCGATGCAATAAATGTAAAAGGGGTGGACACTGGATTAAAAACTGTTCGTTTGCATCTGGAAAAGAGCAATTTGAGGTCAAGAGAAATACAGGAATTCCACGATCATTTAGAGGCAAGCCAGAAATGTAAGTAATACCCAAACTTACAGTATTTAATTTGACTTAGATTGACATTTATATTATATTATAAAATTAGCCTAATTAAACTAAGTTTTAATAATATATCTGAAGTATATTTATTTTATTGATTTATACATCTTTTCGCCTTACAGCACAACAGAACAGGAAACATCAAACTTTATAGTAGCTAACGAGAAAGAGCAAGAGATTCCAGAAGATTTAATTTGTGGCATTTGTCGCAATATTTTTGTTGATGCCGTAATGATACCATGTTGTGGAAGTTCCTTTTGCGACGATTGTAAGTATAAAATAATACTATGATTTCTGAATAATGTTTTTGAGAATTTGAGAAATAGGGTTTGCCCTTCAATTGACTAAATTAAATTAAATATAAACCCGCTGATAAAAATATTCGTTTTTTATTATTTCAGGCGTGAGAAACTCATTGCTGGAATCAGAAGATAGTGAATGTCCGGACTGTAAGGAAAAAAACTGTTCACCAGGATCATTGATTCCAAATCGTTTCTTAAGAAATTCCGTCAATGTTTATAAAAATGAATCTGGGAATAAACTTGCCGCATTTAAGCCTGGTAAGATGGGAAATGATTATAAATTATATTATCTTATATTAAATATATAAACAATTCTCTTGTGCTTACAGTCACTAAACCAACTGCGGCTAGTGAGAAAAAGGAAAACGTTACTCTGGAAGCAGATGACCCCAATAACGCAGAGCAAGCGGAACAGAGTAACGTACCTGCGGCTAATAATTCAGATGAACCAAATGCTAGCAAAGCTGTTATCAGCAATCCGGAGCCTATTAAAAAAGAAAAGGATAAATCTGACTCAGACTACGAGGATAATATAACAATAAAAATGCCACAAAAGGAAGTTGATAACAATTTCGTCAGTGCTGAGACCAATAAAGAGCAGGTAAGCAATCTTACAGACACTTAATATCTATGAGTTGAATAACATTTATTGAGATCGTATGTATGGGTGTGTATACAGATATTCCTGGCAAATATATCACTTTGTGTAAATCTCTCCCATCATAATTGTAATAGACGCATTCTAGTTTATGCATTGTATGTTTGACCTCAATTAATTAACAATTTATTTATTTCTTTGATGTCATGTCTTTATAGATTCAACCTTCGTACCAACAAATACCAGCTAGCAGCAATGCAATTCAGCGTCGGGAAGGCAACTATGAATATAAGTCGGATATTGAAATAAAGCAAGCTCCATATGTTAAAAATGATAACATTAAGCCTCAAAATGAACGAAGTCTTTTACCAACTCCGATTGGAACTCATCATAAATATCCGAACATGAACATAAATGATCAACGGGATAAACCTGTAGTTAATACAGATCAAGGTCATCGCATGGGCCATTATAAGCCTCCATACATTCAAATGCCCCGATGTCCTACTATCATACATATGTCTCCATACAATAATGGCTATAATAACATGCAACATAGGCCACCAATGAGGTAAGTAAAGTACTAATTACTTCGACTGATCATTTCTTGCAAATCTTTAGATTTACGCTGTTAGCTATTAAATATTATTTACCATTAGCTGTAGAGCATAAAATGCTTCATAAATTTCATTGATCTGTCGATTCGAGTTGATGGCCTTGTCTGTTCGACTGTCTGTCTGCTTGTATATTAACTCTTTAAGATTTGCCTTTTAGCTTTTCGGCGATTAAAATCTGTTGTTAAATAGCTGTTGTAAGAATTATCGATATAACTTCACAACTTGTTTGATTCATAGCAAACTATAGTATCAACGGCATGCAATTTGCAACATGCAACCTGCAGTTGTTAAGGTGACAATGACGAATGGAATGGCTTGCGAACAGCAAGTAGGTTTCCATGTGTTTTATATATATTTATATATATAGAAAAAAGTGTTGTAGACTTATCATCAATAACAATTAATATTAAAATAATGGCGACATGATGAATTGTGAGTGACGATAGTCGATAGTCTGAGACCTAATATATTGAATTATAAATAAAAGGTATAAAAACGGCGCTAATACACTCGTTGATAGACTGTGTAAATACTTCAGCCCATAATTCTATAACAAAATTGATTCAAAATATAGTTTCATAAGTATTTATAATCATAATCACTGCATAGTTTTGTAATATAATAATATTGAAATATATTTAATTGCAGCTTTCCACATTATCAAAACCAACCTGTGCATCCAATGAATACATCATATATTGCGCCGGGGAACATCAATATCAATCCCACGCAAACATTTCAATCATCTAATTTGGCCTCAATTTATCAAGGAGTAGCGGCCAAAGTTGGCACGGGGTAAGTGAAATTATTATATATTTGTTATAAATTATTAAACGTTGTTTTTTATATTAATTTTAAGACATTGCATTTAAAATTTGTCTATATTTAAATTTTACATATGCGAAAGCAAAAATAAATTTGGCGAGTTTTTTAAATATGTTATAAAATCAGACCAATTATGTACTTCTGTTTAGACAATGATAAATATTAAGCCAAGTAAATTATGCCAATGTTGATTATAGACAGAAGATAGGATCTTCTATATATAAATATAGTCGTGAATGAAGTTTTGTATTATCCCATATCATCTGCAATTTGATTCCAATTCTTTTCTTGTTTATCATTCTCTTATTTTATATTTCAACTAAATATTATTGTTACATTTAATCTTATAAACAATATATATATTTATTTTCAGACTTATTGACGATCCACTCGAAGCTTTTAACCGAATAATGAAGGAAAAAGAAAAGCTAAAAGTAGATCGCCGGCGAAGTCCAGGCCATCACAGATCTCGATCGCCTGGAAGACTGCGACATCGCTTCAAATCACCAGCGTATGATCGCGGCTCGTCGCGAGAGATGATCAGCAATGAGAAGCGGGCACGTTCGCGGGAGAGGAAGCGTGAATACAGCTATGAAAGACGACCAGGCCGCGTGACACGTCATTCAAGCAACGGATCAAATTCACCAAGCGACAAGAAGAAGAGGTTATTTATTAAATTAAGGGTTCTCTTTATACACATTTAAAATATTTATAAAATATGATACTGCCATTTTGAAATGAAAATATGGTTTTCTAACTCATATTTCTTTGAAACTAAAAACGCGAATTAGCTCATTCAATTCGTGTTCATCTTAAGCCAGATGAAAAAACGCTTATTAATATACGGTTCGTTATTTTCGAAAATAAAACTAAATAACTGTTAATTAACTACTTCGTAATCTAATTACTGATGTGTTGACAACAACATTTTTTTTCTTAATGGTTAAATTTATACGATTTTGATTAATCAATTTAAATTATTTACTTCAAATTTTTAACTATTAATATAGTTCGTTTCTAATAAAGAAGTTTTTGTTTTTAACTCGATTGATTAAGTATTGTCCGCTATAAACGTCCGACTGCCTGTCCGTCTGTTAATCTAAGCATATTAACTCAAACCTTTGAATACTACAACATGACTATAATTGAAAACGGAAACAAATGAAATCTAAAAGGTCACAGCTTCATAATTTGTTCTCTTATAAATAATATTACAAACAACATTTTCTGCACGGCTGCTGAATTTTCGATGCTTGAGGCTTTGTTCGTATTGATTCAGCCCCTGTTATTCCAGTCACGGCGTGTTACCAAGGAGATTTATGCCTTACCTCAAGAAGAAACTTCGCAAGTTTACTTTAAAAATAATCCCTAAAATACTGAAAACACCAAGACCATTCCCAGAAATCATTAAAATCAATATGCAACAGTTTAAAATCCGTAAATATAATGCACAATATTCTTAATGATATTTAATACTAAGTTAAGCTTCTTAAAATCAATTCTAATCAAATTCAGTCAGTGCCAAGGAGGCTAGGTTTGGGCTGGCAGAATTGCTTAAAGCTAGGGTACTGAATGTAGTCTCATTAGAAATAATAATAATAATAATATCCTCGATAGCCCACTCGTCACAATCGAATTAACCATTTTTCACTTGCAATATATAATTGTATATGTTCTTATTTAGTTAATAATAGTTTTAATATCATATTGCGTTTATATTAGTCATCATAGTGTCAACAGTCTGCAAATCGTTTTCCTAATCTTAGAGCTACTTCAGTTTTTTACTGAATTCTTTATAATTCTTTTTTCTTTTTAGTTTTAATCAGTTTTTTTTTTTTTGGTGAGTCCCATAACTCTTGTATTATTATGAATTTGAATAAGTTTGTTTCTCTAGTGAACTCTTGTTTCTAACGTAAGTACTATAGACCATTTCGAATGCTCAAACTGTGTAAATACCAATTAGAGCAACATTGAATAGAACCTTCTTTAGTTTTTAATGATAATTATACTTTTTTTTTAAATTGAATTGGATGTATTACTAAAATTTAATTAATTTTAGAGAGCATTTTTAAAAATGAAAATAGAGATTTCTATATATTTCGAACATAAGGAAAATAGCAAATATTCATATTATATAGCCTTTGACTTCAAAGACTTTATAAAGACTACTATAATTAATGATCGAATTATCTAGGGTTTGTCTAGTTCGACTTCGACACGTCTTTTAATGCATTTTAATTTTTATTTTATTTATTCTTACATTAATTTCTGTAAAGTGGCAGAAACCAAGTTTTATAAATAAGATTTTCCTACGACACTCAACTCTCCTAACTACTTAACTAAAGAATAAACAGCGAATGAAGCATTCCAATTTATGAGAAATTCTCTGCTGACTGTTTCCAATGGGTTTGTTCTATATTTCTATATAGTAATCATCTACTTATAAGAGTTGTTCCTTTTTTAAATATGGGTTCGTTTTGGTTTGTAAACTTTACGCAGCATTAGCTTGAGGCCATCTTCTATATTGCATAGTTAGTATTGTCTATGTTTTAATCCATTAAAAAATCTTCTAGTTTCACACTTGCAGCATTTTCGCTCAAAGCATATCCGGCATAAAAGGTAAACTTAGGAGGAGTTTTTGATACAAACTGTTTCTATATTTCGTGTCTCTGTGATGAGACAACTAAATAGTTATATAAACTAAGTGAAATGACATCGGCTTTATTAACAATTTTAATTCCATTTCTTTTGCTTTTTTTTTAGATATGTGCATCGTCGTTCGCCCTCGCCAAAGCCCGGATATAAGCCGCGGACTCGAGAAAAATCGTTGAATAAACAGTACCCCATAAAGACGGATACAGTTGAGCCGCCGCCTCCAGGCTTCGAATCACTACAAATAGAGAGTTTAAATGATAATGAAATAAACATAAATAATAAGAAAGAAGAACCAGATGTCGATAGAAATCTTAATGACCAGAATACTTCTCTGAAAAGGCAGAGGCATTATAGTAAGAGTGTAGATATTAAGGCAGTTGAGAACTGTTCCAGAAGCTTAACGCCACCGACCAAGTCAAAGGCTCCGAAGATAGCTAGAACTGAGTGTGCAGAGACATACGAGGACTCACCAAAAACTCCCGATCGAAAAGAACAACAAAATGTAAAGAGAATTGAGAAGCGCCCGAGTACCCAAATGTTGAGTCCAGAGAATGGCAAAGAGACCGTCAAGTTACTGGAGAATGTGGAACCTAAGAACGATATGGGGAAGGAAAACAATCTTAAGCTCAATCTTCAGCTAAAAGACCGAAAAAAGAAGAAAAAAGATAAGTCAGAGCGGAAGAAAAACAAAAAAGAGAAACGCGACAAGAAGGATAAGAGCAAGAAGAGTCGCTCGGAAAGCATAGAACCGACGCCAGAGAAGAGCTCTGACGTCAATGCAAGTTTAATGGACGTGTGCGATGAGAGCATTGAAAGCTATTCAAATAATCATACTCAGAAGCTATCCAATTGTATTGATCCCAATGCATTGAATAAAAAGGAAACTGTTTTGAGCATGGAGTCCTTGGATCACGATTTAAATAGAGAAAATATATCAAATAAAATAGGTGAGCCCAATGATGTCCAAATATCGAAATGGGAAATGGACGACACTAACTTAGGCAGCAGCCTAATGGATCCTTGTAAAAAGAATACCGCAAATAAAATGCAGGAACATTCAGAAATAACATCCGATGTCATTCGCAAGGCGGAAAATGCCATTTTCGCTAAGGCTATCAACGCTATTAGGCCAGTTGAGTTTAAAGTGGTTATAGACTCTAAGCATAGCAGTAAGGAACCTTCGGTTTCCATAAAAAGTAATCAGAAAGATCGCTCGCATTCCCCTAAATCGACTAGTAAATCGGTTAAGGAACGTTTAGGAAACAAAGTTGTCAATGAACGACATTATTCATCGGAACGATCGAAGAATAGTCGACGGGAGAGTTCGGTGAAAAATGTCAGTGATGATCGACACAAATACAGTTCGTCGAGCTATAATTCTAGGAAAAAAGAAAAGGATTCCAAAGAGCGAACAACAGCGACGGAGAGAAGATTCGAGGAGCACCGAAATCGGGATCGATCGAATGATCGGGAAATACATGTAAATACAACCCAGAAGGATTCCCATTTCAAGGACTCTCACAAACACAGAACCCAATTCAAGGACAAACCATCGGCAAAGGATAGTCGAAGTGATCGACAAAAGAAATATGAATCGGATCGTAGCTCTCGTAAAAGTCCCAAATTAGGCGAATTGCGATTAGTTTCATCGATTGCTTCAAGACCTTGTCGACCGGACAACCCGTTTCGGAAGTTCGATGAGAATATTTCGAGTAGCAATAAGGTTCCAAAATACGATAGCCTAATCAAGGGCGACGTGACGCCTCCCAAATCTGATCAGGCTGAATACAAGAAGCGCAAGGATAAGAAAGTCAAGAAACTGAAGAGCCTAAAGAAATGTTCGTCATCCGAATCGGTAAGAAGTGAAAAGCAAAAAGATGTAAAAAGCAAAAAAAAGAATAAAATCTTAAAGAAAAAGAAAAAGTCCCGGAAGTAAGTTTTTGAACATAAAACCCCTTAAGTCAAAGCAAACAAATAAAAACAAAAACAAAAAACAAATATATAATATATATTTAACATTACACAATATTTTATAATAAAATACAAAATAAAAACTACCTTATGTACATAAATATGATTGTAAACGAATTATGTTTTTTTTTTAAACATTTGTATTTCCAGATATCTTTTAACTATAATATTTCTGATAATTCCGACTGTTCTCGGGATAATTAACATTTCCCATTTAGGGATGGAGAGAACAAAATTGAAATAGCCTAAATTAATTCCAAAATTAGTAAATCCTTTAGGATTTTATATTATTATTACGAATTAAAATTAAAAAAGTTTACATGTATTAGAAATATATGCTTATAACAACGTTAATAAGTTTATGTTAAGCAATTGTTACTGTAGCTTTTGAATGCAGCGCAGATAAAAGTTAGCAGACAGTTAAGTTAATTCACACGACCATAAAACCCCAAAAAGTTGTTGGATAAACAAGTGAGAGTGCTTTAGTCGGGAGTGACCGGCTAGTATATACTCAACGCTTCTTTTATATATAGATCGCATACAACACGTGCACCCACACATACGCAAATACACACTCAGCTCATTGCTCTGATCAAGAATACAGGTACCCTAAAAAGGTTGCCACGCCTCTTTGTGCCTGTTGCATACATTTTCACTAAGCCATCATACCCATCATCATAAAAATGATATAAACAAAAAATTCTATGTCAATTTATGATGTTAATCTAGGCTTCTCGTGTCTTCCGAATACATATTTAACTAGTTTCTATTTGGGTAATTAAATAGTTATTATCATAAGTTTTAGTTTCTTGCTGGCCTTATGACTATTATTAGTTACTTCTACTTCTGCTGTGTTTACTTTTTGCTTGAAAGTTCTCTAAAATCGGAACTCAAAGCTGAAATGAAAACTTTGTCTTTGTCTGAGTTTTCACTTTTGTTAAATATGTTTTTAATTGTTAACTAATAATGTGCGATATTTCCAATAGGGGATCTGACAAATTAGAGCGTTGTTAATTGTTTTTCTGCCTCAATTAATCAACAAACGTAAATAAAAGCTGTTTGCCTAAGACATTTAAGCCAGCTTTAATATCTCTCTCCTTATAAAAGTATTTTGTTTGTGTCCAAAAATTAAGTTAAAATTTAGAAATTTTTATTAAATTTTAAACTCTTTATCATATATATTATTTTCATTTCTTATATTTTATTGTTATTATTTCGCATTAATCTTTTCTTTATACTCGCTCAACTAGTTAAAAGAGTTTATGGATTGTGTGCAATGGCGACTTGTTGTCTGCAGATCTTTTGCTTATATAACCTTGAAGCTTTTGTGAATTATTAGCGAGTGCAATTGCAGGTTTAAAAACTCCAAAATAATCCCATTGCATACTTTGCGGATTGCAGTCAGCGCAACCGAATGCAACCTGCATATTTGGAAGTCCAAAAAAAGTATGCACTCAAACGCCAAGTAGCAAATGCAACTTAAGTATATGTGCTAATATATATTTGAATTTATTATATGCCCGAAATTTGAAAATTACAAAATGTGCATTCATAAGACAAAAATTAAAATGCATTCAAAAGACAGAGAGAGGCTAGACTGCAAAAAAGAGAGAGCGAGAGAGAGGCTTTATTTTGAAGCTTTAAGCCGTAAGCAAGATTCGTAAACAAATTTAAAAACTAGTTTTGCCTGAATTAAAAATAATACAATTAAAATCAAAACAGAGACAATACATACACACACAGAGATGTGTGTTTGTGTAACTGTATTTAGCCTTACAAATGCAAAAGGTAACTTCGAAAAGCAAATGCAGAAGCTGCTGTAATTACAGGTATTTTAGCACAATAAATATCTGTTATATTTATAGCCTAGCCTAGGCAATTAAAATACATAAAATGCATAAAACATACATACGTGCATATATGGTATATACTGTGTATGTATGTATGTAAAAACCACTCTCACTTTCGTTGGGGCACAGTAAACGAGTTCCACTTTTGCTCTCTGTGCTGTGGTGAGTTACAGTGTGTGGCGTGGTGAGTTAGCTGCGTTGTGTTGTAAAGCTGCCACTGCTGCTGCTGCTGCGTATTGCTGTTCCGTTAATTAGGGCCGAACTTTCAGTGAGCTGCATTTCAGCTCAGACAAATCGAGATCTAAGCACGTCTCGGGTACAGAAAAGTTTCACCTACGGATATGTGCGGTTGTGAAATATTAAATACCACAGTTATACCATTCACAATTTTGCTACTTACCAATTATTGCTGACCGTCATTTGAATATGTATATCAAGATCAAATCTCTCAGCTCGCTGCAAAAATTATAATTATAATAATACAAAAAACGCAACAGAAACAAGATTTTAACAAGCGCGACAGGGAGCGAGAGAGAGAATGTGAATGTGCATGTGAAGTCATATGTAAATCCATGGTACAATCAAATATATATTGTTGTTTGTGTCTACTGCAACAATTGAATATCAAATAAATATTATTTAAATACATATACATATACATATGTGTGAGTGTGTGTGTGTGTGTGTGCATACAAGTAAACCTTTCTGTCTTACATAGCAACTGATGCAGATCAATTTTTATGAAAGTATATTTTTTTTCTTTGATTATTAATAAATCCCAAAGTTATTCGCGTTGTATTAGCGAAAAGCTCGCTTTTTGTGTACACCAAGAAATTTGCAGAAAAAAATAATATTTATTGGCAAAGGTCTACTTGTATAAGCAGTTTGCTTTGAACCAAATATCCATAACGATTGTCTCGTTTGCTTTCATAGTTTGTTGAATTATTAAAAAAATAAAAATATAAAAAAAAATATTTATATATTTATATTGAAGTTGAAGCGCTTAGTGCTAAATAAAGAAGTTAAAAGTGCTTTGAGTTTGTGGTTCTCCGTTATGTTACCCTTGCATAGACAATTCAGGGGCGGGCTGTCTTTAACAGTTATTCTGCTGATCGCGAATATCGTATTGACGAGCCAGAGGCAATTGGGCGCATTGGCAGCTAGTAACGGCGGCGCCGCCGTCAGTGGGACGGCGCGCACTGCTGCGGGCAATGGGAATTTGAATTTGCGTCTGGCGCTGCCGCGCACCAGCGCCAGCCAAATAAATAGCGCCTCTAACGCTGCTGCAAGCTTTAAGCTTGCTGCAAAAACATTAAACTCAACGCGTAATGGAAACTTGCGAACGAGGTAAGGTTTTTTTCTTCACATTATTTCTATAATTTTTTATAATATATATTATACTCACACACACGCAGACACAAGTTACATGTAAATGTATTTCTTGTAAATATTTTGTACACGAGCTGAAAGCATTTGATGTGAGTGTGAATAAACTTATGTACTTATGTATCGTGCGCTTTTGTGTGTGAAATCAAATGGTCAAAACAAAAGATTGCAGCAACAAACTGGTTTTTTGCACACAGCCAAAGCGACGGCTACAGCCATAGACGCAGACTGTAGCCATCATAGACACACACCACTGTACTATGAATGGAAAAAGAAAATAAACTACAATAATATGTTGAATACATGTGAATACATACATACATACTTACATACTTACATAGTTACATACTTACATAGAGACACTTATGTATAGCTGGCTATTACATGGCAACCAAAATATCGAACCAAATATTCAATCAAAACTGAAAGCAATTGTAGCAAAAGAGTTAGCAATTATTTGTTTAAATCAAATCAGTTGAGTTACTAAAAAAACTTATTCAGCAGACACAATAATGGGTCGACTTAATTGTCGATTGTGTAATTGTCTTATGTTAGACCAAAATTCCAGCAACTCCAACTTCAAGTGGCGCTGCGCCGTTTGCCGTGGGCCAACAGTTAAAACAAAGGTCAAAATGTTTATGTGAAATATCATTGTATGCTGGTCATTCAATTAGCCAATATAAATGTTGGCCTATAATTGTAATATTTTCAATTTATCTAAAAAATGAAAAATTTTTAAATTAATTTTTTCTGTATTTATTAATTTGCATTTTAAAGATAACTGAGGCACAATTTCAATTTATTTATGAATGATTTCAAATATAAAAATATTCATGAATAAATAAATATATTTTTAAGATTAAACTCTGACAATTTTTAGTTTTCTTAATAAACAATTTATTTTGAAGTAAAAAAATGTATTAGGATTTTCAGTTAAAATTTAAAATAAATCCAATTTATTTTTAAACCAATTAAAAGATTGTATAAAAATTATAATTAAAAGATAACTGAAAAATAATTTCAATTTATTTATATATAAATTGAAACTTAAAATGTTATAAATTGAAACTTAAAAATAATTAATATATTTATATAATTTATTAGCATTTGAAATTAAATTAAAAATTTGTTTTATTTTCCTTATAAATTAAACAATAGAAATTAACTTTATTAAACTTAAATTCGTTTTAATTAGTTCTTCAGATCAGTTTTTACGCAATTTGTAATACATAATAAGTTAAAAATATTGCTCATACTTTTTGTTTATTAATTTTATTTAATAAATAAATTATTTAGCTTTAATTTTTCTTAAGTTACTTGGCTCTTAGCGGAACAAACTAATGATAAATTCGGATGCTAATTTATTTATTTATTTTATTTTATTGAACATTTATTTTATTTATTTATTTATTTTATTTGAACAATATATTTATCAAAAAAAAATTTTAAAAATTAAATATGAAATATATGCATAGGTTACTTATTACACAGGTTATATATCATTCAATATACTCAACTATATATTTGAAACCAAATGTCGAGCTGCTATTGCTGCTGCTGCTGTCACATGCGTTTAACGCTCATTCCTTCAACTCATATGTCCACAAAAGCATTTAGGCCATTTAGCCAATTGCGAATTGTGTGGAGCAGCTGTGAGCAGCTTTTTCTTCTCGCATTTTCTTAGTATAGAAAATGCGTTGTTCGATATCTTGCGAAATAGCTGCGATCTTTATGGAATTCGCAATTAAGTTTTGGGTAAACAGGGGTGTGTACAGAAGAAAAAACAACTATTAAATAATGACTGAAAGCTAAAATAGTTTAGTTTTCATATATCTCATCCATACCATACACAAAAGCTTACCTAATAGAAATTTCTACAAATTAACAAAAAAAAAATGAGATTGAAAAGTAAAAGATTTCTTTGTGATATAGAGTTTTAAAGTCTATATGAGAAATATGTGAATTCTAACTAATATCAATAATATCTAGTATTTTTTAGAATTTTTAATAAGTTTTTTATTTTATTTATACCAAACGCAGGCTTACATAACATTTGCTGTCTATAGATCATGATTTTCTAGATATGCTGAAGAAATCTAGCCCAAAATATAGAAATTCATTGTGCTGAGATCTATTTATTTTATAAATTCGAGAACTTAACTATAGATTCATTTTGATTGCATGGAATTTATAATTAATATTTATCAAAACAAAAAACATAATATTTCTAGATATAATGAGATTAGAATATATAGTCAGGCATATAAAGTAGGTCAAAAAAGTAATTTTCCTTGACTTTTCTTCATATATATATATATTTCTTTCTCAAGTACCGTGTGTAAGCCGAAAATAATTGCTCAACTCTTTTGTTTAACGCTTACAATAGTTTTACAATAGTTTTTAGTATCCCTTAATTGGGTACAGGGTATAAAGTGATTTGTGCATGAACTATAAGTGTGGATGTTGATTGGATTGCGTACACTAACTGGTGGAAAACCGGTCTCGGCTATGCTCGAGAGTGTGGGAAATGGGCAAATAAAGCCAAACTGCGCTGTTTATGACTGTTTGCTGGCCAAAGTGAATGTGATGCAAATTATTAAATTTTTCTGTTCATGGCACAGCCTCAGCCGCAGCCGCAGCCGCCGCCACAGCGCTATTGACATTATTAGTGCTTTGTTAACAACATAAATCTGTAACATTTCTATACCCTGATTCCATTGAAAATGGGAAATCAGGGTATAATGTTTTGTTAAAATTTATGTAACAGGCAGAAGGATCATTCTTGTTCAGGACGTCAAATCGCTGCTATTTAGTTGAGATTAGCAACTCCTCCTGAAAGGAGTATAGGTAGAGTTAATGCGCATTGCGTAGCCTATCTTGGTTCAAATCTTAGTGTCGTAACGTCTGTTTTTATTTATTTATTTATTTATTTATTTATTTATTTATTATTACCCGATACAAACTCTAGAAAATATTTAAAAACGAAAATAGGACTATGACAGGGTAGCTCCTAGTCGGTCACTCCAACTAGAGATTTTATTACTTGTTTTTTTTTATGATTTGATAGATTTCATTGAAGAATTGGTATAGAGGAAGAAGAAGTAACTGGCGCAGAGATCTATCTAGAGTTATATTGCATCGCCTTCAATATTATGGTATAAATATATTTTCACATTGTCTGAGGCGGATATATCAGAAGAGGTATATATTTGATGATTATGCAAGAAAAATTTTTCAGCTGCATTAAGATCTTTTCAAATGTGATTTATTATTGGGTTGAACTTAATTCATCAATCAGATAATAAATATTTTTCGCCCCCTGAGGTCATGCAGTCAATAACATTTATTTTCAAAATACATAAAAGAAAATTGGTATTTTCTTGTTTGTCCAAGAGAAAGAAACAAGTTAACTTGATGCCCACATTGGTTTAGAGAAAAAGAAGAAACACCAAACTTAATATTTACAAGGTGTGCTCAAAAAGTATAGCAATTTTTTTGTATTTTTCGCGATTTATTTAACTAGCAATAAATCGAAACTGTATCTTGCTTCATTTACCAAATATATTCGAGTTAAAAGTATGCAAAATATATATATAGACTAGTTTTACCCTTACCAGTTTTGATTTATCGAAAAAAAATCATTTCTCACAGTTCAAGGGCAAAGGCTGTCAAGCGAGACGATTCAAAGAGTGTGACTGGAGCATATAAAGGTCTATTCACAAAAGAGTTGTCTTGTATATGCTATAAAAGAAGAAGGGGCTTGAAAAGTAAACTAAAATAATATATTATGCGTAATATCCATTTGTCTAGCCTTTGTTGTATTGTTATTTGATTCTCCCGCTTCTACAGTTTCTACAGATATTAGTTATTTTACTAAAAATATATTTTTGTAGATATTTCAATCAGTATGGAGTTATACTTACTATATAGTTGCTTTCTTTTGCAAATAAAATAAGTTAATTGGCTGCGGAGATTAGGCTTGTTAATCTTAGATGTTACCGCTGATCAATTAGCCTATTCATTTCTTATAGAAAGCGTAAAATAAAATGCTTTTGACAACAAATACGCTGAATTCAAGGGGGAAGCCCATAATCAAGTATAGTTTCAGGCCTTCAATTTCCGATGCACGAAGACGTCAAAGAAAATAACTTTTATTACATTATCAATTAGCAAGTGAGTTTAAAAGAGTCAATAACTTAATGATAGAAAGAGAAAGAGAGAGAGAGTCAGAGTAAGAGAGAGAGAGTATTCAACTGGGAGATATCCTGTATTTAACGCTAAGTAGCCAACAGATTTATGAAAATTTTGACACTCTGAACTAAACTTTGAACTGCATAGATCTATGTTGCCTTTCTTTTTTTTTAACTTGCCATAATTAATCTTTTCTCTATCTGTTTTCTTCCCTTTCCTTATATCAGCTTATACATATATCTCGCTGTTTCCATGTATTTCTGCCTATTATTTATGGGCATAAATAAATAAATACATATGTATATATATATATATATATATATTTTTAACTTTTCACTTCCTCCTTTAGTTGTCTCTTCCTAATTAATATGATATATGATATGATATGATTATGTCTGATATATGATTACATTATAAATGTATATTAATAATATACACAATTTGATTATGCACATCTATATATAGGGATGATAATACAATGAATAAAAAATAGGTTACTTTCTGACAGTATGTGTAGTATATAAGAGTAGGTAGTATAAGAGTGTCAATAGAATATAAGAGTATGTAGTAGAAGAGAGTAAGTGTATCATATAAGAGTATGTAGTATAAGAGTATGAACTATATAAGAGTATAAAGCATTTAAGGCTGCAGTCTCTACTTAAGTACTCAAATTAATTAATTTATTTATTTATTCATATATTAAATTACCTAAAATCTTGTTTCGCCACCTTTCAGAGAACAACAATTGCTGAGCATATTTGAAATAATTATAACAACGCTCGAGGGGAAATTGAAACGAATCGATAATCTGGGCAGATCAGTTGAGGATCTAATGGGGCATATAGAACTATTGGAAAATCGTGTTACGAATAATGTGGAGAAGACAGAGGAGGCGCTATCCAAACTTAGTAGTCTGGATTCCAAACTGTCAAATGTCGTTTACATTCTGCCCGAAATGACAGCGAACGCAGAGAGCGAATTGAATAAGCCGAATCCGAAAATTTCAGCCACCTACCAAATCGACAGTAGGCTAGTAAAATTGGATCAGAAAGTCAGTGATATTGACTTGAAGCTGGAGGTGCTGAAAACGCAAATCGATAGCAACTTCTTGCAGGTCGATGAGTTCAATGCTGAGGCAAGTGAGAAGAAGCCCATTACCATGAATGTTGTCGAGATTACAAAAGCAATGACTGCCGAGGTAATGACGCATGTCTCGAGTGAAGTCAATCAGCTGCGCGACTCCACAGATAACATTGACAAGAAGTTGCAATTTCACATCAATATCGAATCTGAGAATATAGGCCGCATGCTGCGCATGATGAATGACATTCACGATGCTGTCGTGGATCATCATGAACAGATGAATGGATTCAATGTCACCACAACTGCTTTTCCAGCCATCAAATCCAGTAAGATCGACGCTCTGGTTAAGCAAATGCGACCTATGGTATCGGTATCCGAGAAAATGGACGAAGTATGGGATGTTGTGGTGGGTACAAAGTCTTCGGTTGATCACCTATTGCCTAAATCGGATGCGCTACTAACACAGACTCAGCGGCAGGAACGTGCGATTGGCGAAATCCACCAGGATCTGAAAACCAAAACGAATTTAATAATCAATAACTTAGATATGGTTGAGAAGCGACTGAAGAAGCAAGAGGATGATGTCCAAATACTAGCACAGCGACCAGTTGCGAGTGAACTCCTTGTTGATCCAACCATTGATCGATTGGTCGAGTATGATCCAAGCAGGTAGGAAAATTGTTATATATATAAGAATTTGTCTTCAATTTGCTTATTCCATTTAGGTTTTCGGTGATTGATGAAAGCCTGACCGACTTAAATGAGCCAGCCACAACGCCCACGACGACGCAGTCTACCACGATATATAATAGTACTACGACCGCGCCATACTCCACAATGAGCACACCAACGGGTGCTATGCCAACCAACGGTCATTCGACCGCATCGAGCAATAATATTAGCAGTACAACTGCAAATGGAACATCGACCACATCGGCTACAAGTGCTACGTGGAGTGCGACACCTACGAAATCGGTGTTTCGCAAGGGAGGCATTATCTTCCCTAGTGTAAAGAACAAACCAGCTGTCGTCAATAACACCCTGGCCAGTGATATATTTACTCTAAAGGATGTCAAGGTAAGGATGATAAATACATGAAATTAATTTAAAATGCTAGGCACATTCATCGAGCATGAATTTACATAAAAAACTAAAGCGATAAAAACGAGTTGGAAATATTTTAAAATTTTATTAATATTTATGCTATGATTAAGTTAAGTTTAATACAGTTTTTGACATGATTGATGTAAGTATAAAACGATCAAAATGATTTCACAGATTACACTGTCTAAAGCTCGTCTCTGGGCAGTTTTTCTTTGCACGAGCAAGTGTAAGTAGCATTAACCTTTTCCATGCCTTCCAGCACCTCGACAGGTGACACCAATCGACTGCTCCACTCTTTAAATAATACTATGTGATAGCAATATATGTGCTGCGGCAAGAGATTCTCTTCTACAAATGCGCGTGCATTTGCTACGATTTCCTTAACACGTAAATCGTTTGTCCTAGCCCATTCGATCTTTTCAATGACGTCGCTCAGATCACGTTTAATGGGTACAAAATGCTTATATGGCACCAGCTTACTATAAAAATGCTCATAATAATGTGAATCTTGCTTGAATACCAAAGATCCGCCTGCAAGCAAATAGGGCAGACGATAAGCAGCCACAGCTCCATCAATGTTCAACTGATATTTGTACTGGAAATATAAAGAGAATATATACTAAGATACACGACTATAAGTAATTAAGGGAAATCTACCTTGAAGAAGTCCATAAATGATATGTGTGGTACTTTGGGACCGTATTTATATTCCTCATTGCGGAAAAAGAAGAAATTTGTAATGGATGCGTTTATTGCATCCGGATACTTTCTAGCCAATTCAATCAGATCCAATCGTTCTCGTCGCGAGTCTCTGCCACGAAAGAAGGCCTTTTCATCTTTACTCTCCCAGGAGTACTCGTCTTTCTGAACAGACAGCATATCCAACATTACTCGACCCATATTCTCTATAGTCGATTCTGTAATATCATATGTCGGCAATGTTATGTCATATGTGTCGTCACTGCCGCACCATGAAAATATTGGATATGGCCCTGAGGTTCGTTGTTGCCCTCCCTTCTTAGATAGCGGCCAATCGCCAAGATTTAGATAAAATTCCATATCTGGCAGAAGAACGACACGGGCTAAAGCAGAAAGCGTAGCATCCATAAACATTTTAAAGCCCGTGTATTTGCCATAGCACGTTCGCCAAATTTGCTGGTTTTTCACCACATAATGGCACAATGATATACTCTCGGGAGCATTATATCGCTTCAGTAAATTAGCTCGAATGGCGCTAAAGTTGACGCGCTTAAATGAATGCAAGTCCCAGGATATTTGTTTGTCTTCTGTGAAAGCAGCACAATCATTATTTAGCAGCCAGAGATTCAGCTCCTGCGGACAATAGCAGCGCTCCGAATAGACTTTGTTACGCATCAAATAGGGCGACTGTGCAACATGGGTGTTATTATATTGCACATTAATCTCTAGATTGTCGCACCAATCGGCAATCGTATAGCGCACAATGGTCGATCCATCTTCGCGATCAATTTGATTCAAATTGTATCGACATTTGCCGTGCGGCGAGTTTCCATTAATATGCACTTGGAATTTCAAATACGGGCGGGAAACGAATCTGCAATACAGAAGATAAACATTTTAATATTCTATGGGCTTCGATTTTTTTTATGTTTACTTGTTCCCGGTTGTGTCGACGGCTTGAATAAAGAAATATCTTGCCGGCAAGACGACATCATCCGGGCTGAGTCCCGGACCCCAGACTAGAGTCTTTCTGACATCCACAATTTGCTCTTCGCATGCCGAGAATCTCAAAATAAATATTACTGAGCATATTATTACGGCTAACATTAAAATGTACACTTTTCAACCCAAACAAATCGTTTAAGTGTGACCGAACATTGTATTGGAATTAATATCGATCGTAAAAAAATACTGCAGTGGTTAAGGGTGTGCATTGGAAACTACAGAATTGAGCGCTAAAAACTAATTTTAAAAAGTACTATTTAAACGTACATTTAAAATATAACTTTTATTATATATAATTTTATATTTTTCTAGGGTTTCTCTTGTGTAGATATCTTAAATGCTGGCATGAAACAATCTGGAGTATTTTATCTACAAATTCGCGGAACAACATATTGGTTCTTAAAGGTGTATTGTGAGCAGGGTATTTCAGATGGCGGTTGGACGGTAAATAGTTTTCTTATTGGTTTTTATAATAATGGAAGAATTCATTAAATTTCGCAATACTAGGTCATACAACGGCGTGATGATTTTGGAGAACCGCGAGAAAACTTCAATCGTGACTGGGCGGATTACAAAAATGGATTTGGCGAACCTGCTAAGGAATTTTGGTTAGGCAACGAAAATATTTATATGCTAACAAATAACGAAGACTACGCATTGCGGGTAGAATTGGAAGATTTTGAAGGTAACAAGCGGTAAGTTAATTTGTTTATTAATTAAAATTAAAATGATCGATTGAACCTTTTAGTTACTTATGGATTCTTGTTTCCTTTCAGATATGCTCAGTATTCGCACTTTAAAATACACTCTGAAGCGGACTATTACAAGCTAGAAATCGATGGATACGAAGGAAATGCTGGCGATTCATTAAACGACCCATGGTATGGATCGAACAACAGTCCATTCTCAACGTACAACAAAGACAATGATCGAAGCTCGCTCAACTGTGCAAGCATGCTAAAGGTAAATATAAAGATAAGAACTTTCACAAATATAGAAGTGCTTATTTAATATCATCACTTTGTCATTTTAGGGCGGCTGGTGGTGGAAGTCATGCGGACGTGGCTTAAATGGACTCTATCTACATGACCCACAAGATTTAACCGCTCGACAGGGCATTGTATGGTTCCGCTGGCGGGGCTGGGACTATACTTTAAAGAAGGCCACTATGATGATTCGTCCTCGGATGCCCCAGCCACAGACTATTACCCTAGGCCCAGTGACTGCGTCTTAGAGTTTCTTTAATTATTTTAAATGTAACGTGAAACGTTTTCTACTGAGAGACAAGAATTTCTGTTAGGTTATGAATGTACGTCCATATAATAGCAAATCATGCGTTATAGCCAATTTTAAATGAAAGAATTCTGTAATTTTAACTTGTTACCCTTAAAAATAATAACTTATTTTTATTAATTTCTTATTGTAGCGACATAAAACTAGATAATTATTTTAAAATTGTTCAGTAACGTTATAAGTATTATTCTTAAAACGCTGCAATCATCCCATACAAATTGTAAATATAATCACTGTTAATCTGTTTGTATCTTATTTATATAAATGAACCGATTTGTTTGGAAAGTGAAACATTTTCAACCGTAAGCATACAATATTTATGATTTCTATAGGCTACGACCATATGATTGCTAAAGGAATAAGATAAAGGTAAGCTTACTTAAGTCAACTGTTGAAAGACAGGAGATAATTCTTAAATACAAACACAAATGCCGCTATGGAAAGTGAATTTAGCTATAACTGGTTTTTATTTAATACAATTTTAAAAAACGATACAATCAAAAAGTTCAAAAAGTAAATTTGGTTATTAAGATTGCACTCATATATCAGAACCTATCGGACTGAATCACAGCAGATTTATAAGTAGCTTTATTTAGTGTATACATTTATACATATGTCTAGTAAATGGGGTCGACTATGGCTCTGTCTACTCTAATATGCAATTTTATAAAAACATATACCCATTTTTAATTGATACAACTTATAACAATGTCTGATGATATCGACATACGTTACGAGCGGAATTTCAAATTAACGTATGACAACGAAATGTATGCATATAAAATGTGTGTATATTCAAATTTATGTTGTCAGCTAAAATTAACCTGCATGTCGTTTATTTCTTTTAATATAAATATCACAATACAGATGATTCATTATATATTTGTATGAATATCTTTTAATACATACGTAAATTGCCTGATGTCGATATATATAGTAAATATAGTGTATCGACTATGATCATTCATTGATTGCATATCGATATTAATAGTCCTTGATATATCGTTTAAGTTTTTTGTAAATATTAAAATATCGATATTTTAACATTGATCATGTTTGAAAACGACACATACGTAAGTGTGTATGCGTGTGTATCTGTGTATGTGTGCATTTTCGTATGTATTTTTGAACGTTTGTGTATACCTGTGTATGCGCAAAAGGTGGTGTGTTTAGCTCCTTCAGAACATCTGCCGGCTTGTGAAATGATCTTTCCCCTGAAGCGTGTGCATAAGCGTAGTATTGAAGCCAAATTAAAACGGAAAAGGCGTGCAACAGAACAGAACAAAAGGCGCGTAGTTTTTAAGTGTCGATGATTTAAAAATAATACGATTCAAATAAAAAATTAAATTAAACAAACAAAGAAAAGTTCCAAATGTTGCTGCAACTATTCACAAAACTGTATATTATTGGCGTTTATGTATGGCAAAATGTTAACTGCGCGCATCATAGCGATGCACTTACACACAAATCATTGCGGCATCAGAACTGGCAAAGGCTAGAAATGATGGACAATAATGGATTATATTGGCTCGAGTGGCAAGTGAAGGAAAAGGATATTCACTTTAAAGTCACGGTTAATACTCGTGGCTTCGTTGGCCTGGGATTCTCGAAGAGAGACGCTCGCATGTCCACGGCAGATATGGTCTTGTTATGGGTGGACGATCAAACAGGAAAAGCAAATGCATTGGTGAGTATCATCGCTAAGAGTGCATTAAAAGTATACAAATATTTAAAATTTTGAAATTGAGTGATTTGTGATGCATTAAAGTGAACATAAATATTATTCAGGAATGCATTGCAGAGCTAAGGGCAGAATCAGCAAAAGGGTAGCCCTTGTATGTATGTGTGTATATATGTGAAAGTGAATGTGTTAGTGTACGTGAGCGAAAGTATGATACAAAAACTCGGAACTATGTTATGTACAGGGTGTCTTTTTTAGTCGTTCTTAGCTAACAGACGTAACATTCTTTTCATCATACTACATCAATAAATATATACATAAAATATATGAATAATCTATAAATATTATGCCGCTAAAGAGCAAATTCATATTCAATAACAATTAAATAGAATTGACCTAAAGACCGATAGAGATAAAGCTGGGTCAAGGTTCTGCGAATCCGCTTTCACAGCTCTATTGTGTTTTAATAAAATAGGTATATACGTATTCCATGTATGTATATTCTGCACTCTCTTGACAGCGTGTCATTGTCAACGTCTGTTATTTACATTAGGCACATTTGCGGCGGTAATTATCTTGAGTGGGCAAATAGATGACGCTGTTAAGTTCACCGATAAAAGATCTCTCTCATTTTGAAAGTCCTTTTAGGCTATACAGCTACATCTGTAATAATATACATACCTATTACCTATAGGTATTAGCTGGTTTATCTCTTTAAAGCACATATAACATATATATACATTTTAACATATATTTCTTTGTTTTTATAGGATTGTCACGGATCCATTGAATATCCGCACGGAGCACCTATACAAGATGATACGCAGAACTATCATGTTATCGACGGCAATCAAAATGAAACGCATACGTTTATTGAGTTCAAGCGCTTACTTGAAACCTGTGATCCCTACGATATGCCATTAACCGTATGTAAATGATCTTATATAGATTCCCAAAACATTTTGAATATACTTCTTTATAGCACGACACGATTAAGGTTTTGTGGTCTTTTGGCAATGAGGATCCCATACATGGAAATCTGGCTGGACATGGTCAGAATCGTGGTTCAAAGTCCATGCATTTACTGAATCCCATCTTCAGAAAACAAAGTATGACAGCCAAGCAGGTGACACACCAATGGGACATTGTTGTAAATAATGTTACACTCGAACCAACGATGGACACTCTCTATTGGTGCAAAATTGTCAGCGCCCCAATGCTGAAACATAAACATCATATTATCGGCTATGAGCCGTTACTAACTCATGTTTCGTAAGTAGCGAGTTCGAATGTGAAATAGATCAACTAATTATATATTGTAAAACTATAGAAAAACAGATGAAACCATTGTCCATCACATGACTCTATTTGAATGTTCCACGAAGTCCTATCCTGGTTCAGATTCCGGCTCCTGGGACGTTTGGGTCAGAAGCACGGGAACTGTGTGCAACAGCAACTCTTTGACGCCACGGGATTGGGACTCCTGTTCCACACCAGTTGCTGTTTGGTCCATTGGATCGTCAGGTCAATTTTTACCAGAACATGTTGGTATACCCATTGGTGGCTCAGCGGGCGTCAAGTATTATATGCTCGAAATACATTATGATAATCAGAAAGCTTTACGTGGTAAGTGGTGCGCTTACCACATCGATTAAGCATATATTACACTATTATAACTTACAGCCATTGATCATTCGGGATTTCGTATTCATTATACGCCCGAGATACGCACTAACGACGGAGGTATCATAATAAGTGGAGTTTCTATTTCCGACACCCAAATCATTCCTCCTGGTCAAAAGTTGTACCGTAATGTTGGCATATGTGGACCTTCGTGTTCAAATGTTGTAAGTTGAAAAGGTTCTTAAAATGTTTTATGTTTGTTTCAAGGTCAATCATTTCAGTTGTTTCCCGAAGATGGCATTAACATCATATCTGGCACTCTACACACGCACCGCGCTGGTCGCAAAATGAGCCTGCGGCATATTAGAGGGGGCAAAGAATTGCCACGCATCATTGAGGATGAAAACTATGATTATAAATATCAGCAATTTCATCAGTTGGCCAACGAGACGATCGTTTTGCCCGGCGATTACATTATTACAGACTGTGCCTATGAGACAATGCATCGCAAACGAACCACATTCGGTGGTTATTCAACGAAACAGGAAATGTGTTTATCTTTCATCACGTACTACCCGAAAATTGAGCTAGCCGGCTGCTACAGCATGACCCCGGTGCGTGAATTCTTTGAGATGTTTGGAGTCAATCAATTCTACTCATTGAATATGACAGATGTCGAAAACTTATTTCTGTACAATGGAAATTTATTGGATTACATGCCCAATACGGTATACAGCAAATCGAAGACAAATCACACAGATATGACCGCTGAAGACATAGTCGTGGAAGGATCTCTATTAAGTATGCAAATTAAAATAAATATTTATATATTTTGTAACTAATTTTTCTTATCTATCCCGTGTTTTAGATAAACTGATTATTTCGGATCCTGTGGAGTTTCATGATCGCACTTTCCTTTCACATTTGAATCAGCTTCCTTGGTCGGAACCGTTGTTTACCAAGCGTGTGGAATATGCCATGATTACCGGCAAACATATGACTTTTTGCCGTGTCTCTAACGAGTCAATGTCCATTGTAAGTTCAGTTTTGTTTTACAAACACAAGATAATTAAAAATTCTGCGTTTATTTCAGCCCTCCGAGATAATACGCTACCCTAACTTTACCACGTTTGTAAAGCCACCCAGTAGCTGCACCTACAACTTGTTCATTGATAGCATTCAAATTAAATCAAGCGGTTCGAGATCTATTGCACATTTCTCATTGAGCTTGCTGCTCGTCCTCATTTGTCTAAGGAAGCAATACCAAATGCCCTTTAGATCAGGGATCCGGGGATGAAATATTATAAGTCATCATTAATTTTAGTTTTAAACCCAAAGACATAGTTGCTTATAATCATATTTGTATAATAATTTATATTTAAATAAAGTTGATTTAAGAAAACGTGTTGATTTGCAGAATTGATTTGCATTCAAGAAAATGGACTCAATTCTTCATGCTAATTAATCAATCACTGACCGAGGTCTTTATAAAGTGCTATGCATTAGGTTATTATAAGCGAATTTGATTTGTTCGAGTTTATTCGGCATTCGGTTAAATTAATATGGAGATTACAATTTAATCAATATTATTTAGGTCATCAAAAATTAACGTGCCTATTGGGCTGGGAGTCCTAGATGGCATATTGTCATTACCAAAATCTTCAGAGTTACCATCGGCTAGAAAGAACAAAACAGATTTCGTTTAATTCATATACAAAAATACAAATATAATTTTACTATGTCACAATCCCCTTAAATTATAAATCTTTATTAATTTTTAACACATACCTTGATCCAGAAAGTTACATTTTCTTATTTGGTTCACGGAATTTAACGAACTTATGGTTTGTTTACTTGTGTGTTCGGCTGTCTCTAGGGTCGTTGGTAAGTCCAATAACCTTTGATTTTGAATACCATCGCCTGGCCCCATATGGGAAATATGATTGAAATTTGTTGGGCCAGATATCATCTTTGATCTTCGATCACTGAAATTAAAATTCAATTGAATTACAATTTTGTTAAATACACAAATTGAACTTTATAATTACCTTTTAACGGTTTTATTTATTTCTCTTATAGAAAATCTACGTTTAATATTGCTGACTCCTTTTTGGTCACTATCATGATACTGCAAAAGCCCCTCTGTAAAGAAAAATGGATTTGAAAACATTACTAATTTTTAGATCTAATCTATTGTCATTGACACCACCATATTATTAGCGGTAGTTGTAAGTTTTATCATCTGCGTGATTTGTTATATTTGCTACTTACTTGTATGAATATTAGCTAAGTACACAATCAGAGGTGTATCATTTATTGATGTTAAAACAACATTTCCTATATTGTTTAGAGGAAGCGATTGTTTTATACCAATAGATTGAACCCACTCAGATGTTTGTGTGTTAAATATATCCAAATGAGTTTCTGAGAATACCAAAAGATGACCGTCGGAATAGGCTGAAAGTAACAATATAATAATTTAATATATTCTTAGTGCTTACAATTAAATTACTAGACTGCAAAGACTTACTTATATAAGTGGGGAAAGCTGGATACATAATTTCCCTGTCGCGTGATTTGCGACCTTGCAAGTCTACGTATATTGCAAGAGTTTGAAATACTAATAGATATTCTCCAAAGGTTCCACCGGTCGGGGATAATATTTCAATTACTCTAACTGCATCAACGCCAGAATAATTCAAAAATGCGCATAGTTGATTTTCTGGATGAACAAGGGCTAAGAAAGAAATTTCGAAGATTATTAAGTAATCAGAACCGTATTTATAAAATGTAATAGTAAATGAATAAGTAACTTACACATTGCTGTCGCCTCTCCCCGCAGGAAATAGGCTGTAAATCCACTTTGATGGGCAACAACTAGACGCATATCTGACAGTATTTGCAGATGTTGAGCAAGATATCCGATCGTGAACTCGCAAGTCTTTTGGTGTCTTGTACGCGTGCGATTTATTTCATACACAATGATTTGTGTGTGGTTATTGGGTCGCTTTAACGCAATGATAAACGAATACACAATACTTGGATAACGTCGTATGATTCCGGTACAAGCGGAAATGCAGTTCTTAGACTCCATGACCTTTATCCATTCGACGTCGCTTGCCTCCAATGCTCTTATAGGTAAAAGCCTCAAATGTCGCTGCTTTCCGCAAAGAATAACAATTATCTGCTCCTCCTCAATGTACCACAATTGCAGAATTTTCTTTGTTTCGCCAATTCGCGCAATTTCTGAATGAAAAATTAAAAAGATTTTTTATAGTAGACGAAATATTTGACTACTTTGATATGCATTTATTCCTTACCATATTGATCCAAATTGATGTAAAACAATCCGTCTTCAGTTCCTAGTAAAATTTGATTCGCATAAGTTATAACAGAACACAGAGCGTTTCGTATAATCGACAAGGTATTATCCAATATTTCGTTAACTTTGTAAATGGCCGTATTTGGTAGATTATTTCGTTTTAAAATTCGATGAAGTTCGCCCAATGCAATTATCCATTTGGACTTTTCAGATTCATTATCAGCCAACATTAGAGTGCTCAATGAGATTCCTCCTTCAATGAGAGCGGTTTTTATCTGAAATTAAGTACGACGGTTAATGAGGATTGGAAACGATTAAAGTATTTACAAGTTACCTTAAAAATACAGGGAACATCCTTTTTAGCAGCATGAATGACATCACTTTCTCGTACGCTGCCAACAGAGAATTCTGGATCCCGCATATCTAACACTTGGGACACACTTACACTAGGTAATGCACATCGATCCGTAGATATATCATACAAAAACAATTTAAAGTCACAGACGACCACAAATTGACGAATCCAGCCCCTTTTAATGACTCCCGATTTGGGCACCTTAACATAGCCTTCATATGCTGTTCCAATTCCTCTTGTCGGATCGATGCCTAATGGTCTCTTGGTTTGATCCATGGGCACTGGACACATGGTCGGCACTCTTTGACAGCAGACAGTATGGCAGGCAAATCCGCAAATTTCACAAACAACACCTTGCCTGGTTAAGCCTACCATTAAAGAAGTGCAGTGATTACATTTGGTAGGACTACTAAATGTTCGAACAAGAAACTGATGAATCGAGGTGTTGCTGCTCGTTTTCTTTTTTGATTCCTCATAGTTCAGGCTGTGCTCTGATCTTATATCGTCGTTTATAGCAGCATTTTTGACACTTAAGTTGTCCTTGCCTGGCTTATGTGAATACTTCGACTCATAGTTGAAAAGCATGCCAGGATTCGCAGCTTGAAACAAATTAGATGCTGATGAGATACTGTCCCTGGCATCGTTAACGTACGACTCTTCAGAGTCTATAACATCTGTGTTTATAGACATATCCTTGAAGAAGGCGTTGTTATGATGCGATGCTTTATTTAAAAACGATTCCGAATATCCAAGTTCAATTTTCTGTAAGTCTCTCAGCTCGACTTCTTTCTTCTTCAAGTCATATAAAATCGACTCGCATCGTTTTTTATAATCAACAGCTTCTTTTTGGGTAGAAATAAGTTCAGCTCTAGTTTGACTTAGCTCGTCGGCGATGAATGCCTTTGCCTGAATTTCGCGTTGCAGAGCACTTTGCAGATTAAGCAATTCCATTTTATCCAGCTTTTGGGATCGTCTGTTTCGCCAGTTCTTATGATCAACTGCATTGTTATTCAAGGTTCCCACATGCTTAAGATATTCGATTTCTTCGGTCATTTTTGTAGCCAGCGCCTGTAAATAACTACGAGCATCTCTTTCATCCGATACCCATTGAATAATTTCTGCCATTTGCAGTTCCCAATGATTTATTGCATCTCGTTTCACTTGCAACTCCTTCAATATTTGAATTTCATCGGCCTGCAAGTCTCGTAGATTTTTACATTTCACGCTCACTTCTGTGTTCAGACGTTGCTTCTCCTCGTACCACGTTGATTTCTCTACATCATATCGCTTCTGCAATTCCAAAATCGCTTCTGCTGAATCGGCAATATAGTCAGGAGTGCATTTGATTTTTTCATGTGCTTGCTGCAGCTCTTTGGAAAGTATTGCGTTGGCCGTTTCCAATTCGCTTAGCTGTTCCTTTAGTGCATCCAGTTCGAGATTATTCCGTGCCTGCTGATGACTTAGCTTCTCCGCATATTGAAGTTCTACGCGTTCCAGTTCGTAAGCTGCCATTCCCGACGGTATACTTGTGGGAGTTGTTGAATCAACATTTGGTATCGATTTGCGATAATCAATTTGTAGCTTTCGACAGCATTCTTCGGCGTGCTCTCTTATTTTTTTCTCTTTGGACGCCTCGTTTACAGCATCTTCAATATGCAGTTCGAGCTCTCTACGAGTCTTATCGGATTTACGCAACTCGTTTCTCAAGCTATCATTTTTTTGGATAGCCGCATCGAGCTCTTCTTCCTTATCTCTAACCTGCCTCGAGAGTTTTTGTTTTTGGTTTCGAAGTTCAGTGAGTTTTTCAGTAACTTCTGAGTATTCCATCATTGCCACATTTCGCTGAGATATTGTTTCTTTCAGCTCAGCTTCTTGGATTTGCAGCCTTTCAACTACTTCATTATACTTTGCGGATAGTTCATTTTTTTCATGTTTACATGTAACTAATTGTTCGTTTAATGTTTTGATTTGTTTATTGAGTGATTCGGTCGATTTGTCTGTATCTTTCGACTGTTTATTACTCGAAACAGAATTTCCAAGACTTTCGTCGAAAACAGATGTTTGGGGTTTACTATCAGGAAATAAGTCAACTGTTTTCAAGTCTGCTGTACAATTATTTTGAGAAAATGTAAATCCAATAAATGGCAAATGGAATCCAGAAAAAGCCGGATTAGATGAGGGAGGAATTGAGTCAATTAATCTAACGTCATTATCGTCAACATCGAAATTGGATGTATCTGTTGGGCTCGAAACTTCCGGTATATAAGGCGCCAGTCCAGTCCTTATATTTTCCCAATCAATGCCTTCAAACCATGTGTGTTCCATAAAATCACGTAGTCCTTTCTGACCAAGCCGCGTTTCAGGTATACAAATTAGTTTGCGAAGTAGATCCTTAGATGCTTCAGATAACTTACAGTGTGTAGTATCTTGAGCAGGTAAATTAAAGCAATTCTGATGATTCATAATCTTTCCATAGGTTTCCACTAAGCTCTCTGCATAAAATGGTGTTTCTCCATATAACATTTCGTACATGCATACACCAAGTGACCACCAATCACATTCGGTTCCATAACGTCCTTTTCCATCCTCCATAGCTCTTAGAATTTCGGGCGATATATAATCGGGTGTTCCCACAGCAACATTTGACTGAACGGTACCATCCTTATCCAAACGTAAACAGGAACCAAAATCTGCCAGCCGCACGTGTCCACGTTTGTCCAACAAAACATTGTCCGGTTTTATATCTCTATGAACATACTTCAGTTGATGAATACTATTTATTGCCAAGATCATTTCGGTAATATAAAACTTCGCCATATCCTCTGGTAGTTTATCCTCGAATTTGCTCAACAACGTTAATAAGTCGCCGCCGCAGTAATAGTCCATTACCAGGTACTACAATAAAAATTATAAATTAATTAATAATTTAATAAATTAATTTAAGCTAAAGCATACCAAATTTATATTATCCTGAAACGCATAGTGCAAATTTGTTATCCACTGACGATCTCCGAGGACCAGCACGTCTCTTTCTTCGCGAAAACATGCCGTCTCCGCACGCTTCAGCATTTCCCATTTGTTCAATATTTTCATGGCAAATATGTTCTCCGATGACAACATACGAACAACACAAACTTCACCAAATGCTCCACGTCCGATTATTTTTAAGATTTCAAAATCTTCACGCGTCAGCCGAAGCTTCCTGACAATGTGAACAAACGGCTTAGCTGAAATCGGCAATAAAAATGGGGCATATCATTTTGGGCTTAACGATTATGTATATTACAGGTTTATTAGTTATTATTGGTCTATTCATGTCTTGAAGCATGTAAGTTAGCCATTATTTGAAATAATTAGGACTTATCAAATATCCGACTATAATTCCCTGTAATCTCTTGCTGTAGCTCTACAAATACGTACAACTAAACGTAGCGCGCCGACCGCGATTCTTGCCCAAGTCCCATACAATTAAAGATATACAAACTTTCTAAGTTAAAACTTACCAAGTTTCAGAAAATCTGATACACTTTTTTCTCTTCGAAGGGACGAGTTACTGCATTCATCATAAAGTAGTATGAATGTATCCAATAAAGCGTCCATAGAAAATTGGTGCCCCTTAAAATTATCTTCTAAATTTAGGCTATGGTTCAACTTCTTATCGCCATCTGGTTCACTTAAAAATGACTCCAACAGTGCGAGCCTCTTATTGCAGCTTAAGGTGAGAATATCTGAAAAATAGAATACAAGTTATTATAATGTTTAAAATATTGAAATATTTTTATTAGCCTCTTTATCATCCAAATGTAACCTAAAGAACTCTAGGGATGTTAAGCATACTTGATCCTATAAAATTGTCTGACATTCTAATAGTACCGGATCCCAGGAGTTACTTTTGATGAAGTTCGACGATCGATCATTGTTTTAAAAAGGTCGAAAATCGAATCAATTCAAATTCACTTGATGATTTCACGAATGTACATAATGGGAACAATATATACACATAAGTTTGAGTTGTCACTCTAAACCGATATTGCGATTCGCCACGCCCAAGTGGGCGTATGCGACATTATCTGAGCTCAATATCAAACGAGGCCACACATGAATATATAATATTATCTCTAGCTCTGTCTTCAGGTAAACAGGCGAAGGCACGGCAAGACATTCCACAGCCACTATATACTCAATTCACTGCGTGAGCGGCTATAAAAAGTTTCATCTGATCGAATTCGTAACACGTCTCGTATGATAATTTGCAGGAACACAATGAGAGGGTAGCTGATAAGGCAAAAGAAAGGTTTTAATATCGTGATTTCAACGAAGGGGGTCTCTGAATATTACATCTGCGGCGTGGACCCCATCGAATTCTCCGTTACAAATTAGTAATATTGCCATTTATAAAACTTGCATGAATCACGGAGTACATCGCAGTATGATGGAATTATTTATAAATTATCACAAATATTTTATACAAGGATTGAGATCTAGGAAAAACTGTTGGTTTTCATTGCATTAATGTGTGTACATGTGTATTTATGTCAGCACGAACAGTCGTTATATGCATATACTTATGTATGCATATTATATTTGGTATGATTTTGTGTATATACATACATACATTTATATGTGACGTAGAATTTGCAGACATTTGTATTTGTTTATGCACATACATATGCACATATATGCATATATCTTCGTTCATCTTACTCAATATATACAAATACATAAGTGTGTAAGCAGTCGCATACTTATGTACATGCATATATAAATGTCTGCAAGTACACTGGATATAAATGTACATTATACATATGACTTTATTGTAACATAAGTAGTTTCGATTCAACTACTTATTAACTTTAAACTAAATTACCACCAAGCTCAGGTAAGGAGGTTTCATATTCCATTTTATAAATGTTTATTTGGAGAATTCATATCCACAAGGCAGTTGAAAAACAATGTAAAAGCCGACTTATACTGCCAGGGATGGAATATGCTATTATTATATATTCGATTTGAACACTCGGAGAAAAACTCTTGTCGATTAAAAATATATATTCGATTACTTTTAAAAAATACAACAAACATTAAGATAATAACATGTTTCTACTGACTGCGTTTCCAACTAAATCAATCGATTTGAGATCTATCGATAAGACTCTTTCTCTTAATGAAATTGAAAATTTATTAAGCAAAAAATCGTTTACTAATATAATTCATGAATTAGCATTAATGAACATATTGATGTCTTCATTGCTATTATTCTATATTTACGTAAAATTCACGAAACATAAATTTTTCCTGTTATATTTCTACATCCGGGTTTTCCTCAAACCCGCTATCGCTATAAGTCAATATCATTTAACTCTTTGAACCCTTCATACATTAAGACTCTTTTATATAGTTAGTGTTACGATGTATGCTTTGCTTTGCCATCGCCCTCCGAATTATGCAGGTCTGCGAATTGTTAAGTAGAGTGTGAAGCAATGAATAACTTTTGCGACATATCTGAAATAATTTCGCAAATTTGCAGGCCAACAACGTGTTCAGAAACAAGAAAACTTTTCATTAATTATTATTGATATAAAATTGTATTTAATAATTTGTTTTTGGAAATGTTTATAATGGAAATCAGAAAATAAATATAATTAATTTTTACAACAAAAGTCCAAAATAATTATTGTTGTTTAATATATAGAGTAAAAATCAATAAATAATTAATTAAGTTAATATTTTTATGCAATACTCACGACCGTTACGGCCTCTGATTATAAGCCCTACCCAGTGTAATTTTTGTTTTTAATTGTGTAACAATATATACATACATAAATCTACACGAATAATCTAATTCTTTTATTATGTAGTCAAATGCATACAGTCGGTGTGAAATGAATTACACCTCTTATAATTATTTTAATCGGTACTAATCTTAGTAAGTATAAGTAATAAGAAAAACAATACAATTTAAATACAATAACTTAGGAAACACAAAATTTGTTCTTTGGGGTCTTATATTTAATCTAAGGGCGGTCTAACGCTTAGCTCCAGAAAGTTTTTGATCCATTAAGATATATTCGAAAACAAAATATATATATACTATCTCTAAACTTAAGAAATAATATAGACACACTTTAGAGCAACCCATTTACGTTCCTGATATAATTTAAGGCCTAAGAATCAATGGTGATCAAATCAAATGTGGAATAGCTTCATTGCCATAATCTTATCATAAAGCAAAACCGTCTCGAGCAATCCAATCGCTGAGATTTCATACATATGTGGACTAAACTTTTTACAATATTTTTATTCATGGAATCTAGAGAAATGTAATTAAAAAGAGTTAAGAAGTTCGTAAACTGTGTCAAGTTATGGGATTTACATTAATTTTTTAAGATAATCATGAAAGCTTTCGACCATTTTAAGAGAATTTACTGAGTGGCGAAACCCATGTATACTCTTTCTTCTTTCCTGGTAGTATCCCTCCTAGGCACCCATTTTAAAGATTTGTAATTTGAGTTCATTTTGGAAAATGAAGAAAATGTTTGGATGCTTAATCCTTAAATTTTATCAAATATGTTTCCCACATATTTTATAGTTATATTACTTTGCATTGATATGTATATTAAGTTTAGTCGTATCCGAAAAATAAAAAAAGTAAAAAAATGGAAATTTTAACAAACAGATCTTTCTTTCATTCAATTTACCACCTTAGAGAAAAGTATAAAGCCCCAGTAAAACAATTATTTTTTCACCTCTTAGTTATTTTAAGAGTTATATAGTGTGTATATATAACTAGTAAAATAAAAAAAATTAAAACAAATATACACTTTATAATTGTTTTCGAACCATTTCGGACAACAATGCGGAATCGTTGCTGGACATGACAGCTCCAGGTGGTGCATCTTTATTTCTATAAGATGAATTCGGGGCACGTTGAATTGTTCGATCCTCGTAACGCGTTCGTCCCTGAGATGCCATTGGTCTATTTAGAGTATTGTTAGCATTATTTGGTGAGCTTGGCGGGGTGCTGTGTGCTGCAAAGTGTTTATTAACAAAGTCCTGTTCCTTCCACCCATTCTTTTTATATACTTCACGCAGCTCATGATGCTGCCACATTGTGTACAAAACTTGACTGGCAAACTTTATAACGCATGTAGTATATTGTTCTTTGCGTCTTGTTATATTCATTAGTCTATCTACACCACCTGCGTCTAAGAGTGAACGCGCAAACTCTGGATTCTTTTTGATGACTTCATTTATAGTTGCCAATACTGCCGTGATGGTATCGTCTGACGTATTTTGATCATGTTGAGCGTTTCCAGATGGTAGTTTTTGGACTAAATCACGCATAGCGTACTTTCCAATCAATTCTTTGTTTCGTTGGTCAATAGCAAGATTGCGCAGTGCTGTGGCAACGGCACAAACGACACGATCAACTTCCATACGCAAAAGTTCGACCAGTATCGGAAGACCTTTCTCTTTGCGCACAGTTGCTCGAATATCAATGCTCGGTTGCCAGTAGCAAGCCGACAAATTTTGAATTGCACCAGCAGCGGCTTCAAGTGTTTCTGGATTTGAACAGCTTTGCAGCAGCGAAAGATAGAATTGCACCACTTCCGGTTGCCATAGTTGTTCATATCCCTTATTGGTTTTATTGTTTGTTCTTGAATTCTTTGCATATTCCGTTGAAAATATATAGTCTTGTTGCGACTCATTCAATGCCAAGTCCTTCTTTTTTTTACTTGTTCCAAAGCAGCCCAAGTTTTCACCTGAAAACAATGTGTTATAATACAACAATTCAATTTAACATATATATGGTCAAATATTAGACATATATAAACGATATATTACTTTGCTTACCTTTCGAAGAGGATGGGACAGTCCTTTCCTGTATAATAAACGGATGCTTATCGTAGTTGGGATCTTCAACTTCTTGGCATCGATACGACAGATTGCGAAGAATGCAAACGCAATTCTCAACTGTTTTATTTCCAATGTTATTCTTCTCAATCGATGATCGAACTACGTAAAGCAGAGACTCGACCAAGTTTTCGCAGTTACGAAGGCATTCTCGCGCATGTTCTCCAGCTGAGCTGACATTTCTTAAAACTCCCGAAGCATTGCGAAATACAGTGGAGAAACATGTCTCTCCGCAACAAATAGGATCCCATCCTGAATGGGGTTTTATTACATTACATACTATAGCAGCCAGCGCCTCATCAATAATTGACCGTTTAATGTCTTCGCACGAGGACATATTCCATAAGACTCCAGTTACCAATTCTTTAACCTCAGTTTCCTGCGACCGGCAAAGAAGATGCACCAAGGCTTCGATTCCGCCAGCATTTTTAATTCCACGTTTATTTTCATCATTTTGCCTGCCATACGACAGATTGCGCAATGCTCCACAAGCATTTCTATAAAAATACAAAAACAAATAGGAAAAATTTATTAAGTTTTATGATTTTTCTTATTTTATAATTTTCATTAAGATATAGCTTAATCTCAGCACTTACTTATGAATTTCTGGAGCATCATACGATAATAATCGAATTAATGGTGGTATTCCTCCTAATGTTCTTGTACGCTGTTTGTTCGGATCATCCATGTAGCACAAATGCTGCAGATATGCAGCAGCATTCGCTTTTATAGCATTATTAGGATTACTTAGAAAGCTTATAACTTCGGAGAGGTTCGGGTCACGCCACCTCATTGTTGAACATAGATCACTGTCCGATCCACCAATGAAATCCTCTTTCTCGCCAACTCTAGGCGGCACAGTGTTAAGAGAGCTTGTGGCGAATGGTACTAACTTGAAATCGCCTTGACTTTCAAAAGATCTACATTGAGAATCAATAGCTGATTCAGATCCATTTAAGTTATTATCGAATGGACGTGAAGCAAATTGTTTCATATTTGCACTGACACCCGGCAATCCATAATTGGAATCTGCAGTATAACCATATGGTATAGCTGGCTCGTCTGTATAATGTGGCTCTAGCCCACATGGCGGTAAGCCAGGCAAGCCAAAATCGGCTCCTTCATCAAACTGTGGTGCTTGTATATACCGCACGGTCGGCACTAAGGTATGGGCTTCCATACCAGGAATGGTCACTTCTTGAGAAGCGGTTTCTATTTTACTCTGAGATCCAATTGTAGAGCAATGGGGATTAATGCGCGTGAGCGTCCCCATGCCAGTTGGCTTTGAAATATATAACGGTGCATTTGTATATCCGGCAGCGGTGTATTGCTCAAAGTTCTGAAAAGCTGAATACTGGGCTTGTATATGGCCCGCCTCCGTTACCAACGACTGTTCCAAATTTGAATTTGGCTGGGGATTCATTTTGAAGCTTGTGTAAAATCTGAAAATAAGGAAAACACATTTAAAAGTTAATAAACAAAATATATATGTTACCAATAAAAAGAAACTGGGATGTATTTTAATTTATAAATAATTAATATACAATGTTTTACTTTTTATTGGCTACGAGATTTGGAGACTTGGCATGAACATTCACTGATGAAATCTATTCGAATCTATATGTTTATCTAATTTTTCTGTATGTAACCAATTTTCGATTGATTTTTACCTGAATTTCTAGGACCAATTTATTCTAATCAGATTCCATACAGGCTAATCCATCCATGCATCCATGTAAACTGCATTAACTAAGCTTTCCCACAATAATTTGGTACTTTTTACTATATACATGGAAATATTAACTAATATACTTTAATCTAGTGATTTTTAGTCAATTTTGTGTGTTAGCAACCTGTAAAATCAGCTGATTGATATTAAAGTATCTTTCACTTGTCTTGTATTTTACTTTTACTTGGATTAAGACTTTCTTTTAATTATCTGTTGATACATATAAACGCACAAACACATGCATACATAAATATATACATACACAAATGCACTTGAGTAGCCGCCTCTATTTAGTGTGCGCAGATTGAAACCATTATTTCCAAAATATAGTTGTACAGCCCCAAACTGAGTTCAACTTTAAGCTTATCTGTTGAAGTCATTGGATAATGTCTGACTAAGAGCAAAGCGTATAAAACTATAGTTTTGTATGGGAGTATGTGTATATGTGTATGTATATGAGTATATGTAAATATATATTTATATATAAACACTGGTTAATGAGCATATCTATATGTATATATATATATAGGTATGCTTGTATATTCATAAACATTAATGCATTTGCATACCGAACAATTTTGTTGTGAATCAAAAACAGAAAGCTTTACATGTATGCTCATACATATTTAAACTTTTTTCCTCTAATACAAAGATAATTCTGGTTTGTACAATTTTTTTTGACATAAACCTTAGCTTACCGTTAAGTGTGAATTTAAGTATAGTTTTACAAACACTTTGAGGGACACATAATCTCAAAAAGCCACGCCCCTTTAAGATAAGGTTGTGTGTTAATATTTATTACATTTATATATGTATAAATGCATTTATGGAGTTATTGCACACTTTAAAAAAATTAATGAATCATTAGAAATATAAATTTTACATAATATTTATCACGAATATTGTATTTGCGACTCACTAATACCGACTTTGTAAAGCGGTTTTTGTATCTGCATATATGTACATACTAAAAATATCGATTTTTCGCAGATTCACTTCCACTTTGACACAAATGCACATATATCTATACACATTTGTATATAAACATGATTTCCACAATTTCTACTGCAAATTTTAGTATTTTAATCCATAATGAATAACTTTCATAACATTTTCGTACAATGTAAATTGTTCCTAAACATTGATTGAATACGTGTGTATCTGAATATTCACACACACAAATATCCATGTAGGCATCATTTCGTTGATATATGATGTAAACATACTTATAATTTAAGCTTGAATTTTAGTATTTTTTACTCACCTTAGATATACAAGAAAGATATGATAGCATTCATATTAATTGGAAAGTATGCGAGGCAATTTCTGACTTTAATACAACTTGAACAGTACTTTACCAATATTATTCTTTTGTCTGCTTATTCAAATCGGAGTTGTTCGCGTATTTCTCAAAGTACGCGATTTTACCAGTTCTTTTGAAAAAATTGAACGTCGCTTTTGGATTGCTTGGACATGGAACATGTTAATTCGATGATCCAAATAGAAGTTAAGCCGTTATTTAACTTAAATTCTACTAAAGTTTTGAAATTAGTAACTATTTTGCACTTCATTTTCTGCTGTATAAAATACTTTTTAAAATAAATTTATTAAATATCGTTTTTCAAGCAAAGTCGAGAAATTTACTAAAACTTCTATAGAAAACTCTTTCAAATACTTCAGCTATGATAACTAATAGTAAAACAAATTAAGACAGCAATATAACAAATTTTAAAATATATCGTGATTTTATTCCCTTGCAAATAACCACAATTTATTTTTGCCTTGATTCGCAACTATTTTTCTGTATAGGCAAATAGAAATTCTAACCAATGCTATGATTTAATTATTTGTAATTATTAATGTTATAATAAAACTTTTTTTTAACATCGCCGTTAGGAAACAAAACTAAAATCATTTAAAATATTTAAAAATATTAATTCAATCTTTTTCATATCTAACGAAAAATTGCATTAAAAGAGTCCACAATTTTCCCGCTTACAACAAACTTAACAGTTATGCATTCACCTCTCGGCAATAAATACAGTTATAGATTTAAGAAATACTCTATATGTTAAATCATTGTAATATTTATATTATATATATACAATATCAATATCCCTTGAATACTTATCTTAGCAGAAATGATTGATATCAATTTTTAATAACCGCAATAAAAATAACTTTAAGTGCCGCTGAATATATACAATAATGTCTGTGTAGAAATGTTATCGTTATAATAATATAATTTAATATATTTATTGTTGTCTTTTCGATAGTATCAATATACGTGATACCTTACATTATTCGTTAAAATATCTCAATAGCCTGTTTTGTTGTTCCAATTCCATCGTTTCAAGTAGCGGCATATGTCCCACCCAACATTTATTCGACTGGCAACTCATGCGTAAATCGATGCATTGAAACCACCACCCAAATTGATTAGTCCGGTTTTTCTTTGCGGTCGGAAGGCTAAAGAGTATTTCTGTTTAAACTGAAACATATACAAATTGCAATTGGTTTATAAATTTGGTAAAACAATTCGCATATAGCAGAAAAATGGTAAGGGAATTTTAGAGTTAATAAGTACATTTAATTTTGAATTTAATATAACTTTAAAAGTGTATATGTGCGTTGATCCACACATGTGCATATCTTTCTGAAAGTGCGATGATTCATATGTGTGTGCTTGTGTGTATTCGCAAATTCGGTATACACTAAAAATATATATATTTTTTTGAGATGACGTAGATATTTTTATAATTCAAGAATAAATAACCTCATTAAACATAAGCGCATAATAATCATTTGTAAGTATACTTACTAAAAGACATTCATCTGCATCGATATATGTATTCATACCAAATATGTATACTTGCAAAAGACTGTATGTATGTACATATACATATATTTATGGATACATTGATATACATACACATGTATATGTACATATGTATATATACGTAAGTAGACATTAGTCAGAATAGGCTGAGTAATATTGTATGGAATATTAATTTGAAACTTCACAAATTGCGATTATATACGTATGTATATATAAAAATGTGTATATATAGATATAAATATATATATGTTAGACGTTTTTTTATGTGTATATATATATTTGTCCACCAATACATATATTTCCATATTTATAACAGAAATGAACGCATACATATACAAATTATTTTCGGTATTTTTATACATGTATGTATGTATGTATATTTTTTTGTATGATTATGCCGGCTTGGGGGAAAATTTTTTGACAGCTATTGCATGTGTTTACAGCAAATTTTTTCCATTTAATTTTTATTAATGTACGTAAAATCTTTAAAATCAATTTGTTTGGTCATTTCCTGCTTAATTACCGGCAAATTAGCCAACGCATAGCGCATACATCAAATTTTTTTCAACACATGTGAATTTGTATACCCTGTATCAGGCAGAAGCAAGCTTTTTCGACCCCATATAAAGTAATCAAATTGTAGCTGTGCATTAACAGCTGTATCTATATACACCTGTTTATATATATATATATATATATATATATATATATATATATATATATATATATATATATATATATATATATATATATATATATATATATATATATATATATATATATATATATATTCAAATACCACATTGATTGCATCTCATATCATATGTAAAATCAGTGTAAAAACTTTCAAAAATCACAAAATAATATCTTGAGTCTCGCACATTTTTGGATGCCATATATATACGTGTATTAAAATGTATATATACACGTGTACATACAAACATATAAAAATTTTCCTAGTGTGGGGCTAATAGTGGATAAAGCACAACAGCTGCGTTAAATGGGAAACAAGCTGATTATATATAATATATATGTTTTAAGTGGTTTTTTCGTTATATATTTTGTCATATGTATGTATAAGTTAAAGGCACGTTCATCGTGTTGAGGGTATCGTCTAGTCTGTCACTCTTAAGACTAGAACACTATTGTTTATATGTAAAACATATGTAAGTATGGGTGTACTTGCAAGTCCTACATATATAAATGTTATCGAATATAGTATGTTATTTAATTTTATTACGGTTGAATCAGTGTAATGAATATTAACGGTCTCTTACCCATATAAGGTAACAAAAATTGTGAAGCAAGGTCGATAACATCTTCAGTTTTGTGAGCCGTGGACTGTTATCATTTGGCATTAATGAATCATAATGAAATTGCACAATATAGGAAGTCAACTCAAGAACATTTTGTTATATTTATTTTGTGGAGATATAAAATATATTATAATTTTATATAGTTATTTGAGGGATTAGAAGATATTTAAATTCGATTTTATTTAACATTTTTTAGCTTTTTCTAATACGGTCTCTCATCGTTGCGTTTTGTTATTCTTATTATTGACAGGCTTCTGGAGTAACTGTATCGGATGTATGCAAAACAACATACGAGGAAATAAAGAAGGATAAAAAACATCGCTATGTAATTTTCTATATTCGTGATGAAAAACAAATTGATGTTGAAACTGTTGGAGATCGGAATAGCGAATACGATCAATTTCTAGAAGATATCCAGAAATGTGGTCCTGGAGAATGCCGGTAAGTCATCTGCGCAAATGGCGAAGAAGAATCATACTTTAACCATAACAAATGACGCAGAATAATTCAATGTTTTTAAGGGTCATCATATAACTTTATGTTTGAGATAAAGGTATATAAATAGTTGTTAATCTAGTTAATACACGAACAATTAATTTGTGATTCAACTCAAAGAACAGTAGAAATTTGTATGAATGATATTCTCATTTTACTCATAGAAAGTAGCAATGGTCTATAAAATTTCTGTGGCAAGGTTCATCCTATACATTGAACAAAGATGCCTCTGTTTAATAACAATTGGAATTTGCCTATATAACATTATCTTTATATTTTACAAATTTGCTTGCTCTTTTCAGATATGGTCTATTTGATTTTGAATATATGCACCAATGCCAAGGCACGTCAGAGAGCTCAAAGAAACAAAAATTGTTCCTTATGTCATGGTGTCCCGATACTGCTAAGGTATATTTTGTAGTCTTGTTTATAAGAATTGTCTAAAACTTTTCATATTTTAGGTTAAGAAGAAGATGTTGTACTCTAGCTCCTTTGATGCATTAAAGAAATCGTTGGTGGGAGTCCAGAAGTATATACAAGCTACTGATCTGTCAGAAGCATCTCGTGAAGCTGTTGAGGAGAAGCTTCGTGCTACTGATCGCCAATAGACTGCAAGGATAAATAACTCTGAGCAATGCATTTGAATTGAAATACGTGCATGAATCAGTGATTATATTGTATCCGGTCAAGATCGCCAATTTGTATGAGAATTTTCTACATAATTTGTATTTTCAGTATAAATAAAGAAAATGAAAATGATAATTTAAAATGTTTGGTTTTCTTTTAAGCAGAAAATATTTAACAGAAATCATTTCCAATGTTGGCTTAATCCAACTAAGTCAAGGTCGTTGCAGTTCAATAAAAAAGGTAATTGTCGAATTACAGAAAGGCAATAATGATCCAATTTTTAATACAAATCTTTGGATTCTATAATAACGAAAAGAAGTCTGTTGTAAAAACATATGGATGTCGATTTGTCATGACAAAGTTTTGGAATTATGTTAAATATGCCAAAGAGAATTTCCCTTCCAAATACAAGAAAAACTGAATTTTAAATCAAATTCGATAAAGATATAACGATTGCTAAAAACCAGATTTCGCTTTTTGCAGTAAATTATAAAAATAAACATTCAAATCAATTCATTAATGTATTTTAAGTAACAAACATTTAATAATTATTTAATACAAATTGCAAATATGCAATATAATATAAAAGCGATATTCTATCATATACAATAATTAAAATATATAATATATTAATAATATATGTATTAATTAAATATAATATATGTGCTAAAAGGAACATAAATATACTTTGACGATATCTTGACTTAAAAAACTGCTGTAGACCAATGCAACTCTGTACGTTTCTACGTTTGACAACCGGAAGTGACAAGAGAATATCCCTTTCCTTTTTACTACTGGCCTGTTAAATACATGTTTAAATTTTGAATTTTTTAATAAAAAGTTCAATGTAAGTAAAAGTAAGCTTATACTGACATAATATGTATAACCATGGGCCCTTTTTCCTTAGATGCCGCGCGAAATCAAAGAGGTCAAAGATTTTTTGAACAAAGCACGCCGCACCGATGCTCGTGCTGTCAAAATAAAGAAGAATCCCACGAACACTAAGTTCAAGATTCGCTGCTCCCGTTTCCTCTACACACTGGTGGTACAAGACAAAGAGAAGGCTGACAAGATTAAGCAGTCGCTGCCACCAGGCTTGCAAGTGAAGGAAGTCAAGTAAACCATCTCTACGTGACAAGTTGTAATG